GTTCATTTGTTCCTTTGATTATGTTTCTTTGAAGCATACCTTTTTTACGTTGTGTGGATGTGCCTATCCCTGAAGCTCAACAAGACTTTATCCGAGGCTAGGAGGTAGATAGGCCGTCTCCACTTGGTTATCGCTACTTACTTTAGTGATGATTGAGAGTCTCAACGCCAGAATCTAAAAGCTAGGTGGTGTAAGTAAGGCATGCTCTAGCACCTGGGGGAAATTTGATGATAGTAACGGCTATATTGCTATATATAGCGGAGCTTAAAATTTTGCCTCACATCAAAACAGGGGGAAACCCTCGCAAATTTTTTTTTAGGTCAGCGGAGTTTTCAAGCAATCTGATTGGTTGAGGGATCGAAGCAGTGAAGGTCTACAACTAGTTGGTTTCCTATTGATCTGTCTAACGTTATTTTGTCTTTTATAATAATAAAACCTTAATCAAATGGAAATAGAAGTATATAATCACACCTTTAATGTTCTTCAGAATGGACACTGTTCATGTCTCAATGAAAGCAATCTAGTTGTTGCATACAAGCATGCATCTTAGGGTACATTCACTTTCTCCTCAAGCTACTTTTTACAGTGTAGCAACATAGGTATATACCGTACTTGATGCTATTATATAGCTTGTACACAATTAGACCTGATTTTTAAATGTTTTGAGAGTTTTCAAACGAAAGCATGTGATGAAATTGTACCAGCTTACCTGTACCAATACTCATTGCGTAATCCTAAGAGTTATGTCCTAAGAGTTATGTATTGTTCAAGACCTTCTTGATGTATCATTTCTAAACCGGATCTCCAAATGCGTAGGAACAATCAGTTCAAGCACAGATCACATCAGATCATAAATTTTGACATGAAACAGGATTCAGTTACGATCCGTATCATGGCATGTTCAGGGTAATAGATTGGATCTATTATCCTATCACCCAAATCAACCCATCTAATACCTTATCCTCACATCAAATCCCTCAATTCGAATAGTATATAAACCCTCTTATTTCCAATGTAATAAACTATATTCTTTACCTGATTAATTGCTTACTCTTTTATATAAATAATTTATTTCTGATAAATCACTTCTTACTCAAATTTGTAGCATTAGTTCTCATGGATCAACACCACCCAATAGGTTAGCCCCAGTTGAATCGCCAACGTTCTGCCTGCCTTGTTGCTCCCACCTTTACCATCGCTAGCATCCGTAGCACTAAAAGAGAGTGTTGGTGGATGATGATGAGTTGAATGAGCGTCCTCTGAAGAGACAGGATACTATTACTGCCATTCGAGGAGAATTATTTAGCTCCTCTCATCTTGCCCCTTTATTGCATCTCCCTCCTTTGCGAAGAAGGACAGCTATGCCCTGGATGTCACAATTCCCAACTGACGATAATTCATATAAGAAAACTGTAGCATTGGGGAGGATGGGCCTGCTGGTAACGAAAGGGGTCCTCGTTGACAGATACATTTTGACAGTGGTGTCACTGAGTACCTGTTTAAGGACGATGATAAACCTTACAGAGTAGTAGATGCCAAACACTTTGCATATCTTCGTGTTGCAAAATGATGTCTATCTCAAACACAGTCTGCCAAGTCTTCAACATAGCCAACAGTTCTCAAATTATCAAGTGTAAGCATCTATTGCTAACAATAGCAACACGAACACATCTTATGCTGGGCGAAGCATTTGATTATCCTCTCATCCCACATTTTATGAGTGCATATTTGGGTTCGTCAACGTGAACAAGATGCAGCAAAGGCTGCTTCTATTGTCAGCTCAGAATATTACAATATTGTCACCAGACATAAGGAATTAAAAACGAATACTCTATCTGCTAACTAGTACCTCCTTTGGCTGCCCAAGGCTCTATCTCCTGCCATTAACAAGCGGATCCAATGGCATCGCAACATTGAAGTTTTGTTAGCTGACTGCCAATGCCGCTCGTCAATTACAAGCAAGTTCTTTTGCGTTTGGCAGGTGGTAATCTACTTGTATCAACACGTAATGCGAATGTGGCTCCCTCTGAAACTTGAAAGTTGTTAATTTCAGACCTAATGTTTAGCTGTACTCACCCCGTTGCTCTCTTGCAAAAGTGTTCAGAATGTACAACAATACTCAGAATGAACACTCCAGTAACAATGTATATCAGTATCTTGCCTTGGGGTGTATGGAGAACAACTGGTGGTAATTGTGCAATCACAAACGCTGGGGTCGGCCGTCAAGATTAGAGTCATTGAAAAAACTTGCCTACCGTGCTCAAAATCGAATATAGGGAGACAAAAGTACTGCTCTAAATCCCGCCTTGTGAATGTATGCATCAATATTCAACTAATTTAGCAAGCACTTGTGAAATATACGATGTGAATCCAGCAATACTGAAAAGAATCACTCATACCTCATTCAGCTCTGCATTCCTTGTAGTAAATTCCATTATTCACAAAAAGAACATTGACATAAACGGTGCTAGAAATAGAAGAGATGCCTGTCTTAATCGTACACTGTCTGATGGATACCGCCACTGTGAACCGAGTTTGTGCCATAGAACGTAATCACTAGCCAAGATGATGCCGATAACCCTTTTCACCTCGCGCGCATATAGACAAGATTAATGATGTCTGTGCTTCTACTAGTAGGTAGTGGAGAGTTGCATCGAGCACCTGAGGTCGAGATGTCGCACCTAATGGTTAATTTGCAACAATCAAAGGCTTAATAAAGTAAGCAATGGTAGTATTATAGTTAATATATGCATCTCCTGACACGTTAGCCAAAGGTAGACAACCACATTGAATTATATGAGCTCCTCGTTCAGTGTAATTTACATGAATTACAATGATTTTTAAGAATACAATTGAATGTGATGGGCATGTGTCACATCATTACCAACGGATAGGATTTTTGAGAGTCTACACCATTTTTTCATCCATCGCTGTTGTTTGCACTATGATCCTGTAATGAATCTGAAATGCAGACAAGTAAAAATTTATGTCTATGATGGTCATTGCCTTGTCTTTCTGATAATACTAGTATTATGTCTTTAGCACGTCTGGGTGGCTCACGATTCTAGTTTAAGTTCATTTCCTGAATGAATTGGCATCTCTCTCTGACCATAGCTACGCATTTCTGGACGATCAGTATCTCAGCAAATGCATTTATCAAGATGGTTCTTGCTGTACCTGAGTCAAATGCAAGGTTCATAACTTTTACTAGTTCTACTTCAAATTTGTTTGGTGGCATTTGCCCTCCAGACCATTTTATAAGAAACCTGCCACGGAACAGGTACGTCTGTCGACGTTCAAGTCTTTACGTGTATACAGAAGTCCAGCTGTTTCTCAATACAGAACCATACAGCAACTTCATTAGAGCCATATCAAAATAATGAAGCTGCTTAAACATCACGGAAGTGAAGAAGTGATCTTCTGAATCCCCAAGGGTCCTTTGTACCAAACACCCAGAGTCCACTGAGGTTGTCTCTGATTTACAGCTTTTTTTTATTAAAGCGTTTATTACACGGCCATCGCAGTTGTGTGAATTTAGGTATGGTTTAGAGACACGAACTCGAGAAGTGTAAATACAAGGAAACACATGTAATCTTTGATTTCGATAAGTCCCTCCCCCCCCCCCCAAACTGTCGCTCAGAGGTCAACGACAGGGTCCGTAGACTGTTTCCTTGGCTCAAAATGCAGGTCCATTCACTCTTGACCAGCTACAGTGAGGCTCCTTGATCTTTGTATGTTTGCGTGCTGGCCATCTCGGATTCCTATTTCAGACTCTAAGCGTGATTTGACAAAGAGTATTGTTAAGAACTTGTATTTCAATGGGCATTTGTAACCTAAAGTAAAAACGCGAATATCAGCAATGGAAGTAAATTTGGTGCTGACAATGAATAGATACTTAGCTACTACATTTGGCTCGGCAAACTCGTAATTGCAATAATGACATGTCACACAAACTACTCTGATTGCATCAGTGAAGCTGAAATGTGTTCAGATGTCGAGCAAAACGTATTTGCAGCAACAGCCTTCACTATAGCTATATATGCTGGAACAGGCTGTCTCAAAGTATGGGGAACCCTCAACCAAGCCATTGCAGCTTGTCGAGTTGATCACTTCTGTTGAGGATATAGATCATCTCTGAGAGGCAAATGTATTAGGCGTCGTATATTACATAAGAGGATCTGAGAATGAGCTGAGATGCATAGTAGAAGTGAGAGGTCTTTATTCAAGCAGCACAAAGGAACATGAGTGGTGCAATCAAATGGCTAATCTATATCCTGGTTCCTCGAGAGTGGTAGTCTATGGCCTTTCGTCCCTGGAAGTGGGTTTCAATTCCGACAAATGTTCTTCCGTCAAAGCTATTAGGAAGAACATTCTATCCTGGATCATCTTTGTTGTTTATCCTTGATTGATGGTTCATGAGTTCTGATGCAGCACATCCTCGTTAACCGGTTCAAGGCTTATACAATTATCCCGCATTCAAGATCAAGGTCCTATTGCTGCGGCACTGTCAAATGACTATAAATACCTTTGATGTCTACACTAGTTTTGATCCTTATTCAATCTTGGAATAACATAATAAATATATTCAGTTCTAATTGTATTTACTCTGTCTATATTTCGTTATTCTAAACAACTTCTTGATCGGATGCCCACATCAAGGAAGCTGAAACGTATTCAGACGGCAATGTAAAACGTATTTACAAGGCCTCTTTCTAGACCATTTAGAACCAAATACCAAGGTACAAACAGGCCATACATAATAGATGATGCAATAGAGAAAGAGAGGAGAAATAGTCATATCGCAACTGGTAGGCTCACCAAGCTTTCTTCAGCTTTAATGTTTTTATGAAGAGGTCTTCAGCAAGAGAGGAATGTAAAATAAATACGTAACAATAAATGTTGGCCATTCTTTCGTCCCTGAACTCCCATTTACAATCCACCAACATCACAGCCTTCAACTACTCACATTTTGCATTTTCTTTAACACTCAACTTTATGAAATGCCATTACACTACTTTGAAACTACATCACCTGGTGGTTGGCGAATAAAGGACATCTTTGAAGCTATCCAGAAAAAGTATCCAGATAAAGAACGATCCTACCACGGGCTTGCGACGAAAAAAGAGCTAGAGAACCTGAAAACTCATCCAAAGCAGTCTTTTCGAGAACGCGCACAGAGTTTGTTGGAAGATTTTAAGATACCCCCATCAGATCAAGAAAGCATCACATCATCTATCCAGTTAGCGAATACAATTGTGAACAACGCCCAAACTATAAATCAAGCTACACACCAAACCATCCAGCAAAACGTATCAGAAAACTCAGTTCATCCAAGAAAGCGTTTGCGCAGCGAGCTTGAAAATGTACCCGTATCCAGTAATGATTGCGAAGATGATGATCTTGATGACCTCTTTCCTTCTGCTACTGATCAAGACGACAAGGACGACGACTCCATGTAGGTGTTTGTAAAGTGCTCTTTATGCAGAGCGTTGTACTCATATTATGTGTGCAGTGACAGATTATTTAATCCAAATAATGAGTAAGTCTGATAAAATAGCATGGATGAGGGTGCTGATGTAGGATTCTAGTGCTGAGGCAAACGTTGATTTCGATAGTTTACCCACGATGGTGAATCCAAAATTGAACCAAGCAGTTCGCAGCAAGCTTCAAACTAATGCCAAGTATGCTGTCGGTGATACTGAATACCAAAGTCTGTTCGCGCAATATAAGAAGAAATGCCTTAGCGATCTTTCACAACTGGACGCCATTTATCTCGAGCCAAATTTCCACAAGCTTATGTAAGTGTTTTTGTTTGTGTAAGCATTCTTACTTATCCCTTTTGGTAGAGCTCTTGAAAACATTCTGTTCTTGAGGCCTGGCTCCTACTCCACTGACATGTTGCGCCTTTTTGGAGAAGCAAACCTGAACAAACTCTACAAACATTTGTTGAAAACTCATTTCTCTTTCGACACAACTAAACACACAGACCTGCTTAATCTCATCGATGATATATTTGAAAAGGCGTTTTTCGATTACCATGAAGTAGGGGCAAATCTTGAACAATTATCACAAAGCACAAAAGATGTATAGCACAAGAGAATAATTCGATGCGTCCGAGAACTTTTGGAGTTTTTACCTCGATATAAAGAGGTTGAAGCTTTCAACGAATGTGACCTAAAGACTAGATTTCTAGACCCAGTGGTTGAAATACTTCCTCTACGACATCAATGACACATTCCGCCTTCGCTACCCAGAGTCGAATCCCAACGAGAGGAAGCTCGTAAAGAAGGAAGTATTGCGACCAGATTGTCTCGTAACCAATATCCCTCAGTCTCAGTATCGTGAAAATATCGCCTATGGTGAGGTGAAATCGTCTTACTACACATACCGCACTCGGGCTCTCATTCTGGATATGTACCGATTGGTGTATTTCAGCAAGTCAATGGCAGATACTCACAAAATCAATGCGCCCATCATGCTACAAGACGTGGGATTGAAAGTCAATGTGTATACGCTTGTGCTCATATCCCAAAAGTTCCATGTTACTTTATTCTTATTCGATTTCATCTTGCCTCAATGCAAATCAGAAATCAAAGATCTTTTACCCAGCATCAAAAAACTAGTCGCAATGAATGAAGCTTTAGTCAAATGTAGCAACGGAGACAACAAGGCCGATAGCGAAATGATATGCCCTACCAACGATACCCCTTTATTCGAAAGACGAGTTGAAACCAAAATTGCCAATGAAGATTCCGACAGCATTCATCTCTGTTGGTTTAGTTCATTACCACAAAGACTTTTTCGAACAATTCGATGGCCAGGTTAGATCAAACATTATCAGGCAAGTTAAATGCATTTTGTGGGCATTACACATAATAACTTTTTACTATTGTAGTTCCTGAAACTTCTGATCCATTAACCTGCTTATTCATTATATGTATAACTCCAGTGATCCTTTAAATTGCTTAAAATATACACATGGTATACCTCAGTTATCGCACATCACATACGAAAACTAAAGAGACTGTCAAAAGAGAAGATGCTCCCAAATGTGCTAATACGGTGGTAAATAGAGTGAAAAAATTTCTTGATGCCATGCTTTCAAGTAGCGTCAAATCTGATTGACAGAATTATGAAAAGTTCCCACCTGATAGTGCATGCTTGAAAGGTTGCATTTGAAAAGAGAATTACTGGAGCCTGGAATTCGTTTAGAATCTGATACTATTCAAGTAGCTCAGTTTGAAAGATAACCCTACAAATGCTGAAGAGTATTACTTGGTGATCTCTATTGAAAGATTTTGGTTCGCATTGATGGCGTCTATTCCACTTTTAGCTGCCTTCAAGGAGATGAACATTACTTCCAATTTCTGATACACCCCTAATACGCATTGTCTTTAATATATACGAGTGTTTATGCTTCGGATAGTTCTCTACCTTTACTTAGCTTGGGTGAGAGCCAATCTGCGTAGCGGCAGTTCGCGCTACCAACTGTCCTTGTTCGTCTCATCAAAATACTGCTATTTTCATTTTGACTTTCCACTTACACATGAAAACCCTTCATCTTATATGTGGATTTAACTCTTATCCAATGCTTTACATCCGAATACACGTAAATACTTCATATACCGGCAAACAGCATACTTGTATTGCCTCTTATAACCCAAAACTATGCAAAACACAGCAAACTCTGAGTGCATTTGAGCCGTGATTTCTCGCTTTAGAAGCTGTTTTAAATTGCCAGAGTAGCACCGAAGAGTTGCTCTCACCTAGCGGTTACGAACACCTTTGAGCAATTTTTTTAGGATCTCAAAAACATCGCCAAAAAGCATGAGGGGTACCTCATGGTTTTCATTGAAAATCAAACGTTTGCGTTTTTGATTTTGATAACGAAGACTTTTACTATGATATACGAGCCTTTCAGCGCTTCGGGTGGCTTCCTGACCTACGCTTCGCTTCGGTGGAAACCAACCTACGTTCAAACGGCTCGCGCTGCCGCGGGCCTTTGGTTAATATCTCAAAATTAATATAGCTAAAATGTTAGAAGAGGAACCCTGACTGTTGATTGATATATAATCACTAATCATATGAGTGTTTATGCTTCGAATGGTTCTCTACCTTCGCTTCGCTTCGGTGAGAATCAACCTGCACAGCGACAGCTCGAGCTACTGGTTGCCCTTGCGTATCTTATCATAATACTATTACGTTCAAGCTGACCCTTTACTTACACATGAAAACCCTTCATATTGTGTGTGGATCTAATTCTTATGTGATGCTCTACATCCATATACACGTAGTTTCATCATATACGGGCAAGCAGCATACTGGTATTTCCCGTTTTTAGTCCTTAGTGTGCCTAATACACCAAAAATTGAGTGCATTTGAGCTGCGTTTTCTGGCGTTCAAGGCCGTTTTAGACTGTCAGAATAGCACCAAACAGTTGCTCTCATCTGACAGTTACTTTCTGACACCTTTGCTCAACTTTTTGGGGACCTAAAAAAACATGGCCAAAAATTGGCCAAAAAGCATGAGGTACCCCTCATGGCTTTCATCGAAAATCAAGCGATCGCATTTTTGACCTTGAAAATGAAGACTTTTACTATGGTATATCTTGAATCAAAATGTTTCTATCGATCCAAAGCAACCTCTGAAATCATCTTTGTGGGACTTTGATATGTAAAATTTCGACTTTTTGGCCAGAAACCTCTTTTTATATTTTTACAAATCATTCAATAAGTGTATTCAAAACATCTATATAACTTGGTACCATTTAAAGCGCCTTGAAAAGTACTCCAGGAAAGCTTAAGGAAGCATGGGGTGATCATCACAATTTACATAGTCGAATCTGACAAAATAGGTCGAATTGGATCCAAAAATTCGAAAAACTAACAATTCAGGACAAAATGTCAACCTGAGTTTTAACCTCGATTTTGCAGCTGGTTGGTGACAAAATCAATGGATTAAAGGCAATGGATGTTGCTGAAGCTCATAAGGATGCGATTGCGGGTCAAAAAGTCCTAAAGCATATTCTATATATATATATATATATGTTATTTGAGCCAAATTTTACGTAAAAATCAACATTATTGATTCAAAGCTATATTATGTATAAAGTGAATGATATAATTATTTCATCCCTCTTGATTAATATCAAGCACGCGACGCAAATTATCTAATATCTATTAAAAGAATAACATTATGACAAATCAAGATAAACTGTTAGCACTCAAATCAATTTAAAAATATACTTTGTCGTCGTTTCTATTGTATTTATAATAGCAAAGACTTACGAATTGCATTCATGTTCTAAACAATTCAGCTTAGCAGAAACTCTCCATACTTTGCTGCTGTCCCGAAAATACAAGCATTGTGAGACCATATTATAGTGCAATTATTGCAGCCTCAGAGCGCCTTCATGTCATATTCCTCGCTGGAAAGTATTGTGCCTGATTTGATAATAGCTGATTCTGCAATAAAATAGTGAGCTGATCGAAATTTCCCTTAGGTATGATCTCATGTGGTACAAGCCATCATTATGAACCTGTAAATCAGAAGCCCAGGTCTGGACAATACAATGGTTAGACATTGACAAAATGACATTGTTCAGATCGAGTTATAAACACCATCAGTTCTAGGCACAAAAGAGAGAGACTAATAAAAAAAAATGGTTCCGTTATCATTCATCATGTTGAATAACATTGTGGATGCCCTACTTGATGCTCATCTGAAGTTCAAGTGAGACATGAATGACAAGTGTAAATGATACTTTGAAATGTCATGAACGAATGCCTAACAGGCACATTGCCATCACATTGATGATGCGCATCGACATCACGCAAAATATTCATGTACAACCTCACACCAAGAACCTGAAAAAAAAAAGATGTTCCTATTGGTACGGATAATCTCTCGTGGTATTGTATTAAAAATGCAATATCATCATCTGATTTTAATACAGATTTCATCAGCAAAAGCTTGAAACTCGTCGTGTCTTTATGCGAATGTGTATATACAGTATATGGACAGAATGTCAAGAAGAATGAAAGCACAAATATACATGTCATGATGAATAAACTGACTGGATCAAGCATAATGACCACTACTGTATGTGCAGTTACGATGAGCAAGTATGAGATATTGCTTGATCTACTCAAATCTTATATCCAGATCAGATACACAAAGTTTATACAATTCATGAATGTCATAGTATGTGTATGTGTATTTTGTGCACGAACCTTTAACCCAAAAATAAAGCAAAAAGCGTGCTATTGATAAATATAGGCATCTAGTCAAATTTGTTGTTGAAACAAGCATTTCACATGATGAAGCTTTTTTTTTTTTTTTTACATTTTGTTTTTAGGAAAAAAAAAAAAAGGAGGCAAAGCAGCGTTGAAAAGGAGGCGTAGAGGCTTATTGTATACAGTGTATGTATGTGTCTCTAAAGGCATTGCTATTCCTGTACATGTACATATTGAAGCAAGCATGACATGGACGACACACAGCGAAGGGATTGTGCGGCTTGTAGAAAATGAATCATATATAGTTATTGATCTGTTCTTGGCATCGACTTATGTGTCATGCTGGTATGCTCTATTGAATTGTTAAAAGCGGAAAGAACAAGAGGATTCCTGAGAAGGTCAGTGTTTGTGTACGAGAAATCATACCAAATAGAGACAGCGAAGAAAGAGGCTGAAATGCATCACTTCCAAGAATAAGGAAACTATTGCAACTCCAAGTCCTGATGTGTTTGGTCTCTTTCTGATTGACATCTCGACAAGCAATGGATGCTAGTGCTTTCCCTGTCGAATATCAACATGGAGCGAGCACGTCTGGACTTTGAATCTTGTACTGTTACACTAAATGCAAAATAGCCCAAACAAACAGATACAATAATGCACCTGTAAATCTCACATGTATACGGAAATACCCAATTATTCAGTTGAAAACAGGAATAAAAATGACATGACTCATTTGATTGGGCAAAGTCGGATGGCCCTACTGTTTGCACAATTATATAAATGACACATATGCATTGCTCTTTTTCTCTATTCACGTATCCTCAATTTCTGATAAATCAAGAAAAGAACCCATATACAAATCTTATTTGATGACAATCACCCCTTCTATTGACCCAATTGTAAGCATATCTATTGAACTATTACCTGAATTTGGTTTCACCGTGCAAGATGAGCCTGTTTATGGACCTGGATCTGTATTCCAAGGTATGTTTGTAGTGACAAGAGAATTGCAAAACAAGCACCAACATGCATACATACTAGGCATTGTTCACCTTAAGATGAAAGAATCGCCTGTCGCGGCAGACCGCATTGTGTTGACATTTCGAGGTGCTGAACATGCTACTGCGGTCCACGATGGTATCAAGTTTTTAGTGCCGTTAATCAAGAACCCCTTTTTCGGTATGCAACAGACCCTCTGGCAACGTACACGAGACGATTGCTTGCTAACAGAGAGTCATTACCAGTTCCCCTTCACAATTCAGATGCCCATGATTCAATTTCCTCCCTCTATGGATCACGCACTTTATCAATGCAAGTTTGATCTCTCTGCCAAGCTGATCCGCACCACATTTACTCTACCTACCGTGTTGACACAGCGCACCATCAGTTACATGCCGTTCATTGAAACAAGTCTCTTGAAGCAACCCAACATTGAGGAGGGCTATCACAATGGATTGTATGCTTCTGCGCAACTGCACTCCTTGGCCTATGTGCCTGGTGACAGCATCCCAATCACTGTTGTAACATCACGCCGTCATGCCAACAAAAAGAGAAAAGCAGAGGAGGATGAACCAGCTGAGGTCAACTCGATTCTACTGGAATTGTGTGAAAAAGTGGAACTCGTACAGAGTCGGGCTGTTTCGATCACAAGAGTAGTTGCTTCTACCTTGTACAAGGCAAACTCCAAAGGGCACAAATATTCCATGGTCAAGACCAGAAACGGTGGTGGCGCAGAATACCAAGTGGCTTTACCTCTTCCTGTGGATTTGACTCCATCCATCAATTACTCAAAGGTTGTCCGTGTTTCATACACACTCAGGATCAAGATCAAGAGTAGCCAATGCTCGCTGATGGGGCCCCTCTTTAATTCAATTGTTGATATGGAGCTTCCTCTCAAGATTGGCACGCTGGGCTACGGCATTCGAGCCTCACAAGATCTGCAAGTCTATTATGTAGATACTGAAAGCTCTCCAAGATTCCTGCGCTCTTTAGAGTACGAGGAATCCCTGCCATTGTATGAATCTAGCCGACTCCCATCCTACCAACAAGACACATCCCTCATTGCATGACTTTAACCGCATTCAAAATTATTTATTACCCAGAGGAATCACCGCTTCTTCTTATACCTTGCTTGTATAATATATACATATCCCATCATTTTATCATTGATCTTTGCCCATAGTTAGCACCTTATATAATAAACCAACCATCCTATTTACCACTACTTCTTTACTGTTGTACTAAATAACGTGAGTGGCACATTAGCTCTACATCTGTCAAATCTAAACATTGCAGTTTTGGTTCCTGAAATGTTTCATTTTTATTCATTCAACAGCAATCATCAGAACAATCATGGAATGGATGCCATCAATAGAATATATATAATATGCGTTGTGTGTGTGTGTGTGTGTGTGTGTGTGCGTGCGTGAGTGCGTGTGGGGTGTGTTTTGTGTACAAGTGAGGGAAAGCAATTCGATACTGTGAGTTGTTTTTGAATTTTTCATTAAATCGACACTTAGTTCTCGTCACCAATCTTGGGAGCCAAGTAGTATCTGACATAACCAAGGTTCTCGAGCTTATAATCAACCAAAAGAGGGACGTCTGTTGATAAGTTCAAGCTAACACGGGCGGCGAGAGGTGTGGCCTTGGTGAAGTTGACGAGATACTTGATGGAGAATGTCATGGAGACGCTTTGCTGGAGTTCGATGACAGTGGCATCATCCTCGCTATCAACAGAGCTGTTGGCCTTTAAGGTGACAGCACCCTTACCAATCTCACCATCACTAGAGAACTTGATACCTTCCTTTGTACATTCAATAGTGACTATACATAACACATGAGTCAGTCTAGAAACTGATATATTGACATGGTCACTTACCGGAATCACTGAGGGTTTGTAAATCGCGACAGATTTCTTGGAATCTAACAGAAGACATGGTGACAACGGCTTCGTATGAGGTCTCAGGGATGCCCAAATGTTCACTGTCAATATCCATCAACTTGAGATCGTACTCACTAATCTTGTCGCTGTCTAATCACGCACAAAGCAACGCGTTAATGCAAACCAAGCTTCTGATTTCCAGTGTACGCATAACCTACCTTTGCTTTCAAACACCATGCTCAAAACATCACCCTCGTCGTCAGCCTTAAGGGTCAAGATGTCATCGTTACGAGCACACTTCAAGATCTTACCCAAGTTGGCCAAATTGATACCTAAAGGCAAGTTGCGATCACAACGGTAAGGATCAAAACCATCAGAGCGCAACAACATGGCGACTAAAGCGACGTGAGAGTTATCCATAGCTTGGAGAGCGATACCAGAGTCGTTACATTCAAAGTTACATTCTGTAACGAGTTCTCTGACAGCTTCAAGAAGAGATTTAAGGAGCTTGGCTTGTTGGAGGCGGGCTTCGAGCATTGTAGCTATTCAAATGTTACTTCAAAAGAAGCCTATGGACAAGAGGTTCTTGTTACTTACCTAAAGTGTTTGATTGATGAAAAGTTTAGGAGAGAAAGAAAAAGAGAATGTACGAAATCCGAAACGCGTCTTTTGGATTGAAAAGATTTTTTTTTTTTTTCAAATGGTATGAATTGCGCGCTTTTCATCCGGTCCGGTCAATTGGATGCGCTTTGTTCGCATCCAGAGATGCCCAACTCTTTTGTGCATAGTTTATACTGCGCTTGGAAACATAAACGAAGGCTGAGCATGACTGAACAAGACCAAGAAGATTTGACGAACGCTGAAGCAACTCCTTTGGCCTCTACATCCACGAGAGAGTAGTGTCCAACAAAATCAAGAACAAAGAGCTTCGTGGCCTAAAGGTAAAAGACATTGGAGCTACAGATGCTCTTGCTGCTGCATTGTGCGGCTTCTCAAAACGAGGGTACAACTACTCCATGTTCTCTTTGTAATACTTCCGGTTCTCTCTTCCTTTTTCCCTTCAGTGAAGTGATAGCTTTCTTATACAGCATTTGTACATGCAAACACCCAACGACGACATACTGAGCCCGGACTATAGCAATCCATTGCAGTATTTCAGCTCGCAATCATTATCTCGAACAACACCTCCCATCTATGCAGATGACCCATGGACTACCAGCAGCAACGCTTCTTTTGACTTCAATGATACAAGCAATAGCAACAACTATGCAGTGGATAGTAGTTTCATGATGGAAACAGAGCTGGATCACCAGGACGCAGGGTTTGGGGCGGAACTGACAGCTAACAATGTACTTTGTGAGTATATACACAGCACGATTGAATAGCTAAGCATCGTATTCAATATGTATCTGGTAGTGGGCGCGGATGTTCCTGATGCCTATTTCGACATCTACAGCAAATCAAATCCTCGTCATGAGAGAATAGATGCCAGATCGCTGCAGGTTATATTGCATTTGGCGGGCATACCTGTGTTTCGGCAGCAAAAGGTTTGAACAGTGCTTCATTACATAGGATGGTTTGCTCATAAAAAGTGTATTAGGTCATTAGCCTGGTTGTCACTCCTGGCGAGAACTCTGTTACACGGAATGAATTCAATGCTTATCTAGCGCTGATTGCCTGTGCTCAGAAAAATATGGGTAAGATAGTGCCATTGCCTCATATTAAACCAACCGTATACAAACAAACATTCGTTGCATAGATATATCATTAGAAACCGTATATCATTATCGAAATGGTGCGTATATCAGGGATTGCTGGTAATGTACAACGCACTAATGCCCGCCCACGTCAACTAGATCTACCTATACCAGCCATATCCGACATGGAATCTTACAATATCCACGACATGCCCACAATGAACAAGGAGTCACCAGCTAAAAAAGAGGATCCCTGGGAGAGTGATCAGCCCAAGCAAGCCGATCGCTCCGATGTGTCAAGCACAAACACTGCTGTCCAACCAGAGACACACGATCAACAGCAACATCAAGCGCAGCTCAATCGATCTCTCCATCATCAGGAACAGGAAGCCATGAACCAATGGTTTCGCGATCTAGATCATATATCGGTTTCCCGCACATCAGAAAAAGAAGGCTTTTTATTCAAGCACATCAACTATGAAGTGGAGAGCGAGAAGTTAGGCTGCAAAGTACTTCGACGGTTCAGTGATTTCTGGTGGTTGTGGGAGGTTTTACTGAGAAGATACCCTTATCGCATCATGCCAAATTTACCGCCGAAAAAGCTGGGAGGAAGTAAAGTGCTGCCTGTTATGATTGAGTCTCAGGATGTATGCCAACCTTGTTTACATTTGCTCATAGGAGACGATATGTTTGAGGAAAGAAGAAGAAAGGGCCTTGTTCGTTTTATCAATTCTGTTGCAAGACATCCTGTATTGGGCAAAGACGACGTTGTCGTTGCATTTTTGAGCCATCCCTCTGTAAGGCTTTCCTTGAATCTTTGTTAGTGGTACTCATTGTTTTTGTAGGAAATCAATTCATGGAAGAGAGCAAATTCTCCCTCATTAGACGAAGAATTCGTTAGGAAATCACACAACATTGCTTATTTAGAGCGGATGATACCTATGGATTTAGATGATCGCATTGCTAGGATGAAGAAACGACTGTCTATCTCAATACAACAGTACGAGCGCATGTGCTCCATAATGAACCAGATGAATAGACTGAAGAAGGCATTAGGGACTGATTATATTCGATACAGCACCACATTAAAGTAAGTAAATGGTAGAGGCGAGATCCGTGCAGAAGAAGGCACTTATCTGAATACAGCTCTGTCAGTGAACTGGACAAAAATTGCTGGGTTCCCAATTGCCAAGGATGCCCAGAGGTGATAAGAGGCTACAACAGCATTGTAAAGTCGATGCAACAAGCAGGTGCCATGTTAAACACACAGGTAACGTTATGAGACTCACCGAATACATTCAATGTATTTATGGCAAAGCCTGAATCATAGGCAAAGGCTACAGGAGACAGTATCGTGGAGAGTTTGAAAAGACAACGGGATCTGCTGGAATCATTCAGAGTATGGCAACAATAGGGTTGTTTGCTACTAGCACTAACTATATTTATCTTGGTAGGAGCTGCTTGAACGCCGAGATAGAATGAGCCCTATCCAGAATGATACGCTTTCGAGGCAAATGGCCAGATACAAAAAGGGCCAGCTACAACCATCTGTTGCTCATGATGAAGACGCAGCGTCTCAAAACGACACTACGACATCTCAGCCTCGCCTATCGTTTGATGACGCCACGGGTGGACTATCGCTTGTCAGACAGCGCAACGTCTTTATCAAGCATTGCTTCATGGAAGAGCTATCATACCTTCACAAGCAGCAGGCAAGTGTGTCTGTCATGTACAACAGATTTGTGAGAGACGAGGTGAAGTATGCAAGACAATGGAGCGATCATTGGAAAGGTTTAGAGATAGCAACAAGTGAAATGCCCAGCGCACCTCATGATTTTTTGTAATAAAGCAAAAGCCCGTATTCAAAGTATCATATCCCATCTCTTGATTAGGGTACAAAATATTGCATCTCATATTAGCATTTGCATTGGGGATGAGCAATTTGCAGCAATGAAAAATAATCTAATACAAAAATAAGTAACAGGTTAACCTATTGTCTATTTCTATTCGCAATTCCCTCATTTATTATGAACTTCCGAGAGCATTTGTAGCCATGATGAGTTGTATAGCATTGATGATTATCAGCTAAAACTCATTCAACTCCGACTAGACGTTTTTTATCCGATTTGTTCCATTTTCGATTTCTTTGATCTATTTTCCATGATTCGACTATATAAAATATAACGGCCATCCCATGGTTCCTCATGCATTTCTGGAGTACTTTTCGAGGCGTATCCAATGGCGCTACCTACTAGCAATGTTTTAAACAAATTTATTGAGCAATTTATGGAAATACGAAATGAGGTTTCTGGCCAAAAAGTCGAAATTCTACATATCAAAGTCCCACAAAGATGATTTCAGAGGTTGCTTTGGATCGATAGAAACATTTTGATTCAAGATATACCATAGTAAAAGTCTTCATTTTCAAGGTCAAAAATGCGATCGCTTGATTTTCGATGAAAGCCATGAGGGGTACCTCATGCTTTTTGGCCAATTTTTGGCCATGTTTTTTTAGGTCCCCAAAAAGTTGAGCAAAGGTGTCAGAAAGTAACTGTCAGATGAGAGCAACTGTTTGGTGCTATTCTGACAGTCTAAAACAGCTCCTAACACGAAAAAACGCGGCTCAAATGCATCTAATTTTGCAGTATTTTGTATTCTTTTGACTAGCAAAAGGTAATGCAAATACGCTCTCTGCCCAAATTTGCACTGTTCCCATCAAGACAGACGTGGCGCATCCTAGAATGGTCAGATCCACAGCTATAAGTTGTTTAGCGAAGAATCTTTTATACTAATGGGAAGAGAACGAAGAGAAATATTTGTCAACATTCGTAGAATTCTTCATAACCTCTTGCAAAGCGAGCATGCCTCTATCGAAGCTTATAATTCAACTGGGTGATCGTTCCCAACCATCCCTTTTTTTTTTATGGCTTGAATTGCAGCTCTACCACATTACAAAAAGAAGAATTCTAAACAATCGCCGGGGGGGAATTTACGTATTTGTCATTCTTCTGCACATCCCACTGAAATCATGTGTGGCCTTGGACACATTAAACACAAACAGCCTACATATTCTCTTTTATACAGATTCATTTCCAAACACACTGCCGTCTCCAAATCTAGACCTGATTATAAACGATGATGTAGTGGAAAAAGAATGAGCGGTGCGTTCCTTGTACACCATTTCTAAACACTTGGAACTGCGATTTAATGCAAACCTTTTTTCCAAATGTGGTAAATCAAATTAGATGTTGAAAAAGATGGGTTGATCTAAGATGGGAGTATTATTTTTTATTGCTTGGGTTTTTGTACAAAAAAATGTGGTTTTGGGAGGGTGATAAAGTAGAGATTTTTTGTTTACAAAATAAATATGATAGTCTAATAAAACTTGAGAAAATGGGAGGGGAGGGGAGGGGCAAAAATGTTTATCACGTTGTATATATATATATATATGCTGGGGATGTAGGATGGAGTTTATGCAGATGCTTCGGCACTGATGGAGGTGATGTGTTCAGGCTTTTCAATCTTTTCCAAGAACTTTGTATGAACGCCGTCAGCCTTGGCTTGGTGGTATGAACGAAGCAAGACATCAACATCGTCAAGTGAGAGAGGTCTGACATCTGCTAATTCCTTGATCTTGGCGGTAACTGCCTTGGCATCCTCATCCGTCAAGTCCAAATCAAGTTGCTCAACACGGTTTTTGACAGCATTCCAACCAGTCAAACGATGGCCAATACTGACATAACGAGTCATACCGAAATCAGTAGGGTTCAAGATTTCATAGGTGGAAGGGTTGTTCAAGATGGCCTTGGCGTGAATACCAGCCTTGTGAGTAAAGGCACAGTAACCAGTAATGTAGTTGTTGAAGGGAACGGTAACCTCAACTGCTTCAGCGACAATGTTTTCAACTTCACGAATCTTGGTAAGATCGTACTTGGTCTTGACATGCTCCTTGTCGGCAGTGTACATTCTAGCCAACAAACCGCCCAAAGGAGTGATACCATTACGCTCACCAATACCGAGAACAGATGTATCAATATGAGTGGCACCAGCTTCCAAAGCTATCATATGAAAAATGCTCCGTAAATACCATGATCCCCTCTTTTAATCTACGATCTTTTTCAACTTACCAGCATAAGCGTTAGCAATAGCACAACCAGTGTCGTTGTGGAAATGACATTCAATATCACAGCTGACGACGCTTCTCAAAGTCTTGACGAGTTCATAGACTTGACGAGGGTTAGCACAACCAACAGTATCGGCAATACCAACACGATTCACACCAATCTTGTCAACAGCCTTGTAGATGCTCAAGAGATCAACGAGATCAGAGCGGAAAGAATCCTCAGTAGAGAAACGCACCTCAAGACCCTTACTCTTGATATATGTAATCACCTCGATAGCTTGCTTGGTAATGTATTCCATATCCTTACCATGGGAGAACTCACGAAGGAAGCTAGATGTGCCAATAACAACATCAAGACCATCAACACCAGTATCAATGGCCAACTTGGCATCATCCATATGACAACGGACATGAGTCAGGATCTTGGCCTTCAAGCCGAGGTTAGAGATGACAGTACAATCGTTGCGAGATTGCTCAGAAGCAGCGGGAGACGTTAATTCGAGGTAATCCACACCAATGTCATCAAGGGCCTTTGCAATTTCTTTGATTCAGAAAAAAAAAAAAAAAAAAAAAAAAAAAAAAAAAAAAAAAAAGTTAAACATTTTGTTCACTGTGTGTTTCGGTTGATTTGCTTCCAATATACTTACCAACTTTCTTTTCAGTAGTGAAGAAGGCATTAGCGAACTGTTCACCCTCTAATAGAAACAGATCAATACGCATGCCAATCACCTTCCGAATTGAGCTTACCTCTGAGTGTGGATTCAATGATCTTGAAATTACTGACATTTGAGTTGGGATCATTGGATGCATAAGGGGAAGCAGCAGCTTCTCTGGGCTTATTGTTACCGTTAGCTTGGAGACCGTTTTGAGCCATATTTAAGATTTGTTTTAGTTTTAGTACAGGTGAGTTAGGTAAAGAAGAGAAGAACAAAAGTAGATTTTGCAAATTGGAATGTTTTATATATCACATTTTGGGAGAAACTCTAAAATCTATCCATCAAAACTGATTATCATCATCTTCACATAGTCACAGGCATTAGTACGGTGATTTAATTACCGTATATGGCATGGCCAATCATCCTATCAATCAATTCAGGTTTGCTTGAATGGGAGATGATAATCTAGCATTTGATTACCATAGCAGACAAACTCAGACTGTCCTCTCCTTCTTTGTTTGTTTGCCCTTTATCCATCTTGATTTGATTATCTTTCTGGATTAGCTCCAAAAAATAGATCGTCTTTGATCTTGGATCTTTCGCCTCACCATTTGAGCAATAGTGAACATTGCAGTTAGAGGCAAACCTTATTACCCCGCCCTGTGAAATGTCAAACCATGGAAAGGTTTACGAATATCAATCAGCATACAAGATGTGGTCCTCTTGTTCCATTGGATGCTTTCATCTATTGATTTGTCATGAGAGCTGTTGAAGACCATGTGTGGTATTGTGTCCGTCGAGAAAGTCAGAGATGCCTTGTCTTTTTGTGTTCACTTGGTTGCATAAGCAGCTTGAGACTTTCATGAGATTTTCATTTCTGGATTCACTACTAGAAATGCAAGGTGATCGGGTGCACAGCATGTTATTCATTGCGTGATATTCATTACATTTACTCTGGCTAAAGCTGAGAATTTCGTAATGTACATGCTATTTTATCAGATCTTGGAGTTTTACATGTATAAAACAGATATTTAGATTTCTTATTTATTTCTCGTCATAGGCTACCGGGAATACACTCTGTATATACGCATTACGTTTGTTTCCTGGAGGATAGTAGTTACAAACATAATAATAGCCATTCATATCATCGCAGTAAGCTTCAGCACAGCCAATTCTCGTTGTTTCCTCCCAGACGACTTGGGTGAAATGCCTGACTTCTTCACCATTCCAAGATGCTCCATCTTGAAAACCATAATTCTCAATTTCAAGATTGTACCATTCCTTGATGGCAGCAGAAATGGAGGGCTGACCATAGCCAATGTTCTCTCCACAATGATCGTGGTAAGGTCGACGATCCTACATAAAAAAAAAAAAAAAAAAAAAAAAAAAAGAAATCAATCTCTATTGATTTTTTTTTTTTTTCATCGAGTATCACCTACATCACTATAGCCCCAGTAGCACTGATGAGCCCAGTATTGAGCATGTCTTGCAAGCGTAGTGTCCCATCTGACAGGATTGACATTGTGCCGTTCTCTGAATGTGTTGTGTGCTTCAAGCGCAGCAATTTTCAAACTGAATTTGGCTGCATTACAGCAAACGACAGCCACCAATGCAAATGCTGCTAGTGTAAATACAACCATGCTGTTATGTTGTTGAGTAAAAGAAGGAGTGTTTCTTGTTATCCATTTTATACTTGGCCATTCGTGAGTTCCACCATTGAAATGTGGACCATGAGTGTAATAAAGGGAGATCTACGAGGAAGAAGCTAATGGCAGTGATTCATATGATGAATCACTCGTTACTAAAAGCCTTGGACGATTCATCAAACTACATGGTAAAAAGTACCAAGCTCCTGAGTGCAATCATGGTAAGCATATAGAGTCATAAGCTCACTCGGACGCTTTCAAAGGAGATCAAGTCAAGCAGCTCATGTCACATAATGAGAGGGAAGTGACTGAGCTAGTTTTGCTACTAATTGTGCATATACAAATCACATCCACCATGTACATGTTGCTAACGTCAACGAGAAATATATACAGTTTTATTGTTTTTAACCCAAAATGGGCTTGATAATACGCTCCAGCACTTGCAATATCAAGACTCTGTTCAGATTGGGATCTTGACAGCGCGCCCAGATACGATCCATTGCCGTATTGCAGTTTTGATCTCCAATCAACTGTCTCACAGCGTTGGGAATCAATTCATTCATCAACATGGTCCTCGCTAGCTGCTTGCTCTTTTCCTTGTCCTGTTCTGTTCGCTGCACTTGCTCTTTACCATCGTCTAACATCCATTTGCCTTCGGGCCAAAACTGCTCCCCCAGTTGATTCAGCATTCCCACAATGGCGTCCGGCGACATGTATTCTTCAATGAAATCCGTGTACTGCTCTGAAATGAATTGCGCATAGGAACGACGCACAATCTCTCGTAGCAGGTTCAGTATGGATCGACGCATCCAAGCTTTGTTGTTGGAAGAGGTCAGGTTGAAGATTTCCACCACGAGAGCGTACGTCGTTTCAATCAACAGTTCCACATCCATAGAGGATAATGCTTTGGTGTTATTATTGGTGCTACTGTTGATAGAGGTTGAGGTATTTTGGCGTTTAGGTTTATCATCATCCACGATAGAATCCACCACTGTGTGCCTCTTTTCCTCCTCAAAATCCTCTGCGTCGTCTCTCGCCACTGTGATAGCACTGTCCTTTGACAAGTTACTTTGCATACTCGATACCGAACCTTGCCTTGTTTTCGTCTTTGGTGCAAACCACTTGTTGTTGGTATCATGATCCATGCTCTGTCTTTCGTCTGCTGCTGTATTGTCCGTTTTTGGGTTGGAGGCTAGACCCGCCACATTAAGATTGCTTGTGCTATTGCGAGAAAACAGAGATCGTGATTTACCGCTGCTGGTGGATGCTGTATCTAATGCCGTTGTATGATCCACCGCTGCTGCCGCTGCCGCTGCTTCGTGCTTGTATTCATCAGCAAAGGACGTAACAGTGCCCTCAGCAATCTCAGCCCGTCTTTCTTTTCTCAGGAACGGTAAAATAATCTGATCTGTGCCTAATTCCTCATCTTGCACCACAGTATCAATGTATTTTTCCAGCGCTGCCCCTACGACTTCCAGTGGCACCTTTCTCTTTTGCTGTGTACTTGATTTCTTGAGCCAAGATTTTGTGGTGGTGTCCAACGGCAGCTTCAATTGCAGCTTGGCAGCTCTCTTTGCATGTCTAGCATGTAAAATAGTATTGAAGCATTCAAAATCAGCATAGCTTCTTGTAATCACATAACCGCCACCCTCAGAGCCTGCATGATCTTCCATGGCAGGTCTTTCAATCTGCACAATGTACACGAGCTCCGTCTTGTTGAGTGGCTGGTCGCTTGGTTGAGGAGCAGAGATATCCATAATAGTAAAGTTGACTGATCCACGACTGAAAATCATGCTGGGCGGGGCCAGCGGTGATGGAGGAGGAGGAGGAGATTGTAGAGACGCAAGCACGGTGGTCTCTTGTTGCTTTGGTGCGGTGACAATAGGTGCTGGCTTGAGCTGAGCCGTTGCTCTTGTAGGCTCTGGTGTATCTGGAGGCGTGACCTGATCCAAGCTGCTTGTAACGCTATCGTCATCTTCAGTTGATTTTCGAATGGAATCTGATTGCTGTTCTAGCGTAAAACCTTCCTCAGCAACCAACCCAACATCTGGCGCATGGCTGGCATCTGCAGTCAAGATGACAGCAGCCGCAGACACAGTAGAAGTGATGGATTTGGCCTTATCCTTGTCCGATAAAAGATCAATAATCCAACAATTGAGAAAGTCAGGATCACTCAGGCTATCCAATATACCCCCAAACAAAAATGTAGCCAGCAACTCCTTGAATAAGCTCATCAACAGTAGCGAATCTCTGTCGGCTGTCGGTAAAGTGCGTTTGAGGAATGTTTGACTAAGGCTTCGAAGCTGGCGATGCTGTTCTTCTTTTGACAGTAATTGAGCAAAGGGCGATTGGGGATTCTCAATAACATAGTCGTCCATGGATAGCTCAGACTCTTCCAAGGCTCTGCACTCCCTCTACAAGAATAATAAGGAGAAAGCGATTGTCAATCATCTAAGGAGTCAATGCTTCCATCTCCAATATACTATTACCATATGAATGATCAGCGTATTAGCTACACCGTATAATGTGGACATGACAATGTCGTTTCTCTCTTGATTCAGCAGGATCTTTTGCACATTCAGGAATACAACATTGAGCCTCTCTCTTGCCAATCTCTCAAATGTGGGGTCATGGTGTATGTTGATGGGCGTCCACCAGCTCGAGACAAAATCACGCATAACATAATCCAACAACTGATTTACAACGATAGTCAAAGGCGGATAATAGAGCTCAACCTCTTTTGCAGGTTCTAGGCTATCACTAAACTAATTTAAATAGGTTATTCTTGTGTTGCATCGCACATTTGCTTTGTCTACCTGTTCCAACGTTTGCTCTTTGTACGATAGATTTCTCTCAAAATGCGAGTAGTCGGCACTGGTTGTTTGATGACTGGAATAAAAGAGGCCAATCGAGAATCCAAGCACAATGAAGACGAGGAAATAGTAGCCATCGGTGATGAGTAAACAGGCATAAACAACGAGGAACGCTATCAAGGCGAATGGTGTGATTTCTCTCAAGAAAGACTTATTTTCTATAGGTATGTATATCTTTAGCAGCTGTATCAAGGCGTCCAATCCTGTATACGACGACATGATCATGTAAAATAGAGAGGAAAAAGAAGGATAAATCTCGAGTATTTGGAAAACTAAGGGTTCAGTTGTAATTTTGCTTTATTTCGGGTTGAAACCCAGGCATGTCTTGCTCTGTTTGGTATATCTAGCCCGGGAAAATCACAGCGACATAGGAATGCCATCATTCAATCATGGTGAAACACACACACACACACACACACACACACATAGCCAATTCGGAAGAACTAGCCCATAGTCCATGCTGAATTCAACGGTAAAAAAGACGCACCGACGGATTAACCGTGAAGCGAGCGAGCGAGCGAGCGAGAGCGACGCACAAAAGCATAATCAGACATCGTGCACTTCGGACATTGATACGACACAATATAAACAAAAATTTGTCATGAGATAGCAGCAACTTCTTTGTTCTTTAATACGATAATATGCCATTCTCAAAAGGAAAATATTGCTGTGGATTTGTGCCTATCAAAACAGGTAAATCAAGTCTCATTTACATCAAGCAATGGGTTAGTGATTGAAGTGCAATGTTTGATTTGAAATGTAGGTGTATCACTCATCACAATATTTGGCATCGTAAGTGTCCTCGTAGTGCAAACAGTGAAAAGCGCTGACAATGCTATAGCTGAATAAACTCTCTGGCTTCTATGGCATCTTGTCGTTTGATTTTAGTGATTTTCTTGCCACCCTGATTTACATTTACTCGCTCATTGCCATTGCGGTGTTCTCATACGGCCTTTATGGCTTATACACAGTATGGTTTCTATCAGAGTAGACGATGACACACAATCTCACAAGCAGGATTATAGGACAATGTTCGCATCCTTCGTTGGTACACCATGCTGTTTTGGCTGGATTGTTTTGTCAGTTTGATCACCACTGTTTGGTTCGCAGTTACTTGGTTTTTGTACACGGATCACAGCTTGCCTGAGCTGGCAGATGATCCAGAGAAATTAGCAGAACATGATCGTGTGTTTAGAATGGAGAGCCAGGTCAGCATTGCTGTGCTCGTGGTGTTGAGATTGGTGCATGTAAGTTGGTTTGCCATGGTTCCAAGCAGAGAAATGCCAAACTGACATGTTATGGTAGTTTTATTTTGCACTCATTGTCACTCGCTACTACAAGGCCATCAACAGAATCAGCTACTCCAAGGTCTCTACAGAGAACATTGACCTCGAAGAGACAGGCAGAAGCACGGAGCCAGCAGCACCCAAACCAGCACAAGATTAAAGTATATTTCAACATTTCCCCTACTAGACACATAAATAATGCAAAACCAGATTCACAGATTTGATCTAAAAAAAGCGACCATCAATCTAAAAATGATAATCTTCAGTAGCACCATTTATGGAATCTTGATCTTTCTGAGCGTTGTGGGGGGGGGGTATGTGCGAGAGACTGATTCAGAGTGGGGAGTGTAGAATGACTGTTGATCTTTGGAGGCCTTTCCATCTCTACATCAATTACCATATTAAGAAGGCAACTTTTTTGAGAGGGTCTATATAATGCTTGGATGCATTTTCTCCATCTTTTTTTCCTTCTTTTTTTCTCTTAATATATATATATATATATATACATATACATACACAGCAATGGTCAACGCAGCCGACAACATTACATTATGGAAGTCCCGTCTTCAGAATTTGACAGACCTTCAAGTCCCTACAGACTATCCTCGGCCATTGCCTGCTCGCACTGTTGAAGAAGTTCAGACATTTGATCTCTCGGAGCAAACATTGTTGAGTTTGGCTCAATTCTCCATGATTCCCTCTCATCCTACACCTTTCTCGGTCATTCTAGCTGCATTCTCTGTGCTTCTTCAACGTTACACTGGCGATGAGGAATTTGCTATTGGCACTTCATCTCCTACTGGAAATCCTCTCTTATTAAGGCTCAACATTGACCCAGCAAGTACACTATCTAGCATTATTCAAATGGTGACAGAGGTAACGTATACAGAGAATGTGTGTGTCATTGGGTAGTAGGAGGGAGATGCTAATCAAAGCATCATTGCAGGTCGAGCAAGAAGCTTTAGAGCAAGAGGTGCCTTTTGATCTACTCTATGAAGCCATGTACAAGGACACAGACCCTGACAGCAGACGTCCTCTCTGTCGTGTTCGTTTCTATAATGAAATTGACACACCTTCTCAACACCATTTGGCCAGTAGCTCTGCCAGCTCAGATTTGACTGTGTTCATCTCCTCTCCCGAGCAATCCGCGTCGCTTAGAACCTCCTTCCTCCGTCCTGTTTCCATCCGTGTTGTATATAACCAAATATTGTTCTCTCCCAGACGCATTGAATACCTCTTTTCTCAATTGGCTACATTGATTGAAACGGGCGCCAAGTCTCAAGACCTTGCTGTGGGTCAAATCCCACTCTCTGACTCTGGATCTGAAGGTTCACCACTTCCTGATCCCACTTCTGATTTGCATTGGTCACAATGGAGAGGCGCCATCACGGATATCTTCTCCGCCAATGCCAACAAGCATCCTGAGCGTACCTGTATTGTGGAATCCTTGGATGGATCAGACGCTACTGTCACTTACAACTATCAGCAAATCCACCATGCTTCCAATACAGTCGCCCACTATCTGGTGGCCAATGGTATCCAAAGAGAGGATGTAGTGATGATTTACGCTTACAGAGGTGTTGACCTCGTTATTGCCATCATGGGTGTGCTTAAGGCGGGTGCTACTTTTAGTGTTATCGGTAAGTTTGTTCATTCCTATCAGCAAAAATCAAAATGGCTTACATAATTTCCATTCTCTCCTGATACAGATCCTGCTTATCCTCCTGCTCGTCAAGAAATTTATCTTTCAGTCGCCAAGCCCAAGGGTTTGATTGTCTTGCAAGAAGCCGGTAAGATTGCTGATTCTGTCAGAGAGTACATCAAGAACGAGCAAGATATTGTCTGTGAGATCCCCAATCTTAAGATTGGCAGAGATGGCCATTTGTCGGGTGGTGCAGTGTCTGGCGGTTCTGATTTGTTGGATAGCGTGCGTGCCAAGGCATCTCAAGATACTGGTATTGTGATCGGTCCTGATAGCATTGGTACATTGAGTTTTACTAGTGGCAGTACGGGTATTCCCAAGGGTGTCAGAGGCAGGCACTTTTCATTGACCCATTTTTACCCCTGGATGGCTGAGACTTTTGGCATCTCGAGTCAAGACAAGTTCACTATGCTCTCTGGTATTGCTCACGATCCTATCCAACGTGACATCTTTACGCCTCTCTTCCTGGGCTCTGAATTGCATATCCCTACCTCTGAGGACATTGGTATCCCCGGCCGTCTTGCTGAATGGATGCATAAGAGCCAAGTTACTGTTACTCACTTGACACCAGCCATGGGTCAACTCTTGTCCTCTCATGCCCAAGTAGAGATCCCCTCTCTGATCAATGCCTTCTTTGTCGGCGATATCTTGACCAAGCGTGATGCTGCTCGTATCCAAAAGTACGCACCCAATGTCGCTGTCATCAACATGTATGGTACCACTGAAACGCAACGTTCTGTCTCTCATTTTATCGTGCCTGCTCGTTCATCTCATCCTGCCTTCTTGAGTTCTCAAAAGGAGGTCATTGCCGCTGGTAAGGGTATGGTCAATGTACAGCTTTTGGTCGTCAATCGTCATGACCGTACCAAGATGTGTGGTGTTGGTGAGATTGGTGAGATCTATGTCCGTGCGCCAGGTCTCGCTGAAGGCTATCTTCAACTGCCTGAAGCTACTGCTGAAAAGTTTATACCCAACTGGTTTGTTGCTAATCCTTGCCAGGACGATGGCGTGGATGAGTCATGTGTGGAGGGCGATGCTTGGAAGCAGTTTTACTTGGGTAAGCGTGATCGCATGTACCGTTCTGGTGATTTGGGTCGCTATCGTCCTGATGGCAATGTCGAGTGTACTGGTCGTGCTGACGATCAAGTCAAGATCCGTGGTTTCCGTATTGAGCTCGGTGAGATTGATACCCACTTGTCCCAACATCCTTGTATCCGTGAAAATGTCACCTTGGTGCGTCGCGACAAGAACGAAGAACAGACGCTGGTTGCCTACTTTGTGCCCAATCTAGCTGGATCTGAAGGTGATTTCGCCAGCGCCACTGAAGGCGAGGGTGATTACGACGAGAATGATGTGCGCTCCAACCATCACTTCCGCAGACTGATCAAGCACGTTCGTGATTACTTGAAGCAAAAGCTGCCCTCGTACGCTATCCCTGCTGTCTTTGTTCCTCTGGTGCGCATGCCTCTCACTCCCAACGGCAAGGTGGACAAGAATGCTTTGCCCTTCCCTGATACTGCTCAATTCAACAAGAACGCTCCTGCACCTGAGGCTGCTAGCAATGCAGAGCTTCCTCCCATGTCACAAAACGAAGCCGCCATCCACGCTATCTGGAAGGACCTCTTGCCCTCCTCTGACCCCGTTATTGGTCTCACGGAAAACTTCTTTGACATTGGTGGTCATTCATTGATTGCTACGCGTCTCATCTTTGAAATCAGACAGAAGTTCCAAGTGGACGCTCCTCTTGGCCTCGTCTTTGCTGAACCTACCATTGCTGGTCTCGCTCGCGAAGTCAACAAGCTGCAAAACAGTGATCTCTTGCTTGAGAGCAACATGGAGCAACAGCCTGAAGAAAAGAAGGAAGTGGTGAACTATGCTGCTGACCTGGAGCCTTTAGCCAAGGAGTTTTTGGCCGAATCCTATGGTCCTTTGGCTGCGCCTTCTAATGAGGGTCGCACCTTTGTCTTGACCGGTGGTACTGGTTTCTTGGGTGCTTTTATTCTCGACAAGCTCCTCAGTTACAAGGACACCAACAAGGTGATTTGTGTCGTGCGTGCCAAGGATAATGCTACAGCCTTTCTACGTGTCAAGCAAGCCTCTATCGATCATTTGCTCTGGAATGATGCTTGGGAGAGTCGCATTGAAGCTATCTGTGGTGATTTGGGAAGCGACCGTCTCGGTCTGTCTGAGAAGGATTGGTCTCGCTGTGCCTCTGGTGCTGATGCCGTAGTTCATAACGGTGCTCTTGTTCATTGGGTCTATCCTTACCATCAATTGCGTGCTCCTAACGTCGTTGGTACACTTTGGGCTATGCGTTTGGCTACTGAACAACGCCAAAAGTCGTTCCACTTTGTCTCCTCCACCTCCGTTCTTGATACGCCTGCTTTCCTCGAAACCGGTGCTCCTGTGTCTGAAGACAACAACCTCGAAGATGGTCGTTTAGGTCTCGAAAATGGTTATGGTCAAAGCAAGTGGGTTGCTGAAAAGCTGATCTTGGAAGCCAGAAGCAGAGGCATGCCTGCTACCATCATTCGTCCTGGCTATATCTTGGGTGATTCTCGTTCAGGTGTGACCAACACAGATGATTTCATCTGGCGTTTGTTAAAGGGATGTGTTGAACTCGGTTATCTTCCTGCCATGTCCAACGATATCAATTGCTGTGCTGTTGACTATGTAGCCTCTGTAGTAGCAGGTGCTGCTTATCACGATCAAGAATCTACCAAGTTGGGTGTGCTTCAAGTGACTCATCCTGCTGGCTTCACTTACAACGAAATGTTTGGCTCCTTGCTCACTTATGGTTACCAATGCCAGCAGACCGAATACATTGACTGGAGAAACAAGCTGATGGAGTACACCCTCAAATCTCAGGATCACTCCTTGTTCCCTCTCCTTCACTTTGTCCTGGATGATTTACCAACTTCTACCAAGAGTGCTCAATTGGATGATACACATACTCAAGCTGTATTGGCTCTTGACGGTGTCAAGCAGCCTTTGATGGGCGATGAGCTTTTGGGTCTCTATCTTGCTTATTTGATTAAGGTGGGCTACATGCCTCAACCATCTGCTGGCTATCGTGCTTTGCCTGAATTGAAGGCTGAAGTTACCTTGTTGAAGCGTAGTGGTGCCAAGCATTAGATTCACATTTCTGACGGTTAATCCTCTCTCTTTATATAATTGTACCATATCTAAATAAAACTGCCCTACATAGACTATTATCCAAAGATATCTTTACTTTTCATTTGTGTGCTGGCAAGTGTTTGAGCAACTATGTGAGTGAAAAAAAAAAAAAAGTCTGTTCCTAGACTACATTGAACCACAAATGAAAATATCCCAAACATTCAACAGGTTATCCACCACATGAAACGACGTATTTGGCTAACATTTTCAAGAGAATCAATCAGAGAATGGCCATGCTCAAGTCCTCACATCATTTGGCACCTTTTCCTAGATCAACATTGCCTGGAATGTCAATGCAACTTGGACAATGACAGGTAGAAATGGTCACAGAACACAGTACTGCCGGGGTGGCTTTCTTTCAACATCTCTAAATCAACCCCCTCAATCTTCCTTCTTATATCCCCTTGTCACCTTTTTAAACATTCGTTCAATATGCCTCGTGCCGCTTGGAAAGGTCCATTCTTTGTAGCATTCCCTGGCTTGAAGCAAGCTGTTCAAGCTGGTACACCCATTGCCACTCAAGGTTTGTATAGATGCCATCATCATCCATATGTACTATTGTTCTCATCACCTTGAATAAACAGCTCGTTCTTGCACAATCTTACCGTCCTTTGTTGGACTCAAGTTCCTCGTACATAACGGCAAAGACTACTTACCAGTTCATGTCACTGAAGAGATGATTGGACATAAATTGGGTGAATTTGCCTTTACCAGAAAGCGTTTCACTTATCGTTTCACCAAGGCCAAATAGACGACATGTTGTTTTATTGCGATATGATGTATATACACTTTTCTTCGAAACACACCACTGCAGTAAACCACAGCATAACAAACCACAACTACACAATCACTCACTCACACGCACTCACTCACAACTTGTACAATAATAATAACAATAAAATGCTGTTTATTTAATAAAGACCGGGTATAATTCTCTTTCGACCATGAGGGAAGGCTTGATGTAGCTTCTCTGCCGAGAAATGTGTTTGGTACCATAGTTGAGTCTCGCCAGAGACTACAGATAGATTGACAATTGTCCAAATTAGCCCACAGATGAGGATGTAATTTTGGAAACGGTAGAGTATGTTTAGCGAGAGATAGATTAGTATGTCTGCAAAGTAATGAGGTGTTACCAGCATCTCAAACCAATCTCCTCGTGGGATAAAGTAGCTGCTTGCTTGGTCTTTGGATTGTCGCAACAAAGATAGAATGGCATGGCATCTGTATTGATGATAAGAGGCATACAGGAACAAGGTGATGGCTGAAAGGGATATCATGTTGACATATGAGTCTTGTGCGCGACAGGATTCCACATTGGAGACACCTTCCAGCCAGGTACCTATTACCATGGCACCGTAAAAGCCCACACCGGTGAGATAGTGAGATACATGCATCGTGGCTGTCTTGGAAGGTTTCTCAACCCAAAACGATTCATACACTCGTCTCATCAAATGCAGTGTAAGCAGCGATAATCCAACGACACACTGTTGTCGAGATACATGATGGGTGCCAATGCGAGTATCATATTGATCCAGTAGCTGCATAATAAAGAAAGATTTGCTGAAGCTAGACAAGGATATCAATTCCACAATAGACAACACGGCTGTCATCAGTCCTATCACATAAAAGTGGCTAAAGTAGTGCTTGGGCACTGTCCATTTTGAAAGATGGTCAGCCCATTGTGTAGCAGGCTTTTTATTGTTGTGCAGATTCAGCTTTCCGTAGGCCAACACAGATGCTTGAAGTTCGTGCAATTGTTGAGCGCATATGCTTAGTATGGTGAGTAAGATTAAGCATGTACATATGAAGATGATCAGATACATGATGTATGTAAAGTGAAGAAAAAAGGAAAGAGGTGTATAAATAGGCGGACAGTGTAAATTTAATAGTAAACATGGAGCACACCAAACGAGATATTGATCAAAATACCAGCAACGATGCCCATTTGATGTCGTCTTGAAAACACGGATTCTCGAAACCAGAACAAGCATATGATGCCGAGAAAAAAGCCCAGCATCAGTCCCCACATCATTTCCTTGTATGTTCCTTGAATGGCTGAGCAATGGATTAGCAAAACATGCTTCTCTCCTACTCGAGGATCGAGATACACCTACTTCCATCTGGCAATGTCTCGCCCGTATTGTCCATCCACTGCTCCTCTAGATTTCTAGCTTCCTCTGTCGGGCCCTCTTCAAATGGTGTGCCATGTAGTCTATGAAATTGGGTTCGTATGTTTCGTATATCCTCTTCTGTGAATCCTGATTCTCGAAGTCGATCAAATCCTGTCGGTGGAGTCATTTGAGGCTGATTCTATGAGGAAGTGTTTTTTTTTTTTTTTTTTTTTTTTTTTTAGTCGCAAGCTCGTTTGCAATAGCAGCAAGGGCATACTGTACATTTTGTGAGCTAGGTGTTTCTGGAATGTAGTCAGACAACGAGCAATGAAAGTAGACTGGCGAAGGTGGCTCTAATTTGGCTTTCGAGTCTGTTCGAATAATCTTCCCCACACCATACTCTTTCAGCGTCTTTGGGTCCTCAAGCACTCTGCCGTTGTGTATCAGTCTAATGTATTTGCTTTCTATCCTACTAGAGGATTGCCGTATCTATGCATAGTGAGTATTTTCCTTTTTGCATTATAAGAGCAAGGCAAAAGGATGCTACCTTTTCTTTGATGGTATGGATGGTCTCGTCTGGCGATACACGTAAGATAAGGTCCTGTCTATCAGACCATCTGATGTGCAAGTCGACGCTATCATAGTATTCATCTGTTGCTTCCATTTTATCAGCAAAAGAAGAAAAGGGAGAGTGAAAGAGACCAAGCACACAAACTGATGCTTTTGGCCAATGATGCCATGCTTTTTAATCCTTTATAACATCCGAATCCCCACTGGCTGGATTACATAGAAATCACATTTCCCATTTTCCCTCTTGTTTTCTTTTTTTTCTTCTTTTCTTTTTATCTCCATTCATATAGACCTTAATAGCATTCATATCCTGTTTTTGTTTCACTTCATTAAACCATCATACAATGCCATACTCTTTACCCGGCTTAATAGGTAAATTACTACCGAAAAAAATTTTACTAGTGGCACTCAACAACTGTCAAATTCATGTTCTGTAGAGAGAGCATGTAGCCCTTCTCGTTTCGACCCTAATCTCGCTGTAAATATGGAAGTTTGCGAAACAATCAACAAAAAGCAAGGCAGTGCGTAAGTGTTTGCCACGTGTGGTTGTGGGTAAATGTTGTTGACGAATTTGTGTTTGTAGCCCAAGAATCGCTGCTCAGGCAATTGTGCGACTTGTCAATAGCATCAAAGTGAATCAAGCCATGCTGGCCCTTACCGTAAGTTTTTTCCCATGTCCTACAAGCACACACTGTACTCATCCCGTGCCTTAGTTGCTGGACAATTGCGTCAAGAATTGCGGATATCCCTTCCATCTTCAAATCGCATCCAAAGAGTTTTTGAACAACCTCGTTCGCCGATTTCCTGAACGCCCGCCTGCTCGATATGCGCCTAATCCTGTTCAATCAGCACCAGAAAATCAATGGAATCACTTTGACTATGTTCCGCCTCAGCAGTTCATCGCCAATCCTGTGATTGATCGTATCCTGTACTTGATCAAAGAGTGGAAGGTCGCTTTGACTGAATTATCGCGATACAAGGAAGACATGGGGCACATCAAAGACATGTACCGATTACTGAAATTCAAAGGTACGCTGTATATATACAGTACCATGGGATTATGCTAATTGAATGGTATCCTAGGCTATCAGTTTCCAGAACTTCGAGATTCTTCAATTGCCGCTTTAGCTCCTACAGAGGTAAGGCAATCTAGATGGAATTCCAACAAGTGTCAATTGACATGGAGGTTGTATGTATATTTAGACGTTGAAGTCAGCTCATGAATTGGAGGAAGAGGATCGTTTGGCCAAATCAGCTGTAAGTGTAAATCATTTAGGCTGTGGCTCGGAGACTAAGAGATTCCATAGAAACTGCAGGAACTGATCCGTCGAGGAAGACCACAAGACCTTGTAGAAGCCAACAAATTGATGAAAATCATGACTGGATATGTATGTTGGGATATTCAGAGAAGTTGCATGAAAAAGTACTGAAATGGCTGTAATCAGGATCAAAAACATCAAACCAATTTCAAGGAAAAGTTTGCAGAGGAGTTACACAAGATTCAAAACAAAGCACGTCTATTGTACGAAATGTTGGACAACATGAAGGAGGGCGATATCATTGAAGAGGAAGGCACAATGGAAGAGCTCAAGAATGCCTGCGAAAGTGCTCTGCCAAAGATCAAGAACATGCTCAAGGACGAAGAGGACGAGAGCAAGATTGATGAGTTGAACGAGGTCAAATCCATCATCAAGGGTGTCGTGCTCAAGTATCAGGATATCAAGCACGGCCGATATGACACGGAATACGACATCAGTGGTAACTTCAAGAGCGAAACCAACAGTCTGTCAGATAAGAGTGCACCGCCTCCAGCCATTAGCTTAATTGATTTGGATGACGCTTTTGAAAACACCTCATCCTCCTCCTCCCCTTCGGCTGCTGCGTCCTCATCAAAGAACGCCTTGGATGAACTAGCAGACATCTTTGGTGAAAAAACAACAGTATCCTCTACCAGCACAAGCGCACCACAGCAGTCGATGGATCCATTCGATTTATTATCACAATCTATCCTGTCAAACACGCTTCCTCCCTCAAGTCCCAACTTATCTCATCTCAATCATACCACATCATCTTCGCCCACTCTCACTCATACTACCACTACTACTACAGCATCAAGCTCTCCTGTCTCTCAAAAAGCAAAGATTCAGAAATTCAGTAAGTTGGCCAATGTAGCAGTATTCTATCGAGCACGTATAGATTAACGCGTGTGAAACAGTCAACTTGGTCAACAAGAACGGTCTCTCCATTCAATTAGAAGCCTACTCAGTAGGCGAGTTATGGAAACTAAAGGCTTACTATTCCAACAAGTCGACTGCGCCCATGGACAAGATGACATTACTTTTGGCAGCGCCAAGATCCATGCATCTTAAGATGAGCCCAGCTTCCTCTGACTCTGTGCCTCCTAAATCAGAGAATTCAGTGTCTCAGAGTATCACCATTGAGAATCCCAAAAAGGTAGGTTGAGGTGGTCGTTGGAGTTCGCAACCAAATGCTGATAATGGGTTACATAGGAACATTTGCGTCTCAAATACAAGGTTACTTATGAACAATTTGGTGTTGAAATGGAGCAAAGTGGCGATTACCACGACAATTAGATATGTAGACGTTGATTGTAATCTATCTGTAACAATTATCAAACCATAATAAATTTATTGCCCTACACACTTCTAAACCTCGAATAGGAAAGAAGTTGTTCTAACAAGTATTTCCGTGGACTGGCGACATTAGATGCAAGGCTTCAGCATAAAATAGCATCTATAGCAATACTACTATGCAATTCGCTACATGCTTTCCATTGTCTTCAAAAGCATCTATTACTATTGTCTTTGTGATTAGAAGGGCATCGAGTTTCCCAGCCTGCCCTACAAGCCAAAATTGATTCCAACTCAGATTCGCCACTCTGCTCTAGATTGGTCAGATTTCAAGCATCTTCGACTCGATTGAACTATTCTTTCAGATTCGACTATACAAAACCTAAGAATTATCCCATCCTCCTTTAAGTGTCCCTGGTGGTAGGGCGAAGTGGTAGAACTCCCGTATGCCAACGGGAGGATCCCCGGTTCAAATCCTGGTGAACGCAAGTTGTTTGATTTTTTGAGGTAGTACTGATGTCCTCGTTTGGTGTTTTTGTACTCTATCCATTATCTATATTTTGACAATTTCCGCAAGACTGTATTGGCTCTAGGTGTCGCACCTTATTAGCAGTAGATTTCTTTCCCAACTTAATTCAAAAATATCTTATTCCCCTTCTTTGCAGACATTGGGTCCACCAACAGTCTTTTCTATCCCTCAGCATGACATTTAAAGGACTTTAAATAAAACCTGGAGCTCGACTCCCCTACAAAAAAAATCCTCCTTTAAGCTTTCTTGGAGTGCTTTCCAAGGCGCATCCAATGGTATAAAGTAAAAGAGGTGTTTTGAGTAAACTTACTGAGCAATCCTTGAAAATATGAAATGAGGTTTTTGGCCAAAATGTCGAGATTTTGCATAGGAAGGTCTCGCAAATAAAGTTTTAGGAACTGCTTTGAATCGAGAGAAGCATTTTGAATCATTATATGCCTTAGTAATAGTCTTCATTTTTGCTGTCAAAAATGCAATCGTTTAATTTTCGATGAAAACCATGCGGTACCCCTCATGGTTTGGAGTCGATTTTTGGCGATCCCAAAAAAGTTGTTCAAAGGTGTCAGTAAGTAACCGCTAGGCGAGAGCAACTGTTTCGTGCTACTCTGGCGGTCTAAAACAGTTTCTAACGCAAGAAATTACGGTTTAAATGCACCCAAATGTTGCTGTATTTGGCATACTTTTGATTAAAAAGGGGGTAATACCAGTATACTGCTTGCCCGTAAATGAAGTAGCTATGTGTTTACGGATGTGGAACATCTCATTAGAGTCAGATCGCAAGTAATGTGAAGGGTTTTCATGTGTAAGTGGAGGGTTAAATGAAAGTAGCAGTATTTTGATAAGATGAGCAAAGCGTGAACTGCTGCTGCGCAAATTGGTTTTTACTGAAGCAAAGCAAAGGTAGAGAGCCGTCCGAAGCGTAGATACATGCATGCATTGTTAATAAATAAAGACATTTTTAGTGCTTCTATTTTTGAATGTATAGTATCAAGTAAAGTAGCACTCAATAGAGTTACGCATACAAAAGATCCTAATGATCCAAGCTGGCTCTGATTAAATAGCAAGGATTTCAATATTCTTCATTTCTTACGAATGGAGATGCTACATTGTCTTCATGCTTGCTGTCTAGAGTATATGTAAAGCGTATGTATGACGCACTACAGGGAGCCTTATAAACGCTTATTATGTCTGTTCAAGCAAATAGTATGCAATTTGTATCGAATCGCTAGACATAAGCAGCTGTGATCATCTGGTTGATGAAGGGCACTGTTCACAAGTAGTCGAGCACAAAATAAATTGTTAGCTGCATTACTTAGATAGCTCTGTTTACATTATTTTGTAACAAATTATGCGCTCGGATTTTCGGCATACAATCAAGACATGGCACTCTATGATGGTGAATCAATGGTGAATATCTATTTTGTGGGTGATATCAGAAATAATCCATTTATCTGGATCAAAGTCTTTCAAAACAAGACAGACATACTGAAGCACGTTATACACAATAATGTAAAAAGCCTCAGGAATCATTGCAAGCTATATTAAACAAAAGTGCCACAGAAATAATTGCAATTCCTCCCTGCTTTTGTGTGATGCGTTGCGTGAAATAGTGTCTAAAGCTCTTGGCAATGATCTGATACTGTTCTGGATAGTATGCATGTCAGTAAAAATATTGAGGCAATAATATCATTACTTTAGGTGTTTACCCCTGTATTACATATGATTGTCGTTATGGATCGCCTCAAACATCCTAGGTAAGATCGTATGAGTAGTATTAATTTAATTTCAAGGCTAGTGCACGTCAAATATTTAATTCTTCACATATTCAAAAATCCGTTATACATGACACAATGTCATTCGGATGGCATTAGTAATAGACCGTCAAGCGAGATAAACGCGCTGCATATCGCCAATGTACTACGATCCTGAAAAATATGTATTATTAAAACAAGCTTGAGTTTGTTAATGTGATGCTATTCTTAATGGCTGGCGAATATACGTGCAGCAGATGCAAAAATTATCTTTTTATAGATATTTAGGAGTATGTACTGTAAAATGTCTACATGATTATGCCTTATAACAGTCTACTGGATATTACACAATATGATGAGCACATTTATATATGATAAAAAATGCTGGTATCAAGATAATGCAGATGAAGCAGTAATGAGAAGTTAGAACATGATAGTAAAGAAGTATCTTTATATATAGGGTCTATGTAAAATATATATATCTTCTTTGTCATGCTTCAAGTTTCAAGGATGCACATGAAGGGATCTTCACTTTCATATATCAAGAAAAAAAATCAGTTACCCAGAGAATACAGGGATGTTTTAGGAGAGCAGCAAACAGATAAGCACTATGATTGATTCGATGGCGTTGGTACAAAGTGCTGTTGTTGTAGTAGTGGAATTACGGGTCTTTTATATTCTGACAATGAGGAATTGGATGCATTTTCCAGTGTTAATCGTAATTGGACACTGGGTGGTTGATTCTTGATGAAATTCTTGTCTTGATAATGGTGTTTTTGAGCAATAGTCGAATTTGCAGTGGACCAAGATGACGACGTGGAGCTGGTCGAATGTTTACTGCTGTATGTCGATTCAGGTGTCGTTAATTTCTCGTTTGTAAACACCATTGGAGGATGGTTGTTCCATTCGAGATCTGCTTCTTGTAATTCTTTATGTCTCCTTTCAAAGGACAGTGATCCAGACCTTCCAAGTCTATCCATTCTTTTCTCATTTACTTTACGTCGAATGCAACTGCAGTTCAAAATAAAGCATGTCAAGATGACTAAAAAAACGACGACTATAGCAGTGAACGAGCCCCATGTGGTAGTTGGTATTCGCTCAGTTGTGGCTCTTGCAGGTTTATATATGTTATTTGTGATCAAAGGTAGTGGTATGTCGTAGATGACTGTTGTGGTTGATGATTTCTCATAATGAGGGTGGTGATTGCTTTTAATAGTGGAAGTAGAAGCAGAGGGCGGCATCGCAAGTAATGGATCCATAGGATGGGATGAGAAGTGTGTAAGAGAGAGAGAGAGAGAGGGAAGTAGTGTTACTGGAAAAAAGTTAAAATGCTTTTTTATATATATACATTTTTTTAGAGATTTCAAAAGGGGATCGACTACAGCATGTATGCTCAAAGAGAGGGGCTTCTTCAAAGATGAAGAGGGGTCGAGGGAGAAGGGGATCAGGGATTGGGGGAAATGGTAGTAGCAGTAGTAAGAAGGATAAACCCTAATCTGAGAGATGGATCATTTCGCCACATGAATTATAGTAATAATGTAATGTCAAATCAACAACTTCAAGATTGCTTTTATTTATCAGTTCTATACAATAAGAAAATAGGCACCTCTTAATGCATAGTGGGCATAGAAACAGCAGCGCGAGTGTGCTCAGAATCACTTTCCTTCCATAATGAAGTGACAGTCTTGGGTTTGGTATAAAAGTGAAGACCACTTTTACCGTAAAAGTTCATGTCACCCAAGATGGATCCACGACTACCGGTGAAAGAGAAAGGAGGAACAGGAACGGGAATAGGCACATTGATACCAACTTGACCAACGTCAATTTCGTGCTCAAACTTACGAGCACTGGGGCCAGAATTAGTAAAGACAGCAGTACCGTTACCGTAGGGGTTGTTATTAATCAACTCAATGGCTTCATCCAAGGTGTCAACATTCAAACAGACCAGGACAGGACCAAAGATTTCTTCACGGTAGCATTCCATGCTAGTCTTGACATTAGTCAATAAAGATGGGCCAACAAAGTTACCCTTCTCAAAGCCCTTTACAACAACACCACGGCCATCCAACATCAAATCAGCTCCCTCGTCAACACCGCTTTGGATGAGACGCTCCACACGTTGCTTAGATTGCACAGTGATAAGAGGACCAACGTCTGTGTCAGGCTCCATACCGTAGCCCACCTTGAGTTCACGGGCACGTTGAGCCAAATCTGGCAACCAATCCTTGGTTTCACCAACACAGATCAAAGTGCTAAGAGCCATACAACGTTGACCAGCAGCACCAAATGCTGCACCAGCAATAGCGTTCAAGGCAGATTGCTTGTTGGCATCAGGCAAGAGAACAGCGTGGTTCTTGGCACCCAAATTGGCTTGCACTCTCTTACCATTGGCATTGCCGCGAGTGTAAATGTGTTCACCAGCCTTGTCAGAACCAACAAATGAAATAGCCTTGATTTGAGGTTCATCACAAATATAGTTGACACAATCCACAGAGCCATGGACAATGTTCAAAACACCGTCAGGGACACCAGCCTCAGCAGCCAGCTTGGCCAACATCATCATGGCTCCGGGATCACGTTCAGAGGGCTTCATGACAATAGAGTTACCAGCAGCAATAGCGAGAGGGAACATCCACAACGGAATCATGGCAGGGAAGTTGAATGGACAGATACCAGCAACGACGCCCAAAGGTTCGCGATACATGTCTATAATAGTGTTACACAAGGCACACTTTTTTAGGTGGATTAAAACTTACATGTTTCCATATCTTTGGCTACAGTCAGCTTCTCGCCCATCAACATGTTGGTGAGAGCACAAGCTTGTTCAACCACTTGTAAGCCACGGAAAACATCGCCCTTGGCATCAGCAAATGTTTTGCCTTGTTCCTGAACAATGTTCTCGGCAATGGCATCTTGGTCCCTACGAATCAAATACTGCAAATCCATCATGACTCTTTGACGGGCCAATACAGTTGTCTTTTTCCATTCTTTGGCAGCAGCAGCAGCAGAATCAGTTGCTTCCTTCAATTCCTCAGGAGTAGTTTCAGGAACATAACCGATCAAATCTTGAGTGGCCTATTGGAATTGTTAGATCAGTCGTGTGTTGTTGTAAGGAGGACCCTATATCTTACGGGATTGTGTAATTCGATCCATTTATCAGTCTTAGACTCTGTGAATTTACCGTTAATGTAGTTCTTGACAGTCTCTACACCAGCGACTCGTTGCAAAGCAGGGAATTGTGTGCTAAATGCTCTGCGAGCAAATGGTGTAGTTCTTTTGAATGATGTATTAGAATCGCCGCCTATATGCCTTTGTATGCGTAGAGATTACCTTTGAATAATGAAAGAAGAGGTTTTCAAGAGAGATGAAAGCATGCTTGATGTGTGAAAGTGTGAGAAAAAAACACCTAATACAAAAAAGAAAAGGAGATCTTGTAAGGTTTCGCTTTATATTTATATCCATAAAATACCGTGCGAAAAAACAACAAAATAAGGCATGATATGTACAGTATTGGGGTTACATCAAAGTGACCGTTTGAAGTCCATTTCTTACTTGTAGTCATTATCTGGTCTACATCTTGATAGAGACATCTAGGTGGATTGTTCAAGATGGCCATTCATATACGGTTTCTGTGAAATCAAGCATAAGGATAATGGTTAGATGACAAAGCAGAAAAGCCGTATATGTAGATTGTCTTTATACGAGCGTGAGAAGGCCGTGTAATGATATTTTAGCCGCCCGTAGGTAATGAGATACCCGTTTGTCGGTTGGTGTAGTGACACTCTATATGGTTAATCTGGATTCATCAACCGTAGCGTGCATTGCATTGTTGACGATGCAGCTCTGGCAACTAGACCGACACATTAGACAATACCTGGGCTTGATCCCATATACCTAGATCTACATTATATTAAAAGAGGATCAAGGTACATCTCTGTATTCAAGGGACAGACTAGTAGCGTAAAGAAGAAATGTCAATTTATTATGAATGGTACGAGTGTGTCTACGCTTCGGACGGCTCTCTACCTTTGCTTTGCTTCAGTAAAAACCAATTTGCGCAGCAGCAGTTCACGCTTTGCTCATCTTATCAAAATACTGCTACTTTCATTTAACCCTCCACTTACACATGAAAACCCTTCACATTACTTGCGATCTGACTCTAATGAGATGTTCCACATCCGTAAACACATAGCTACTTCATTTACGGGCAAGCAGTATACTGGTATTACCCCCTTTTTAATCAAAAGTATGCCAAATACAGCAACATTTGGGTGCATTTAAACCGTAATTTCTTGCGTTAGAAACTGTTTTAGACCGCCAGAGTAGCACGAAACAGTTGCTCTCGCCTAGCGGTTACTTACTGACACCTTTGAACAACTTTTTTGGGATCGCCAAAAATCGACTCCAAACCATGAGGGGTACCGCATGGTTTTCATCGAAAATTAAACGATTGCATTTTTGACAGCAAAAATGAAGACTATTACTAAGGCATATAATGATTCAAAATGCTTCTCTCGATTCAAAGCAGTTCCTAAAACTTTATTTGCGAGACCTTCCTATGCAAAATCTCGACATTTTGGCCAAAAACCTCATTTCATATTTTCAAGGATTGCTCAGTAAGTTTACTCAAAACACCTCTTTTACTTTATACCATTGGATGCGCCTTGGAAAGCACTCCAAGAAAGCTTAAAGGAGGATTTTTTTTGTAGGGGAGTCGAGCTCCAGGTTTTATTTAAAGTCCTTTAAATGTCATGCTGAGGGATAGAAAAGACTGTTGGTGGACCCAATGTCTGCAAAGAAGGGGAATAAGATATTTTTGAATTAAGTTGGGAAAGAAATCTACTGCTAATAAGGTGCGACACCTAGAGCCAATACAGTCTTGCGGAAATTGTCAAAATATAGATAATGGATAGAGTACAAAAACACCAAACGAGGACATCAGTACTACCTCAAAAAATCAAACAACTTGCGTTCACCAGGATTTGAACCGGGGATCCTCCCGTTGGCATACGGGAGTTCTACCACTTCGCCCTACCACCAGGGACACTTAAAGGAGGATGGGATAATTCTTAGGTTTTGTATAGTCGAATCTGAAAGAATAGTTCAATCGAGTCGAAGATGCTTGAAATCTGACCAATCTAGAGCAGAGTGGCGAATCTGAGTTGGAATCAATTTTGGCTTGTAGGGCAGGCTGGGAAACTCGATGCCCTTCTAATCACAAAGACAATAGTAATAGATGCTTTTGAAGACAATGGAAAGCATGTAGCGAATTGCATAGTAGTATTGCTATACATGCTATTTTATGCTGAAGCCTTGCATCTAATGTCGCCAGTCCACGGAAATACTTGTTAGAACAACTTCTTTCCTATTCGAGGGTTAGAAGTGTGTAGGGACAATAAGTTCATCATGTTGTGATATTTAGCAACAGAAAATAACAGTGTTACCATATAGCATGTCAATTTAACAGATTCAATTGTTTTTTCAGGTTTATTCGAAATAGGTGGTCTCGCACAGTTAAGTTTTGCCTTATACCCAAAGATACCACGCATGTTCTTTGTTGCATTTATGTCTATGATGATATTGAACAGTCCAGGTCTCTTTGGGTATTTGGGTAAAGCATTTGGATTGTTCCAGATTGATGTTGCTGGTCATCGCTGTGCAATGGCAACACGAAGCGCTATTTATTGGTGTACGCAAGCTCTCTCGGCGATAGCTCCTTTGTCTAGTGATAGAGTTAGCTTTTGTCGTTTCAATTTCGGCTCGACAAGCTAATTACGGCGGAGACTTTGAATCTACTGCCACTATGCAGTAGTGACATGTAAGTATATTTGTACTAGTCGATCTATCTCGCTACGCTCAATATCAACATCATCCTATGGGCTTTCGCCGTAGACATTTCAAATCAGTAATAATAAAATTTCAGTATATCGAGTAGATTTTAAACAATCAGTTATTAGTAAAAGAAAAAATTTACTAGAGCCAAGAGGAAGAGAGGAGATATCTCCGTCAACATCCTTTTTGCTTACACTGATATCAAATGAAGCCTATTATTGAGACAATGTGAAAGAGAATCCAAATTTTATGAAGCATTTGTACACCACAATCTCCATTTTTTGACAGTAGAATTGCCATATCATTCGCTGCTGCTGATGCTCTTAATAAGATGGCGACATAAAGCTGGCCATAAGTGAATGCAGGATTTGTGTAAGATCTACAGCGACTTTTTTGAGATATTGTCATTGCAAAATACACCTTCATGAGGCAAAGCTCCCCAAAACGTATTTGCGCTAAGTCACTGTTCGTCCAATTCCATGATCCCCATTTAATCAGCATCGCAACCATCATTGTCATCAACAGAAAGGCATTTAGGTCAGTGTTAAAAGGAGATAGATCCTAGAAAGTCCGGATTTGACAAGTTCCACATGGTATCTGAAAGAAACAATAAGAACCAACTGTTTATTTTTACAAATTAATTATCGTGAATGTCAAGAATCATATTATTAGAACCATACCAATTGTTGGTTCCAGGCGATTGAGTAATAATGGGATAAATGTGATGGTTGTTCAATTCTATAGTAATACTATGGGGCGATGAGGATCAAGATGAATGATAACTAGTTGTTCTTCCTACCAAGACCGATTGAATAATGAATAAATATATATATAAACTATAATAATGAAGAGCTAAAGAGAAGAAAAGAGGGGATAATGCATACTACGATATATATATATATACGTTGTTTTTGTGCTTATAGTATTTTGTATTGTTTTTGTGCTTTTTGATGTGATAACGATATGAATTGAAAATTGCTAAATAAATAAATAAAGGATATGCCAGAAATTGCCTTTTACGGGTGCTCTGGTCTCCCAGACATCAGTCAGCCAGCAGCAATGCCACCGCCAAAATTGATTCAAACTCAGTTTATTCTTTTCTGCTCAACATTGAACAGATATTGTCTTTCTCGACTTCTTTAATCTATTCTGTGATATTCGACTATATAAACTGTATTAATCACCCTACGCTTCCTAATACATTTTTGAAGTACTTTTCAAGGCGCTTCCAATGGTGCTAATTGTAACAAGTGTTTTGACTGAAGTTATTGAACAATTTAATAAGATTTGAAATGAGGTTTCTAGCAAAAATAGCCATACTTTGCATATGAAAACCTCGTAAAAGTGGTTTCAGAGGTTGCTTTGGATCGAGAGAAACCTTTTGATTCAATACATACCATAGTAAAAGTCTTCATTTTCGAGGTGAAAAATGCGATCGTTTGATTTTTGATGAAAACCATGAGGTACCCCTTATGGTTTTTGGTCGATTTTGGGCCATGTTTTTTTGGTCCTCAAAAAGTTGAGCAAAGGTGTCAGGAAGTTACTACTACTCAAGTGCAATTGTTTGGCATTATTCCGGTGGCTCAGAAAGGTCTACATGTCAAGATATCAAGGTTTGTATAGTGAATATGATGAATGGTACGGGTGGAATTACTATCTCTTTCTTTCCCTTTCTTTTATACTCAATCCAAATCTATCTCTCTATCTAGCTTCTATGAAATTGATGTTGCATTTTCTCAAATTCAAATTGCATTCTTACGAAATTGAAATGAATAACCTGTACGATGGAATATTTGTAAGCTAACTCAAGTCTGTTGCTCACAGATTTCAAAAATGCATCGGATTTTCAGGATCTATTTATAAGCGGATGAAAGAAGCTTGACTTTTCTGCAGGACATCGACTATCCTTACAAAGAATACAATGCTATTTCAAAAATGACATTGCCAGATGCAGATAGGAATCTGTGCTATGAAATACGTTACTAAAACCAACTATGGTTGCATTAATGAACTCACTGGGAATGAATCAATGATTTTAGCCTAAACGCCCTTTTTACTCTAAAACAAGCATAACAAATGTAGTGAAAGCTAAAAGCAATAATGTAGTATTATGTGTTGGTTCTTCTTATACGCTTCTAATGCTCACTACGTAGCAATCTAGTTTGATTTACACTATATTTTGTTACTATTTGACTTTTGATCTAGTCACACAGACTAAATAGTTCAAGCCACCGTTGTTTCGATTTGCAATTCCGGAAATGTTGATAAAGCAAAATGTAAACCACAAGCCATTGAATCCTCCTTTTTAATCCCCTTGATAATTATATCATAATGGTATGCCTGCATGTAGTCATTCATCCATCAGAAGCTGTCGACATTGTCTTGACCAAAATGGATTGATGTATCGGTCGATGGATGGATGGATGGATGGATGAATATCAATTGTGATGAAACTTGACACTAATTTGAGAATTGCTACTATAGGCTCGTGGTCCCAAGAAACACATGAAGCGTTTGGCAGCTCCCAAGCACTGGATGCTTGACAAACTTTTGGGTATGTGTTGAGTGTATATAAGAACAAGCGACAATGTGTTAACATCAGTGGAACGATAGGTGCTTATGCTCCCAAGCCTTCTTCCGGTCCCCACAAGCAACGTGAGTGTCTCCCTTTGATTGTCTTCATCCGTAACCGTCTCAAGTACGCTCTTAACGGTCGTGAAGTCCAATCTATCCTCATGCAACGTTTGGTCAAGGTTGACGGTAAGGTCCGTACCGACTCTACCTTCCCTGCTGGTTTCATGGATGTCATCTCTATTGAGAAGACTGGTGAGAACTTCCGTCTCGTCTATGACGTTAAGGGTCGTTTCGCCGTCCACCGTATCACCGATGAGGAGGCCAAGTACAAGCTCTGTAAGGTCAAGAAGGTCCTCGTTGGTTCCAAGGGTGTTCCATACATCACCACCCACGATGGTCGTTCTATCCGTTACCCTGATCCTTTGATCAAGGCTAACGATACCATCCGTTTCAACCTCGAGACCAACAAGATTGAGGAATTCGTCAAGTTCGAAGTTGGTAACGTTGTCATGGTTACTGGTGGTCGTAATATTGGTCGTGTTGGTCAACTCGTTCACCGTGAGCGTCACATTGGTGGTTTCGAAATCGTCCACGTCAAGGATTCTCTTGACCGCGTCTTCGCCACCCGTATCTCCAACGTTTTCACCATCGGTCAAGGCTCCAAGCCCATGATCTCTCTCCCCAAGGGTAAGGGTGTCAAGCTCTCTATCACCGAAGAGCGTGATCGTCGTAGAGCTGCTGCTGCCTCCAACTAAATTTCGATTTAGTTATCAAGATAAACTGAATTTTTTAATAAAATCATTTTTTTGTAACAACATTTGGTGTGTTTAAAGGTAGAGGGGGGTTCTTTATTGTGGAAGATGATAATTTACAACTGTTTATACAAATGTGCTGTGCTTTTTTTTTCAAGAAAATGGTGCTGGTGCTGTTGCTACTGTAAGTCTTTTCTCCAGAATGTCGACAAACATGGAATGAAAATTCTCTACATTTTTGAAACTTGGAAAGTAATTGACATCAACGACGAAATAAGCATTCGTGTGCGATTGTAACAATACATCAAATCCAAAAAATGTCAGACCCTACAATAGAGTTAAGCTTAATTAGTACAATTTATACATATTTGAGAGGATATCTCCTCTTCTTACCAGCTGACGATGTAAACTATCAGCAATTTTTTGTAATCTTGAAGTGTCCAGTACTGACTCTTTATAAAGGTGAATGTCAGTTGGATCTGATCTAAGAAAAACTCTATCGAGATCATGAGAAAGCTCGGTTTTGATCTCAAAGCTCTTTGGAAGCGTTTGACTATCGAAATGCACAACATCTAATGCCACGTTAGCTACATTTTCGGGGCACAGTCCAAAAAAAAAGGCACCTACCTCCATGATGATCTAAATTCTTGAATGATGGACGCGTTGAAGCACTGATTTGTCCATCTGCCACATACACCTTCACTATAACTCCATCATGTTGAATGAACTCTTGCAGCATTACTGCATCGTCTTTAACGTATTGTTCCATTTGTGACATGCCTTGAGCAGAGGGTATAAGTGTCATTTGATGAGCTTCAGTTGAGGAACAGGCTGTTCTACGTTTACACATTGTCTATTTTGCCACGCACCAAAACCGTCAGTATACTCGTTGCGCTCCATAAACTTGCTCTCTGGTCCTCTTACCGGAAAAGTTATCTCCATGTCATTTCTCCAGTCTTTTATAGAATCCAGGGCGATGCTCTTGGGAACATGAAATAACGGTTTGCCACCTAAAGACTCGATAAGGATGCTGAATCGATATCTCCCAACACTTCCACATGATTACCTATCACATCCTTGGCAGCGCACAATTTTGTATGGTGGTATAAAAGCATTCTATCTAGTACTTTCTCGATGTTTGGCCAAGCGTCGATGATGATTACTTGTGGATGTTCTTTACTGTAAGTCTATATCCTCTCCTCAGTTTAGTTTCTACGCATTTAGAGAATAATCAACTTACAATAAAACGTTGGTAGAGTTTTGCTGCTTCGGTATCGCCACGTTCTATCTTGGCTACTAAATCAGTCATCTTGTGCACAATCAAGTCCAAATTGCCCTGTTTCTCGATAGGAATGGAGAGGTCAATATGGATAATACGAATGTTTCGTTTGCTAAGGTGAATAAATCAGTTAGTATCCAACAGGTGAAAACATACAAATTGACCTACATTGCATAATCCTCCAGACCAATAAAACCTGAACGCTCAATTTTCTTTCTAGTAAAGATTAAGCCAACAGTCTTGATATCATGGCTCATTTTTCTACTCGCGAAGAAGGGCTCAGAAGAAAACCAAATAAAAAGGATAAAAGGCAAACAAAATGTAAACCCTTACACTATTAATTTAAGAGGAAAAAAGAATCGTGCTACAGAAAGATTTGAAAATTTATTTCACCACTTTTCTTTTCCATACAACCTTGAAATATCCTCACTCTTTCGAGCCCAAAATATGGCTGGGTTATCTCAGTAAAGTGACACATCTTTCTTTTTCATTGAACTTAAATCATAGCGATGAGTAACCATCGTTAAAGTAACCATAGGTTCATAATGACATGATGATGGTAAAGATGACACGCCAAAGCGCTTGTATTTTTATTGCTTAGGAAATGAAAATTACTGCGTCTTGTCTTTTTTCGCATCTGCCATTACTGATAATCTGCTAAATATAATATAGAAAACTGCAATGCTACCAATGATAAGCCAAAACACGGGTGTTCTAATAATAAATTTTAGCATTGGCTTGAGAAAAGAACAGTTCATCACTTACAATAGAGGCGGGCTGTCTACTTTGAGTACTTCGATATCATATATCATAGCTAGAATGTAAAATGTACGTCATTTTATGTCAATGTCTTCTTATACAAAACAACTATATTTTAGTAAGGTTTTGTGGTCTTTACCTTTGTTAGCTATTTGCCCATCGTTTGCTAAAAAACAAAAAAAATAATCAGTTGGCCATGTACAACACACTTTTTTCAGAACTCTTACAAACATGGAGCGCAGCAGGTACGATGAGTCTGCGAATCTCTCCAACACACATCCCTAGAATCTCTTGCTCTAGCCCTTTATAAGTAAATATAAATGGTAAGGACTTCAAGCAGCATGCAATCATTGATGGCTACCTTTTATGATGGTCATTCCCCCTGTATTATATTATCCAAAACGAACATAAATTAATGCATAGCACTCTAGTTGACATGTAAGCGTTTGTACCTGGGTTCAGGTCGATGATCTTTTCATCAATGATATCATTTGATTCTAGAGTCTTTGCAACATATCGTAACTGTATGCTGGCATCAGATGTCACTCTTTTTCTGCAGTTGGGTGATTGTTGCAAAACGTCTATTAGCAAACACAGAATGTTGAAGTGATATGTATGAATGGCATTTGTTAACTGGTACTCTTACTTGATTGAAACCTGGAGGGCTGCTGCTGCTGAGCACTCACCGCCAAGAATATCAAGATGGCAAGAAATGATAACAAGTGATAATGCTTCATAAAATTGGGATGTTCAGAAGCATAAAGACAGAAGGGTGCTCTTTTGCTGTTGCTGTTCAAACAGTGATGCCTGGGTTTCAATGCCAAGCTATATCCCATTGCCGCTTTTGTTGAAATACTGGTGTGGGGTCATTCCTTCTTGCATATGGTACAGAAGCTAGATTTGTCATCGTTGCAAAACTATGCGTTAGGTCTTCCTTGTGTAGACATACGCTCTGTCTGCAAGCTTCTATGAGAGCACGATAAGTTCTGCTTTGACTATGATGCAGTGATTTGTAAGCTATTCAAGCATGTCATAAAACTGTACCAACAACTTACCTGTAGCAATACTCATTGCGTAGTTCTAAGAGCTATGTATTGTTCAATACCTTCTTACTCAAATTTCCAGCATTAGTTGTGATAGATTCACAACATCCAATATGTTAGCCTCAGCTGAAGTGTCGAAAAACGATCGCTCATGGCCAACTTCTGCTACAGTCGCGCATATAAAATCCATTTTGTGCATTGCTATTAGCCATACCACATCATTAATCTAGTTTAAAGACTTAAGCACCGTATGGACGTTTTTGTACTGTCATTATCAAAGAAAAACGTGCTTTTGCCACTGTAAACTCCAATTTGAGGGTCAAAAAATCAATTTTTACAAAGAAGCATCCAAGTTATTCAGACGAGGTCTGATTTTGAAGAGCAGACAAAGTAAAGCATGCTTCAATTAATTGAGAAACCGGGCTGCCTTGACAATTGATCAAGGAATAGCGTTCAAAAATCCGCCTATATGTTTAGCAACCCCTCAAAGTGAGCATGTAATCGCTTTGATATAAAGTCTCTAGCATCAACATGAGACGTGAAAAAGCAACCTCCCCCTCCCCTTTTACTGAAGTGCGCAACACAGCTTCAAACCTTTGTCAAACTATAGCGAAGCAAGATAGCACCAAATGGTTTTCAATACAACGTTTTCCAACATCTAACCCATTGATCTATGATTCGTAATTACTTGTAATTAACAGCTTTCAATAGGTTTCATATAAAGGTTCTTGCTTAAAATTGTCTTATTTCAAAAATCATCCATTTTGAACAACACTCTGATTTATCAGAAATAAATTATTTATAAAAAAGAGTTGAAATTAATCGTAAAGAATATCGTTTATTACATTGAAAATAAGAGGGTTTATATGCTATTCGAATTGAGGGATCTGATGTAAGGATAAGGTATTAGATGGGTTGATTTGGGTGATAGGATAATAGATCCAATCTATTATCCTGAACATGCCATGATATGGATCGTAACTGAATCCTGTTTCATGCCAAAGTTTATGATTTGATGTGATCGGTGCTTGAACTGCTTGTTTCTACGCATTTGGAGATCCGGTTTAGAAATGATACATCAATTTGCATTTGACAATCATAGAATTAGCGGGTATAGCTCAGTTTAATATTGGTTTTTTTACAATTGTAGTCAACTGTGGAATCGGTATGATCATAAATTGCAAGACTAACAGTGATTCGGCGGGAAAAAGCATGTTTTAAATTAAAGGTTAAGGGAGCTGCTAAAAAGGGAGGGGACCAGTAAAGAAAATGGCATCAAAACCCACCAGAGAGGAGGAGGAATGGCAATGGCCGCGCCGCAAGACGGGGGAGACGAACAGGACTCAAGGTAGAAACCGGCCAGACGCACCGCAGCACACCTAAACGTGCAAGCACAAATACCGAGTAACATGCCAGGTTAGAAAGGCGGAAAATATAGATGCGAAGGTGGGATTCGAATCCACGACCTCTCGGCATACTCACTGCTTCCGCATGAAGCTCTAACCAAATGAGACATTCAAGCATCCATGCGGGTACAGCTCAGTTTAAAGATTGTTTTTATTTATATACAATGTTTTATAATTAGGCACTCGGTATGAGCATATGCCATAAAACTAGTAACTATATAGACTAAAGAAAGAAAACCTCAACCGAGACAACGGAAAAGATGAGGAAAAAAGTTTGAGATGGCAGTAAAAGAGCGGAAGACTATTTGTAGTGGCACGATTGATCTTGAGGGATGAACCAACGGATGGGAACTTTGATTTGACTTACCACCGAGGCACCGCACAAAGAAAACAATCGGCCAAACGTTCATCTCAGTTAGCTATGAGAGAGAGGATAATAGAACCACAATGATCCGGGATCAGGATCAGGAGGAGCGATAGTAGCCAAAGGGTGGACCAGACAGTCGATTGCATGAAGCAAAGATAGTAACGCAGACCAGTATATTGGAGGACCAGCAGAACCACTTATAAGCAGCAGGTTGAGGGCATTGTCAATGACATGTACACCAGGAGGAGCAGCAGGCAGAGCATCCCACAGATCACGATCCAAAGCACGACATTGAGGGAAGTGATTTCGAGAGATGAAAGATCCATCCATGCAGGGACATTCCTCACGCATGTTTGCAAAACGACCAAGACGCCAACGAACCAAACGACTACGAGCAGATCGACCAATAGGTAAGTACAGTATGGGATCAGGGCGAGAGACAGAAGGACGGCACGCACGAAGCAGGACATGTTTACCAGTAGTAGCAGCAGCAGCAGCCAGTTGTTGATCCACCTGATCTTGCCAGAAGTCAGAGAAGTGAGCCTTGAGACCAGCAAATGAAGGGACAGGGTCAGGCAGGGATCTATACAAACTGTTTTCACAGATGTACCGATCCAGTCGAGTGTACGACAGAGCACCACGCAGAACCACCACAAGACTATCCTCAGGTAGAGTAGCAGAACGAAGAGCATACCTAGTTGCCAAGACATTATACCGATGTTTCATTGAAGGGAGACAGGTAATGTGCTTAGCAACGTTGAACCAGGAACCACCCACAAACATACCAACCAGCCGGTTTTGGAACTTGTCAAGAGCCTCAAAGGTACGATATTCAAGATGAGATATAGCGAGGCCATACTCAACCTTGGGTCTAACGAAAGCCTTGTATAGACGAGAACAGAGCAGCAGAGAGAAACCATTACGGTTGACACCAACAGAGTTCAGCAGAGCCATAACCTTGACAGCACCAGCGGACCGCAGAGACAAGATAATACTAGGAGCATGTAGCCCTTTATATCGAAATGGCATACCGAGATACACAAACTCATCTACCACCGGCAGCGGCTCATTGTAGAGAGTAAGACGAGCATCAGAGAGGGCAGCAGGAGAACCGAGCACAGCACATTTAGATGGCTTCCACCTATAACCAAGACAGACAGAGTGCTCAGCAGCAAGATCCAACATAGACTGGACACCGGACAAAGACTCAAAGATAGCAACATCATCGGCAAAGAGCAAGCTATTGATGGCAATAGGACGACTAGCACCAGGAGGATTGACTATCGTAGCACCAGTATCAACAGAACGCAAAAGATTCGGTAAGGAGTTGATATACAACAAATACAAATGAGGACGACTGAGTACTGAGCCTTGAAGTACACCAGTAACAGGAGAGAAAGCAGCAGAGGTATGATTAGCAATCAAGACTGAGACCGATACATCGTCAAACATGTTCATCAAAAGACCCAGAACAGGACGAGAAAGTGTAGAACCAGACAGGGCTTGCCATATAACCCTACGATCGACAGTATCATAAGCTGACTTGATATCCAAGAAAGCCACCACAGGATAGCGACGGTGAGTCAGAAAGTAATCATGCATCAAGTCATGTAAGCAGAGGGCTTGATCCAAAGGACTACGTTGAGGACGGAAGCCACCTTGAGCAATATTCAGAGCAGGGGAGTGTTCATCCAGAGCCGGCAGGAGACAGAACTCAAACAACTTACGCATCACCGAAGTGAGCGAAATTGGTCGATAATTACCAGGATCGGAAGCATCACCCTTCTTGAAAATCGGAAACACCTGAGCTTGGCGCCATAGACCAGGAGTATAAGACCATTGATAGCAGAGATGAAACAGCAGAGAGAGCACTGGGGCAATTTCTAAGGTCAGAGCTTTTAACATCTCAGCCTTGATATGGTCAGGACCAGGAGCTTTATGAGTGGCAGACGTTTAATACACAGTACCAAGGTATCAGTATCAAACAAAGACATGTCCGCAGGGAGACAGAAAGGCAAGTCAGAGACCATAGGAGTGACAGGAGCAGGACGAGAAGCAGTATTTAACAGAGCACCTTCGTAGACCGTAGCCAAATGAGAGCCCATAGTAGCAACAGAAGCAGCAGGGCCATCTGGGTGACTGTACGTAGGTGAAGACTCTTTATTGCGCTTGATGCGTTTTATAGCAGCAGTAGCTTTTGAGAAGTCTCTTTCCAGAGCACCACAGAACTTATGCCAGGACTTGCGCTTAGCAGACTGTACCAGAGAGCGAAAACGGCGATGAGCTTGCTTGTATAAGACCCAACAATCAATCCTTATTAGTATACCCAAGGGCATACCGCCATCGACTGTAGAGACGGTCCCGTTCAGTAGCCGCGTCTTGGACTTCTTGCGTTCAGCATTTCTTCCAATGGCCGGGACGGCCAGACTTCACACCTATTGAGCTATCCAAACATTCATACAAACATTGGTTCAAAGAACCGTTGAATGCATCAATGTCGGGACGAGTACCAGGAGGAGCAGACACCAAATCAGAGAGAGTAACAACCAGAGGAGCAACAGAAGATCGAAAGGATTCACGGAGTAGGCCCAAAGGCCTCTCTTTCGTCAATTTCGAGAGCTTCCATTGCCTCCTAGGAGCCAGAACAGAATCACCAGGAGCCACAGTGTCATCGAGAGATGGCACATACTCAAAGTTGAGTAATATTGATTGGTGTTCAAAATCAAGAAATGCGGGTATAGCTCAGTTTAAGATTGGTTTTTATTTATATGAAATTTAGTGGGCACTCGATGGGAGCATAGCCTAATTTCAAGAACAAATATATAACAAGTAACTAAAAAAATCCTCCAGAGCACTTTCAAAAGGACAAAAAATGCAGTGACAAGAGTGCAGGACATGGAGACTAGTGGTGCTCACATTGAGGATCTCGAGGGACAACCAACGGATGGGAACTTTGATAATGACTTACCACCGAGGAGCCGCACGTAGAAAACAACAATGGAACATGTTCATCCCTGTCAGATCAACCAGTACGAGAGTACCAAAGAGACGCTGGATCTGGATCCGGAGCAATGACAGCCAGAGGATGCACAAGGCAATCGATAGCATACAGTAGGTTCAGTAGAGCAGACCAGTAAGCAGGAGGACCAGCAGAGGCAGTGGTTGGCAGGCAATTAAGAGCATGATCAATACGGTGCACACCAGGAGGAGCAGGCGGCAAGGCATCGATTAAGTCAGGATCAAGAGCATGGCAGTACAAAAAGTGATCACGGGAGATGTGAACACCTGCAGGTGACATACATGGGCACTCCTCACGCATGTTTGTGAAGCGACCAAGGCGCCAACGGACCAAACGACTACGGGCAATACGACCAAGAGGCAGATAGAGGATGGGATCAGGCCTTGTGGTGTCAGGACGACAAGCACGAAGCAAAGTATGACGACCAGTGACAGCAGCAGCAGAGAGCTGGAGATCAACCTGATCTTGCCAATAGGCAGCAAAGGTAGTGCGCAAGCCAGCAGAAGAAGGAACAGGGTCAGGCAGCGACTGATACAGAGGGTTTTCACATATAAAACGATCCAACCTTGTATAGTGCAAATGGGCACGAAGTAGAACCAGCAGACAATCGTCAGGCAGAGTATCAGCACGCAGAGCAAAACGGGTAGCCAGGACATTGTAGCGATGTTTGATACTGGGAAGACAGGTAATGTGCTTGGCAACATTGACCCAAGTACCACCCACAAACATGCCAACAAGTCGGTTTTGCAGAGTATCCAGAGCAGTGAAATCACGAGCAGAGAGATGCGAGATGGCCAGACCGTATTCAAGCTTAGGACGAATAAATGTCCTGTACAAGCGAGAGGAGAGCAGCAAAGAGAAACCATTGCGGTTGACACCAACAGAGTTTAACAGAGCCATGGTCTTGACAGCACCAGCAGAACGCAGAGACAGAATACCAGGAGCATGCAGGCCTTTGTATCGGAATGGCATACCAAGGTATGTAAATTCGTCAACGACAGGCAGAGCTTCATTGTATAGTACCAGAGGAGAGCCAGCAAGAGCAGCAGCAGTACCAAGCACAGCACATTTGGAAGGCTTCCACCTATATCCAAGAGAGACAGAATGACCAGCAGCAAGATCCAACATACGCTGAACCTCAGACTTTGAACCAAAGACAGCCACATCGTCAGCGAACAGGAGACTATTGATAGCAATAGGAGCATCAGTACCAGGCACAGGCAGCATAGTAGCACCAGTAGCACCAGAACGCAAAAGACTCGGTAAAGAATTGATATACAACGAGTACAAGTGGGGACTGAGCACTGAGCCTTGCAGAACACCAGTAACAGGAGAGAAAGCAACCGAGTTGTGATTAGCAATCAAGACAGAAACAGACACATCATCAAACATGTTGATCAACAGACCCAGAACAGCACGAGGAAGACTAGAACCAGCCAAAGCAGACCAGATAACACGACGATCGACTGTGTCATATGCTGACTTGATATCCAAGAAAGCGACAACAGGACGACGACGGTGCGCAACAAAGTAATCATGCATCAAGTCATGCAAGCAGAGGGCTTGATCCAGAGGACTACGTTGAGGGCGGAAACCACCTTGGGCAATGTCAAGGGCAGGAGAATGGGCATCCAGCTCAGGCATGAGAGAGAACTCAAACAGTTTGCGCACAACAGAAGTCAGAGAAATAGGCCTATAGTTGGCGGGATCAGAAGCATCACCTTTCTTGAAAATGGGAAAGACTTGGGCTTGGCGCCAGAGAGCAGGAGTATACGACCATTGATAGCACAATTTGAAGAGCAACGACAAGACAGGAGCAATCTCAGAGACCAAGGACTTGAGCATCTCAGCCTTGATATGATCTGGACCAGGAGCTTTATGTGTTGGGAGCCGTCGAATATGAGATACTAAAGTATCAACATCAAACAGTGACATGTCCACAGGCACACAGAAAGGCAGAACAGAGTCAAAAGTGGGGGGAGCAGCAGGACGAGTAGCAGTGGCAAGCAGAGAGCCATCATACACCGAGGCGAGATGAGAACCCATAGCAGAGACAGAAGCAGCAGGACCATCAGGGTGGTTGTACGTAGGAGAGGATTCTTTATTACGCTTGATGCGCTTAATAGCAGCAGTAGCTTTTGAGAAATCACACTCCAGGGCAGTACAGAATTGTTGCCAGGACCTTCGCTTTGCAGCTTGTACCAGGGAACGAAACTTGCGATGAGCAACTTTGTATAAGAACCATTTTTCAATTTTGGCAATACCAAAGGCATGCCTCCATTGACTATATGAGCGATCGCGTGCAGTAGCAGCATCCTGAATTTCTTGTGTCCAGTACTTCTTCCAATGGCCAGGACGACCGGATTTTACACCAATAGAACTATCCAGAGATTCATACAAACATTGATTCAAAGAATCGTTGAGTGCATCAATATCTGGACGAACACCAGGAGGAGCAGACACCAAACCAGAAAGAGTACCAACCAGAGGAGCAACAGAAGATCGAAAGGATTCACGGAGTAAGCCCAAAGGCTTCTCTTTCGTCAATTTCGAGAGCTTCCATTGACGCCGAGGAGGCAGAACAGAATCACCAGGAGCCACAGTGTCATCGAGAGGTGGCACATACCCGAAAGTAAGTGACATCAATCGATGGTCAGAACCAAGAGACAGATCAGACTCAACCACCAGTTGAGGATTCACCAAAGCAACATCACCAATATTTGTCAAAAACAAATCAATGACACTACTCAATTCTTGCTGCTGCCGAAAAGAAGAGTACGTCGTAACGCCAAAAGCCAAAGACGCATTGAGCACAGACAAGCAATGTTCATCAAACCAAGGTTTGAGAGCATTACCACGAGCATTGGAGATAGCATCACCAGTGAGAGAACCCAACCGAGCATTGAAATCGCCACAGAGGATAGTATCCCTAGTCATAGGTAGTGAACTAGGGGCCGAGAGCACCTTATCAGAGGATAAGGGTGGAGGAAAGTAAACACAATGAACCGTTAGGGTGCCAACCTTGAGAGACAGAGTGTGCGGATTATAAGAAGGTAGTTGGGAGACAGTGAAGGGACAGGAAGGAGAGACAAAGGCAGTGATACCACCAGAACCACGATTGAAAGCACCAGGTACTTTTGAACCATAGAGATGGAATTGAGACCAGTTTGTTGGAAAAGAGCCAGATGTAAGCCAAGTTTCAGTAACCAGCAGAACCTGAGTATCCAGTACATGAGAGAGAACATCATGGACTGTTGATTGGCGAAGACCATTGGCATTCCAGAGTGAAAGAGAGACGAAAACCGGGGAGACAGGCACATTAACATTATTAGGCAGTATAGATGGGGCAGAGAAGGAACTCATTATTGATCCACATCAGACATATCACTATCAGATCCAGCCTTGCCCTGGGAATCAGAGTTCAGCTTGCGACGGAACAGGAAATCAGCCTTTTTGGGCTCCTTCTTAGCAAAGCGTTCAACGGCCTGAGCAACGGCAACAGAGAGACTTTCATCGCAGATCCAACCTTTCTGTATAAAGTACTTACCGACACCACTAACATTAAGTGGGCGGAGGAAGGACAAAGTTTGCAGGCAGCGAGCTTCAGTAAATTGGTGAATCAGAGCATGACGATCATCATCAGAGAGGCTGGCGTACTTGGGATCAGCAATATTGCTGGGGTCCAATGGATCAAAAGCAGGAAACAGTTCACCCTTAGCCTTGGTCAATAGAGCAGTAAACTCCTCAACGTATTGAACGTGCAACAGAACACCAATAACATGGGAGGCAGGAAAGCAGATATCCAAGACACGACCCAGATCAACACTAGCATTAGCTAGATGCTTACGCACTTCAGAACGTTGGATCTTTCGGGATCTACCAATATATACATATTGATAGCCCTGGACACCTTTGGTAGCAGCAGTGGTAAAGGCACGACCAGCAGCAAGACGTTTTTTGTCTTTTTTCTTAGGATCAGGCTTGTGAGCAGCAGCAGTAGCGATTTGGGCGAAATTAGGAGCTTCCTTGAGAGGCTTTGGAGACACTGGGATAGAGGAACTTTCGCCCCCCTTGGGTCGACCCGAACCAGGAGAAGTGGTGTGACTAGTAACTGGACCTTGTTGTAATTTTTGAATAACCAGGTCCTTGTCTTGTAAAATTTTTTTCAGATCCTTGTTTTCTTGTTCCAAAGCAGCCAAACGTGTAAGGAGGTCCTCATGCTTGTTAACTTTCTCTGTTACCAAAGTAAGTTGTTGCTGGATTTGTTGCAGTATCGCTGGAAAGTGACTCATATCCAGAGCTTGTAGATTGGTGTCCATGGCGTTGAATATTTTTTGAAATTCCAACAATTCGAAAAAATATGAAACAGGTGTACGACAATTCTGAAATTATAACACAATAAACTGTTGATGGATGCAAGTATACTGGTACAATTTCGAGTGGATTGGAGTACTGGATGATGAGATATTACGTTTTTTGTGGTTTTTAGGATACTTTTTCTAAAGAGGGTGGCAAAAAGTGTCGAAAAACGGGAAGAGATGCGGGTATAGCTCAGTTTAATATTGGATTTTTATTTATTTACAATTGTAGTCAACTGCGGAATCGGTATGATCATATGTTGCAAGACTAACAGTGATTCGGCGGGAAAAAGCATGTTTAAATTAAAGGTTGAGGGAAGCTGCTAAAGGGAGGGGACCAATAAAGTAAACGGCATCAAAACCCACCAGAGAGGAGGAGAAACAGAGGGAGGAATGGCAATGGCCGCGCCGCAAGACGGGGGAGACGAACAGGACTCAAGGTAGAAACCGGCCAGACGCACCGCAGCACACCTAAACGTGCAAGCACAAATACCGAGCAACATGCCAGGTTAGAAAGGCGGAAAATATGGATGCGAAGGTGGGATTCGAACCCACGACCTCTCGGCATACTCACTGCTTCCGCATGAAGCTCTAACCAAGTGAGCCATTCAAGCATCCATGCGGGTATAGCTCAATTTAATATCGGTTTTTTATTTATTTACAATTGTAGTCAACTGCGGAATCGGTATGATCATATGTTGCAAGACTAACAGTGATTCGGCGGGAAAAAGCATGTTTAAATTAAAGGTTGAGGGGAGCTGCTACAGGGAGGGGACCAGTAATGAAAACGGCATTAAAACCCACCAGAGAAGAGGAGAGACAGAAGGAAGAATGGCAATGGCCGCGCCGCAAGACGGGGGAGACGAACAGGACTCAAGGTAGAAACCGGCCAGTCGCACCGCAGCACACCTAAACGTGCAAGCGCAAATACCGAGTAACATGCCAGGTTAGAAAGGTGGAAAATATGGATGCGAAGGTGGGATTCGAACCCACGACCTCTCGGCATACTCACTGCTTCCGCATGAAGCTCTAACCAAGTGAGCCATTCAAACATCCATGCGGGTATAGCTCAGCTGGGAGAGCGTTAGACTGAAGATCTAAAGGTCAGGTGTTCGATCCACTTTAGCCGCATACATTTTTATATATTTTTTTGATTTGCTTACGTAATTCTACTTTTGCTTTTACATCAATGCTGATTTCCTTAAAATCTGTCAATTGTTTTTTTTTTTTTTTTTTTTTTTTTTGCAAACTCAAATGTCGAATCCAATGTTCATCGTTTTTAGCACTGAAGGTGTTTTTTATTATGTTTTAAATTGCTTTTTTATAGGGGGAACAGGTGAAATATAACATTATCGAATTCGTTTTGCCTTATTTTTAGTCTCCATGATCAATCCAATTACAATTTTTTGAAGAGAAATGGAACTTGGAGCAACAGACTAACTGAAGTCATTAGATTTCATTAGGATACCTACGGTAAGCCCCAAGCACTATAATAATGTGATTTTTTTTTAGAAAAGAATATCCTGACATTTGCAGTAATCTTTGTATCCAAATACGATTTCACTTAATGCTAAACATCAGATTCTCCCTGCAAACATCTGCCATGCCAAGCCATCGTCTCTATTCATGCCGTATCTGTATTTCTATTTATGCAGTAGTATTCGCATTAATCATATTTCAAATAATGATCGGTCAAGTGAAGTTAAGAATGGTACTTTCTTGAGGGTGGCCATCAGCAAGACAGGCAAGACAGCAGATTACAATGTACTTGCCTCTTTATATCATCTAAGAACTTGATATTGACCATTGAACTTGCTGATGTACCTGCTGCTTTGACACACAAAGCAAAGGTAGCCAAGTGCAACAGCACATGGGGATGAAATTCGATCAAAGTACGCGAATGTCATTATTCTACAAGTATACGCTATTTACGTTTATTGTTCAATGTCCTTTGACAAAAGATAGGCGTCTCTATTTTCTATATTCTTGTAATAATCCTTCTCAGTGCCAACAACCTCGAATTGGTTCTTTTTGTAAAAGTCGACAGCAGCTGTGTTGATGGTCTGAACATGCAAATAAACTTGGGTGATGTCTTTGGCTAATTTAGCTTGTTCTAAAATGTGTTGGACTAATTGAGAGCCTGAAAGAGTGTGGGTGTTAGTATACCGAGCCATTCATTGCATGCAAGAAACAAATTACCTAACCCGAGATGACGGTAGGGCTCCAAGATACCTAAAGTCATGATGTAAACCTTGAACTTCTCAGGATTGCTTTCATCAGCTTCCTTGCGACAGCACACTGTACCAACGCAAACATCATTGTAATAAGCTAACAATCGGTTAATGATCAATAGCTGTCAATTTCGGTCGTGTATCAAGGAGTGTACCTAATTTTGCAAATTCTCCAGCTTCCAACAAGTCGTTGTAAAAGTTGTCGCCATAGTGTACTGGAAACAAGACTTTGTGAAGAATTCTAACTTGGCCCAAGTTGTTGGGAGTAACATCTCCAAGATCAGAGCGAGATGCCATATTGACAAAAGTGTGATTTATGAAGAATGCAAAGAGTAGAAAAAGAAGAACTGTGTGTTGAAACGCATCTTGAAAATTTTTATGAACTGTTAGTATGGTGTAAGAACAGTGTTTCATTGAAAGGCCGATGTATAAAGCAGTTTTTATTATGGGATGATGCGCTTCATGTTAACGATGATTTGATCAAGAGATTCGCATACTAGATCTACATAGCCAGCATCGTAAATATCTTTGGGTTGCCAGTCTTCTACCATGGATGCGTTGTTCCATTTAAGGTACTCTTGCTTGTGCATTTCCAATGCGGACCATGACATTGGCTTCTCCAAGAAGGATCTCAACAAATATACCTCAGCACTTTTCAATTGCGACATGTCAAGCGCCATCTCCATGCCGCGATAATTGAAGCCCCTGCCCGGTACTTCCTGATCCTTCAATGCAAACTTACTCATATAGTACCATGTTGCTTGCTGTTGCTGTGTAATGGAGAAAAATCGAATACGGCGATCCAGGTCAAATGTTTCGGTCCGTAAACCATGCAATTGTACCTTGCGAAATCGCTGGAATGGCATGTGAATTTGAACCTTGTAGCGACGATCGCGCTGTGTATACGCAAACAAGATTAGCTCGTCGAGATACGGACATCGTGGTGAGATGTGGTCAAATACACCGTCGAATGAACTGCAATGCCGCATTATCAAACTCTTCAAAGGGTGCTTGTCCCAAATAGGCTCTTGTCGACGATGGTCAAATGATACTCGAAGGGCGATGTTGTGCAGTTCAAGAAACTCCAGCTTTCTGCAATAGTCCAGAATAGAGTCAATCTTGAACGGGATGTTGAGATTGCAGTGAGGCTCTCGTAGACATAAATGCACCAAACGAGGGCAGGCATTAGCAATGGATTGCACCAGTGTGTTTGGCATGACACCGCGAGGAATAGGACCAAATGTGAGATGTGTGAGATTGCCCAGGATTTGGTGAGGGCTTTCGAACAACGCTGATGTCAATAAACCAGGTACTGTAACATTGTCATACACTTCCAATCTCTTCAATTTCCTGTGTTGCGCTTTATCCAGTTCCTGAAAGAATCTGAAATCAGGAGCAGTGTTGTTCCACATGATGTACTTCAAATGCGGACAGTCTCTAATGAATTGGCGGTATAGTTCTATTGGACACGGCTCAATGATATCTTTGCCAGTTCCCAAGTGGTGAAAATCTACTGAAATAAGGTTTGGATACTTTCTTCCTAGGTAAGGTAACCAATCATGGTAGCGATCAGCGCCGTATTGACACTTTAATTGGAAAGATTTCATTCGTAGCAGTGAATTGACATGCGTGGGTTGAATCATTCTGACAAAGTCTTCGGCTTCTGCTCTGTACCCTTCCAATGCAATGCTCTCTAGATAGGGACACTGTTCATGTATCGACTCGACGTATTGGATTGTAATGTTATGGTGTTGGTTGATTCCCATGAGCGTGAGATTTCTTAAATTTGGTGTGTAACAAAGCAGTAATTTGGCATCAATTTGATTCATAGAGTACAAATCTAATGTGATGGATGACAACTTGCATGCACCGTAATTGGACAGAAAGCGAGTAGCAGCCACAGGAAACAGACGTCGAGCATGGTAATTCCGCGGCAAGCTTGTATTTGGTGATTCTTCAGTGAATGCCAAGTAGTTCCATATACGCCAATCGACATGTATTGACTGAACAAATGGACATGATGTTTGTAGCCTTGCCAGTTCGTATTCCGATAATTCGTTCAGCAAGATGTTCAATTGATGGACGCATTTGCCGAGTGGCAATGATGTGGATTCAGTTTGATTGAATATATAGAGCAGCTGCTTGAGCTGATTTGGTGATTCGATTGTGATTGTGCGGTAAAGTAGTATAATAAATATCTGATAAAATGGCTTGTTTAGATGTAGCAGCTCATAGCGATCTTGATGTGACAAGTACGAATTAATATGTTCAATGATTTCAAAGGGTAGATAGTGAATTGAGCTCATCATGAATAGTGGTAAAAGGTATAGCAATGAAAAGAAGAAGGAGACAAATTAATGTAGGTCTCTAGTAATAAAGTTTTAGAATCTATTCCATATTAGACGGTGCCTGAATTGATATATTTTTTTTAACCATCATGAATGCTCTTGCAAGCTTGATACAAACCGAGGGCTGTCTAGTGTCATAGGTACATAATACTATATTGTGTCATATTGGTACCAATATCAAAAAGAAGTTTCCATTGTGGGCACTATTTTTTCTTCCATTCATCGTTATGACAACGAAATCATGACATTATGAATTCAGTCTGCGACATGAAATCTTCTAATTACAGAGCCATCTCCCCCACTTCAAATCAGATAATTTCATGCAGAACCAATCATCAGGAGTGAAATAAAGCTAAAATTCGTAAAGCTAAACAAAATCCCTTTATTCTACAAGCAACAGCTTGTTATTAATCAATAAATGCTGCACCGATTTGAATTCTATTTTGACAAAACCGCTATAATACAGGTTCTCTGGATCCCAGAAAGAGGCATCCAAACAAGTGTTTGGCGTCTGCAAGTTGCGCTTCACAGCTTCAATGTCCCAAGCTTTTAGAGTTTCGGTTGTTACAAGCGACTTTAGTTCCTGAATGTCCCGGCCATCCAATCTGTCAAGTGTATGAGCAAACTCCATATTGCGGTACTTTTGAAATGCAATCTTTCGGCCAACCGGATGTGAGCGAATGTCATATTGACTCATGTAGTGCCATGACTGATTGACCTGGAAGAATCGAATACGACAGCCAGCATAGTAACGACGAGTACGAAGCCCTTGGATCTTTAATGTGGTCAATTCTTGGCGAGGCAACAGTATACGAACTTGATCTCGTCTATCTCGTTGGAAACAGCCCAATAACTCTACATGATCCAATGCTGGACAGGCCCTTGAGACAGCATCAAAGACCCCTTCATTGAATGATGCTCGCTTCAGCTTTAGTCTCTTCAATGGATGATTTGATGTTTCCAAGTTACATGATGTCGCCGCTGCCACCAGATGCACATCCTTCACATACAATGTTTGCAGCGATCTGCAATGCGCTAAGATATCATCCATACTATATGCCATTTCGGGATCAACAAAGCATTCCTGGATCTTGAGCGCCACTAAATTGCGGCAATGACCAATAGCCTCCAACACCTGAGCGGTTGTAACTTCTGCCGGTGGTTGACCAATCGTAAGTGAAGTGAGTAAACTTGACATCAGTGAGTCTTGTTGAACGAGTGGGGAAAGCTGAATTGAACCAGGGATCTGAAAGTTTTCATATGCTTCGATACGCTCCAAGTGCAAGAATGGCTGCTTTTGTTGTTTCTTATGGTGCTGATCGCACAAACTAAACAACCCCTTTTGCTGATCATGTTGCACAATAATGTTGTTCCAACGGATAGATTTGAGTTGGCGACAACCATGCGTGAATAGCGTAAAGACTTGGTCTGGAATAGTTTGATTGCCCCCACCGTCCTTACCTAACCCGCAATGCTTGAATTGAATGTGTTGTAGATGAGGATACTTTACAGAGAAATAAGGCAACCAATACGGCCATTTAGCTGATCCGGATTTTGATGCCAATGAGAAGGATTCCAGTACCGAAGGTGTCAGGACAATACAGCCTTGATGCTCACTGAATTGAGGTAGCAAAGCAGGGTTTGGATCCGATCGAGTGCACTTGATGGCCAGTTCTATTAGATGTGGGCAGAGCTGATGGATTGTTTCCAAGTAGCCTAGTGTGATGATGTGCTCGTGATTCAAATTCAGTAACTTGAGCGTCTTGAGGCGAGGACATGATGCAAGAATGGACCAGACATCTGTGCTATCCTGATGTGTGGCGTCGATGGTGAGATGTCTAAGGCTGTGAGAGCCATAGCAAGAGAACAATTGATCAATAGGAGGCGGTAGACCTTGAGGTGGATGAATGTATGAGATGGGTGCATCAGAATCAAAATGAACATTGAATTGCAATGAAGAGGTCCATATGCTCCAATCCAAGACCAATGTATCTACTTCGGGGAACAGCTTTGTCAAGTGAGATGTGTCATACTCCGAGAGATCGATGTTTTGCAGCGTTAATGCCTTTACATAGTGGCCAGGTAGTCTACCAGTGTAGAAAGCTGGCAAGATTCTTTGCTGTTTGTCATAGCTATCAATAGCGAGAGATCGGTATATAAAGTTGTAGAAGAAATGATACCATGATTTGGACACAAGTATCACCTGAAGCAAGTCTTGAGTAGATGTATATACAGAGATCAATTCAATGATTTCGATGGGCAATGAATTAAGTATTGTTGCAGTAGTCATAACTGTATTATTAATGAAGGAAAATGGGGAAGAGAGATGAAGATGGAGTCATTCTCTTGTAACTCTATTTGATTTAATATATACTAAGGGCACATACAAATGATTGGCTAAAAGTGCAAATGATATCACAATGGCTAGTTTTTGACAAATTAAACGAAAAGACCAATCGAAGCAAATTATTTGCACTTATCTTTTTCCTTTCTTCTAAATGCTCACACACATACCCAAGCAAATAAACAATAAATTTCGGGCATATGCCAGAAATTTTGAGCTTTATTGCCCCTGAATTGGTCAGGCAAAAAAGTCATTTGTTTGATATTATTTTTGAATCACATTACTATGGTTCCGAAAATAGGGGCGGAAGCAATCTTGTTGAAAATCCAGGGTTTTGTTCTAGCAGTTCATATGGATGATTCAAGGCACTGAAGATATAGCTCCCCCACTCTTTTTTTTTTTGGCGAGCATTTCCTCTGGTGAATCTCTTGCTTCAGATGACAGGCTTATATAATTTAAGGCGTGTTGTATAAATAAATAGGATCAAGATTCATGCGGTTTTGTATGATAAAGCCGGGGTTTCTAGACCAGAAATTTTTCAAATGTAAAAATTTCGACAGATAACACTGCCCTGAGAAATTTTTGAAATCAAACAAGAGAATGAATGTTTATAAATTTGAGCCAAGTGCGGAAATATTCGGTAAGCGAAGATAGCAAAATAGATTTGTAGAGACTAAAGAATATTTATACTACAGCATGAGCATATGGAAATCGAATATAAAGTTTATCTGCCATCACACCACCATTTGGTTGAATGGTCTTCGTTTCCAGACAATCTACCTTTTTAATTCTTGGTTATTGAATTCCTGTGGCGAATACCCAATCTCATTGAAACCAAATAATAAACTAGGCTTGATGCCAGCCGCCTTAAAAATTCTTTATGGACCACCTAAGATGAAGAAGAACGACAGGTCTGAAATCATATCACATTCGACTCAACCTTCAAATGAGGCTGGAGCTAATTGTTGGTGAAGATAGGCGCACTCAGAATCTGCCGGCTGTCAGCGAGATTACAGTCGTTATTTTCTACCATTATTCTGAGATAAGTTTTAGATATCCTCATCACATAGTGAAATAGCTTTTCACCCAATAGTAATTATCTTTTCTGAACGACTCAACTGTTTATAAGCCATGTTGAAATGTTGCAAATCATATTAGAAAGCTGTGATTACATCTATTTTGGCGGTGAGTCAAGCCGATTGGCAGTGTCAGGTATCTAAAAACGAACAAAAACAACAGAAAGTATTCAGTCTAAGCGATTGTTCTTTCAAATTCATGATTCTTATTTAATCAGCATCCCAATCATCAGAAAGGCATTTGGGTCAGCCAGCAGCAGCGCCACCGCCAAAATTAATTCAAACTCAGTCTTTTTTTTTTCTGCTCAAGATTGGATAAATTTTGTCTTTTTTTTTAAATAAAGCATTCATTTGCCCTAAAAAAAAAAAAAAAAAAAAAAAATTTGTCTTTTTTCGACTTCTTTAATTTATTTTTTCAGATTCGACTACATAAAATATACTGATCATCCGATGCTTCTTTAAGCTTTCTTGGAGCGCTTTTCAAGGCGCATCCAATGGTACCAAGTAAGATAGATGTCTTGAATAAACTTGTTGAGCAATTTATAAAAATTTGAAAAGAGGTTTCTGGCCAAAAAGTCGAAATTTTACATATCAAGGTCCCATAAAGATGATTTCAGAGGGTACGTTAGATCGATAGAAACATTTTGATTCAATACATACCATAATAAAAGTCTTCATTTTCAAGGTGAAAAACGCGATCGTTTGATTTTCAATGAAAACCATGAGGGGGTACTTCATGCTTTTTGGCCGATTTTTGATCATGTTTTTTTGGTCCTCAAAAAGTTGAGCAATAGTGGCAATAAGTAACTGCCAGATGAGAGCAATTGTTTGGTGCTATTTAGATAGTCTAAAACGGCTTTGAACGCGAGAAATCATGGCTTAAATCTACCCAGATTTTGCTGTATTACACACACTTTTGACTAGAAAGGGATAGTGCCAGTATGCTGCTTGCCCGTATATGAAGTAATTACGTGTGTATAGATGTAGAGCATCACGTAAGAATTAGATCTACAGATAACATGAAGGGGTCTCATGTGTAAGTGGAGGGTCAAAATGAAAGTAGCAGTATTTTGACAAGATACGCAAGGGCAATCGGTAACGCGAGCTGCCGCTGCGCAGGTTGGTTCTCACCGAAGCGTAAACACTCGCATAACCATAGTGTTATTTCAATCAAACCATAACAAAAGCTAGTAAGTAGAGGCGCTACATCTAAACAAGTGGGGGAGTGGGGGGGGGGGAGCGTTTAATAGCTTTGACACGCTTTTATGTTGCATCAGTGTATGTTAAAACATCAGCTGAAATGTAATAAATTGCAGACATATTTCTTAAGGTGCTTCATGACTTTGAGGTAACGGATCAAATTCTTGTGAATTGATCGTCGGTCGCTTTCACCAGTAGCTACCATTGTATGCGTGTTGGGGTATTTGTATATAAGATACTATACTCTGCAATATCGGGTCAAGTCTAAACGTTGTAATATTTGATTGTTAAAGGGGTGCTCGCCTTTTGAACATGCTTGCCTTTGAGTGATTGCACAATTGCCTCTTCAGACATAGTGTATGAAAAGAAGCTCAAGTGAGCTTTTGGTGTGAGATGCTCGAGAAAAGTATGGAATTTGATGCAATAATTGTATTGAACTCGATACATTGATCCATTTGAATGATAAATTGGAACGGTTGAGCCATTTCATAGCACGCTGCGAGAATGATATGCTCGAAAGGCATTTGGTAGGTAAACATGGCGTCTGATTGACTGATGAAACATTTTGCGAGATTGCTACTTCACAGTGCTTGATGAATATGCTATTGAAAGCCGTATTTTCTATGCAATGGGCCACGGTATCAAATCTAGATACAAGGCACATCGATTGTGCCCCTCACTACTGATTTGCATGAATCACGACAAATTTGTTAAAAGTGCACGTTTTTACGGGATTGTTCAATCTGTAAACAGGGGTCTTTCAGTTTTCCAGCACATTGAATGATTGCTCAAGAGTCTGTATCGGATGAATCCCATGGTTGATGCAACATTCAGATAAACACTTATCACCAGCCGTGAACACAACAGGGGAAGAGCTCGTATAGTATGATGTGCTTTTCTACGGCCCAAGCCAATTTTTTGAGTAGGAGATAGGTTTATTTGGTGGATTTCATCATACATTTATTGCAGCATTTTTTTTTTCCTTGGTTTAATATATTTCCTTACACTACATCCTTTTAAAAATAATACAAACATAAAAAAAAAAAAATGAATGGTGATGAAGATGAGCTGTCCTATTTGAACGACTTTCAAGAGATTTTGCAGTCTGAAGTTTATGTGGACTTGGAGAGATTACGTATATTAGCTAGACACGGCGTGCCCGACCAACTACGAGGGGTATGTTTTCTTTTGTACGTCGTTGTAGCATACATTAGGTGCTAACTTGTAACAGGAAGTTTGGAAATACTTGCTAGGCGTACAACAAGCAGATCGTTGTAAGCTTTTTATTTATATACTTGCCATCAAGAAAGTATTTCCATATTAATACTTAATTGCAGCCAAAGAATTAAGTTCAAGTAAGGCAAGGACAGAAGAATACGATCAATTAGACAAGATAGACAGTGAAACAGCCAAACGGATTCGAGGAGAAGTGAGTCGGTTTCAGCGTAGAGTGCCCGAATTAGATGGAAATGAGCATGTTCAGTCGTTTGTCAATATCATTTTAGCTTACTTGAACAGCAATCATGATGTTGAATACAATTCCAGCCTAGTGTCATTGTGTGCACCCTTCATCTATGTCATGGAGACCGAATGCGACGCCTTTTTCTGCTTTGAGCGGTTGATGCAAGCGATAGAGGAGTACAACACAAACATCAGCTTGAAGGAGCAAGTGGCTCAGTTCATGACACTGTTTAGATGTGGATTATCCGAGCTATGTAGCTATTTTGACGAGGAGGAGGTTGATTTGAATGAATGGTCGACATCTTGGCTACAAAATCTGCTGGCCAAAGAGATGAGATTCGAGAATCTGGTTCGACTGTGGGGTAAATGTGTGCTGCTGTCTCATTTGACATGTTTACTTATTGCCATTGTGTGTATAGATACCTATTTCGCAATGACAGATCCGTTTGCATTTCATCCGTTTGTGTGTCTCTGTAAGTGTGACACATCAGCCTCTACTAATAGAGTAATTAACTTTTTTTTGAACCAGCCATCCTACTAAGCGCCAAAGAAGCCCTTGAAGATTTAGAACAATCCGAGATTAGAACCATGCTACTTCGACTACCGTTATTGAACATGGAAATGGTAACAAGATACTGATAATGATACTTGTTGTTGTCATGTTAGCTGTTGAGTCTCATCTTTTCTTGTTTAGATCATTGCAGACGCATATAACTTTAGACACGAAACCATCGAGAGACAAATGAGTGAAAATGGAGAATTATAGAAGGAAAGGGAATTTTTAATAATAGTAATAAATGTAATTAATAGGAAACTAAGCAGAGGGTGTAGTAGCGGCAGCAGGTTGAGTAGGTGCTGGTTGATTTGATGAAGAGTTGTTCTTTGTCTATAAAAATCGGGATTAGTAAATCTGAGCCCATTTCTCTTGCTTGATTTGCAATGTTCAGCAGCACAAAAAGGGGAAGTCTCTCTACTTTACCTGTGTACCAACAATAGAACCTAAAAAGATAGGGTCTAGTTATAATAGATGCAAATGAAAGAGAGGGTTCAAAGAGCACTTACCAATAATAACACCGAGGATGACTAGGATTGTAACTGCAATAATAATCTTCCACTTTAGATCTTTCCACCACATTCTCTTTCTCACTTGATTAGCTCCACGACGGAAATGGCCCGCAGTTGCCTGCAAATCCTCTGTGTTGATGTTAATAACACATAAACAAATAAATCACTTGTACACAGAGAGACAACTTACCCGTCTTTCCGCGAAGGTCATCCAATCTCTCGCCTCTTTGCATCACTTTATCAATGTTCTCTTGCATTATGCCCACAACCTCATCTACTTGCTGTTGCACTCGGGCAGTCTTTTGATTACCAGCTCCACCGGCACCGTCAGTACCGCGTTGGTTGTTGGGAATATAGGGATCATAGGGCTCAGACCTGAGTAAGATGTTAGTGCTCTACCTTGCAGTATTCGCCCGTAGATAGTTACATGTTGTATTATAAGTATAAAGTGAAAAACTGACAAGAGAAAAAAAAGAGGAGAAAAAGAAAAAAGAAATGAACGAAAAAAACCCTTTCTCTTTTTTAACATTGCACAAAAATTAATAGTGTGTGTATCCACCTTTATTCTCTATGTGTAAATGGCTTTGTGTGTGTTTCAAAGCAATAAGCACCGAGATAAAATGATGTCAGTTGAAAGCCAGTTGGATATATGCCTTTCTCTATTTAGAGCAGATCTTGACTCGTTACAGCAAGTCCTTTCTTGATCCTGTCAGCTGCTGCCAAGCCTTTCAACGTTGCTGAATTGGGACATTTGTCCGGTGCAAAATGAACGATAAAGTCGTCCTGTTGGTAGAATTTGGGAAACGTATTGAACAAATGATTTTCTCTGTCTAAAAACTTGGTATGCTGAATAAATCCTTCTCGGCGCATTACGTCCCACATGGCTCCCTGCTCGTAAGAGGGTCCTTGTCTGTACCATTCGCTTTGATTCTGGATCTCTTGCAGGAATTGGAATGACCATGCTGTGTTTCTGATCAGAAATACGCCCGCATTAATCATTTTATCCGTACCAGGCCTGACAATGATGAAGTGGGTTGAATTGTTGATCTCTAGTCTTTGAAGCAAGGCCTCGATGGTCTGCTCATTGTTCATCACTACTGCATCCATATCCAACCAGAACACCCAATCGTATTTAGGAAGCACTTTTTGAATGACATCAATCTTTCCCCATACAGTGCGTCTTTGATCAGGTCGCAGCGCTTGTTGTGCAAATTCTCTAGATCGGGCTACAAAAGCATAACCATGTTTATCTGCATAAGAACGCTTGTTCAATGAAGCTCTGGTACCACTTGGCTCCATACAGTAGTCGTAGATGTAAGATGACGTTACCACGGCAACGGATTTTGCTTTGCTCTTGGGTAAAACAGGCTGCAGCTGATACAAAGAGCTCAAATCCAAAAAGTCTTGGTCTTGGTATACATGTGTTATAATGAGGTTTTCAGTGTTGGTCGATTCTACGCTGTTCTCCCAGATTGCTACGCTGCTTGCTGTCGATCCATCCGCTACTGGATTGCTTAACAGCTGTTGTAATTTGTTCCATGAAACCACCATTCCTTTTCCATCATTTCCCATCTGATCCACTGTTGTAGCAGCGCTCTCCAAGTCATGTATGACTCGATCCATATGGATAAACGTGTGTATGTCCTGAAGGATTACAAAATCGAATGGTTTTGACCAGGCAGTTGCATTGATCTGTCGCAACATGTCAAGCGTGTCAGCGCTGGCTTATCAGATCTTGCTCATGTTTCTCAACTTACCCAATGAAATGCTGTTTCTGAAGTGAATGTTTGGTCAGTTGGCAATGTGTAGATGTCGTTGTACTCCATCTTTTCAGTTTCAAATGCTCTTCTTTCTGGCGTATTGGATTTGGGAGCTCCACCGTGGACCAAGAAGGCGTATTCAACCTGATCAAAGTCGGCTGCAGGTATCAAATTGTCATCCATGTTGAAATAGGTTGATCTGATAAGACTTCGTCTCGTGGTGTATCGTGCCTCTGTACCGATGACCACCAGATATCGCTTCTGGCAGTTTAGACTGTCCTCTGTGACAATAACATGCTCTGTGTTTCTGATGTAGTTCATCTGAAATAGCACAAAGAACAGGATAAAGAACAAGCTAGCGCCCAGTAAATGTCGCTTCTTTAGTCCTTTGATATAAGATACCCCATCCTTCAACATGGTTGTTTGTAGATGAAAGGGAAAACAGGAACAAATAGTTGTAACATGGTCTAAATTGATTGATTTATTTATATTAAAACTCAAGTGGATCTACTTTGCCTGGCGTAGAGCCACATCCAATGCCACCGCCGCCACCACCAATCTTGTTGGGCCCACGATTGGCAAGTGATGAGAGCCCTTTGCTTTCCTTCTTTTTCTCGTCTGAAGAAGAGGCTGCCGTAGATGTTGAAGCAGAAGAAGGAGGCTCAGTGCGACGTGTAACAACGCCTCCTTCTGGTGGTAAATGGAAGGTTTCGATGGCAAATCGCTTACGACGGAGCTTGAAGCCCAGATCATTGCTGCCGCCTGCTGACAGCACTGAGAGTTTGGTGCTTGGTGGTAAGAGCGAGTTTAAGACGGGTAGTTTGTGCACATGGAAGAAACCATGATAGTTTTGTGTGTAGGCTGCTTCATTGTGCACAGGATCGCCTATAGTAGGGAATGAGTATACAAGCCAATGGACGTAAATCGCACTCTCATCTACCTGCAAACGACTCGATTTCAATGACTGCATCCACCATATGTTCGATGCGCTTCATCACATTAGGGACCTCATCATAGAGATAAGCTGGCACAGTGACAACAGCAGTGCCAAACGAAAATCGAAGCAATCCACGAAGCGCATGGAAAAACTTGTACAAATCCTAATGGGACCTGTCAGTATGACAGCATCATCTCCCTCCCCCTCCTCCTCTTATCCAGCGCACTTACGTAAGTTGATTTCGATTGCCAACTGGGAGACGCTAATGAGTGAATAGCTACTCTCAATGCATGGCGAGGCGTGCCTGGAGCAACGGGAACAGCTGAACTAAAGTTGCCATCCAAGACGACCTTTCTAATTTTGCTAATCAAGCTTTCGTAATCATCCTGGTCCTCCTCCTCTCCATCGGCCACCATATCCCACTGCATGATATCTATATTGGCTTGATCCAAGACTGTGGATGGCACTCGCTTCGTTAAATCGAATTGACTGCAGTAGGGCCTGGGCTCGTCTGACGGCTTTTGTGATTGATCTGATGCGGTGTTGGCTGTTTTCTGCTGCTGAGGTACTGGTGATGCTATGCGATGATGACACATGAGTTCTTCAATCTACAGTCGCTCTCTGCCTCCATCTACTTACCTGGCTTGGCTTTGACGCCAGTCTCAAAGCGCTTCAGATGAGAGTATCTCCAAGCAATCTTCATGCGATCACTTTCAGCATCGGTGCGAGCATTCTTTGTCTTGTCACTGTCATCATCGCCGTCCTTGTCTGAAGTCGATAACCACATGAGCGTCTTCAGCATCTCTTCAGGATCCTCGTCGCGAGATGTAATAGCACAATGATGTCCAGAGCTAATGCCTTGAGCAATAAAGTACTTGAGCAAGAGCTGTGCATAGGTTGTAGCACGATCCTCTTTGATAAGCATCACAGTGCCAACAGGCTGTCCTCCACCTAGAATATCGTCTAATGATGGCACGCCAGTCGAGATCAAGAGCTGGCCATTGTAAGCGCTCAATCTTGAGCCAGATGGTAGTTTGGGTTGCTGATCCACGTTTCGTTTCTTGAAGCTCATTTAGTATGTATTTGTCAGGAAAACCACAAGATTTTGTTTTGTTTTCCTGTTTGATTTAGCCTCAAGAAGGCGAAAAAAAGTGGACTGCCTTCATGTGGATGTGAATGTATGCTATAAACACTACTCGTGGACTAGAAACCAGGCGTTAGTGTCGATAGACAGATGCACAGGCTATTCATCGCAAATGTGAAATGGGTAAGGCACCTTTTATATGCTTCTGTCGACCTTTGACATTCTCAATGGATCATGTAAATGTGGAAACATTGCACCAGCACTGTAAATGTATTGTTGTGTCTGTGCCACTCAGCTGAGCTTTGATAAGATGAGTCCTGTATCCATTTGTGTTTCAATGCAGAATGGCCCTTTTCCACTCTTTTCTTTCTGATTGCTGATGAAAGATGTCGCAAGATTCCAAAGAATGGATTAAGACACGGATGGCGATACTGCGAAAGCAGGCTAATTTCTCGTTCAATCAAGACTTGTTCATATCCATATTACTATGTTTGATATCTGGAAAAGACAAACACTTGGTACTCACTGCTCCTCCCGAGAGATTAGCAGAAGTGGCTCAAATGGCTTCACAGGTAACATTCGTGAAAACAGACGCTTTCTTGAGATTCTCTCATGTGGTCTATTGTAGATTAGTCGCTGCTTATTTGGGTTTACCACTGCTAAAATGATCTGCACCGAACAACAATCAAGAACAGATCTCGTCGATACACTCTTCAATACAAAGGATGATTCAGATATGTCTATGGACAAGCTCAACCCCAATTCGCAGCACAAAAGGCCTCATGAGCTATCACATAAGCCAAGCCAATCGATACAAACATTGGATTCGAGGAATTCCGAAAGATCTCAAACGAGCCAACACACTGGCAGCAGAAATACCAGTATCAAGGTAGTTGACAAAGGCAAAGATATCGCTCCCCCTATTGAAATGACGCTCTTGTGCAGTTTTCGCTACTAGGAGACGACGACCTACGCGCTTCTACTCCAGTTAATCCTGTTGATTTCAACCTGACTAAAAAGAGGGTGCTGCGAGGAAACTCGGGAGCCTCGCCATCAGCGTATGCCAATTCAATATCCACAAAGGAAATGCACAACAGGAGAGACAGATCTCGATGGTCAGACCACGAGGACACAAAAAGATCTTATGCAGCCTCTACCTCTGCCATGGGATCCACGCGGCTTGCTCAAACATTGATTATGCAAGGAATGGACGCTTCAGATGCCTCGATCCAAGCGCTTTTATTGGAATTGATCGTGACAAAAGAACTGAGGATATCCAATGTCAAGTACAATGTGCCGAAGCCCTTCTTTTTGGTCATTGCTGTGCTACCTCAGGGCTATGATCGATTAAGGATATCGTCCCAATTGGTAAATTTACTCTACAAACAACAGGTATGTCCATTGTACTCATCTGTATGGTTATAGATGGACCGATTTTTTGTCAGTTACAATTTTGAGCAAGACATGTTTTCGCACTCGAGTATGTCAATCCCCAATCCATTGGTACGCCAAACAAGCTCTCGAAGATTTGCCTTGATGAAGCCTGACGAGATCAAAGCTCTAGCGGAAAAGGCAAGCAGAGTCCATGTGAACATTGATATTACTCGGTATGTGCGAGACATTGTAGTGGGCATCCGGACACATCCTCGTGTGAAGGGTGGGCTGACAGCAAGGTGTAGTCAAGATCTCGTTACCGTCACAAAGTAAGTAGAATACACTCAACAGCATTCATACTCTCACATGGATGGAATAATTAGATCACTAGCAACCCTCTTTGAAAGAAACTTTTTGACACCGGATTTGGTCACCATTGCGGCCGAGAAGGTGTTTAGTCATCGCCTGCATGTCTTGACAGTGAATGCAACGGATGATCAGATGGAAAAGGAAGACATGGGTGCAAATATACCCTCAGACATTGTTGCTGAGATTCTTCGTTTGATTTACGTGCCTGTTTAATAAACGTTGTCATGAAAATGAAAGCAGTTTACATCTACTAGAGACATGCTCGCTGGAGATATGGGATGGGTTCCAGGAATTACTGAAATTTCACTTTTTAAGCTTGATAATCCTCCATGAACGATTTGTAGCTGCGAGTCTGACTTTTCTAAGATGCTCCACGTCTGCTTCAATGGAAATAACTCACACAGAGATCTACAGCACAGTCGCATTACCGCCTATCTCTCAAAAGTATGTAAAACACAGCATAACTTGGGTGCATTTGAGTCATGATTTCTCGCGTTAGAAGCCGTTTCAGACAGCCAAAATAGCACCAAACAGTTGCTCTCATCCAGCAGTAACTTTCTGACACGTTTGCTCAATTTTTTTTTGGGATCGTCAAAAATCGACCAAAAACCATGAGGGGCACCTCGTACTTTTCACCAAAAATCAAACGATCGCGTTTTTCACCTTGAAAATGAAGACTTTTTACTAAGGCATATACTAACTCAAAATGGTTCTCTTGATCCAAAGCAACCACTGAGACTTTGTTTGTGACACCTTTATATGGAGAATCTCGATATTTTTGCCAAAAACCTCATTTCGTATTTTCTAGTAATGCTCAATAAGGTTGTTTAAAACACCTATTTTACTTGGTACCATTGGAAGCGCTTTGAAAAAGTACGTTAAGAAAGCTTAAGGCGATACGTGATAATCTTTACAGTGTATATAGTCGAATCTGACAAAGTACTTTGAGCAAGTCGAAATTGGATCAAAAATTAACAAAACAAGGAAGGATACAATGAGCGGCAAATGAAATAATTTTGGCTGGCAAAATCAATAATGCCTCTCTGTTCATGAATTGCAAACGATGCTTTGCGAAGCTAATAGGAAGAAGATTGTAAACTAACAGAGTACTGCAGATGAGCATCGCTAGTTTACTTTACTTTTCCTGGCGCATTTTATATTTGGTAGATTCAATGGCTGCAAATTGATCATCCAAATCAGAATTTTGATGTGAAATGTAAGATTGTCATCTTAATCGGAATGCATGTAAATACTACAGTGTTGTTGGAACATGTATATACACTTTAGCGCCATGACTCATAATGTGTAAGTGTCCCCTAGCTGTTAATGCAACCTTGAATGCCCATGAAGAACTTAATTAGGTGTAAATGCTCTATTCAAAACTCCACACAGCTGAAAGTGGGGGGCAACAGGAGAGAATTTGAGCGACGTGTTTGTTCTCTATTAATGCTGAGATAAACTCCTTTTTGCTCTTGTTCTCAACTTCTCTATACTATGGAAACTATTGAAGACTCAGCTGAAAATAGCTTTATGGAGCGTAAATCAAGCATTGTAGCTGTATGTTAAATGTAGCTTGATAGGCATCACCCGTGTAACTTTATATATTTTAACAGAGATGGCAAGCATTCGTGGATAGATCAACACCTTATACAACCTACCGATGGACCTCCTTTGGTGTTATATTTAGCTTATTTCTCTTGCGGATCATTATTGCGCAAGGATGGTACATTATCTGGTAAGTCTCAGTAGGGCTTTATGTGAAGCAATCATACTAATCCTTACTCCTCATACCAAGTTACGCGTTAGGTATGTGCAAGTAGCAACACGGCTTAACAATGCAGCTTTTGCACTAGTGCTAATCTTGGTTGATCCTCAACTGCAGGCATCTACTTACTCAACATGTTTCTTGCGTTTCTAACGCCCAAATTTGACCCTTCACTAGAGCAGGAGGAAGAGGATGAAGAAGGGCCTACATTACCCACACGAAACGATGAAGAATTTCGACCTTTCATACGTCGATTGCCAGAATTCAAGTTTTGGTATGCCTCCACTAAAGCAACTGTTATTGCGCTTGTTTGCAGCTTTGTTCCAGCATTCGATATTCCAGTCTTCTGGCCCATATTGTTAATCTACTTTTGTTTATTGTTTGCATTGACAATGAGAAGACAAATCCAGCACATGATTCGATACAGATACGTCCCATTCGATTTTGGAAAACGAAAATATAAAAAGGTAGTGGATATGGATACTGTTGATGGTAGTGGTGGTGAGACTTCATCGCCCTCTAGCACTGCTGCATAGTTATTTCTCCTCAGGTTCAAATCCTTCTAATAAATCAACATCTTGTCCAATTGCCTTTGAAAGTTCGGTATTCAACACCTCGTCTAATGTATGGTTGTCTCTGTGATAGAACCATTTGTGATGCTTTTCATCAAAATCATATCGTTGGGGACCACTACAGACGGAGACTTGAGTTGGGCTGCAGAATGTGTCTCAAATGATGATATTACCTGACAGGCGATGACAGCCAAATTTGGTGATTAGGTGGTTGCTTGTTAATGACATATGTGCCATGCTCGCCTACAGAGATGGTCATGACACCTTGCTGGCGAAGATAACAGGAATTTTAATTCTCTTAAAGGCTATATCTCTGACATTTGCCTTACGTTATATTCCACATCGAATCCTTCCATCTCAATTTCATCAGCCAGCTCCTCTAATCTGGTCACCATATGATCCAGCACCTCATCAGATAAGCGATGATATCTGTCGGTTGACAAGTCTCTATCGGTGAAATTGAAAATAAGAGGCAGTTCTTGCTTTAGTGCTAGCTGTACTTACGTTACAGTATAAGAAGGACTCTCATTGAAGCGAGATGAAGAGAAGCTGAAGTGACGATTGCTTGTTGTATGTTGCAAAATGCAAGGAGCAGACGCAGTTGATGATCTCAGGAAAGATTTACGAGGCAATTGCGCTAATGTGATTCGTCTGGTGGTATTCTGCAGGGAAGTGCGAGCAAGTTGTCTGAGCATTGTAAGTATGGTTGTCTGGAAAGAAGCAATCTAATGGAATACCATCACATCATTCAGACAGTATATTTTGAATATCCTGGGTTGAATGCAGGATCCCTACCAGTCACATAAAAGCTCATCATAGATCAAGGATGCCAGGTATCCATTACTTGATAGTAGTTGTAGCCAATGTCTATAAGAGGCAATGAACAAGGCAATATATATTTTGAGGTAGCTGTGATGCTGTAGAGTCTATGAAGCTTTTAAGAGGCTGAATATAATTATACAACTACATCAAGAAAAAAAAAGTATAAAATGTGGCATCGCGAGCTGACATTTAGAAAATGCAATTTTGACATGCCATGGCATGCAACCATGTGAAATAACCTTTATTAGGTTGATCAGACTCTTGCATTGAGCGTGTGAGGGAGTCGTAGACAAACGTTTTATCAACTGGATTAAATCGAATCATTTATAGTATTCACAACAAAACGAGAATGACACAATGGTATCATTATACATTTCTCTATAAGCTGGAGTTTATTTTATAGCAATGATGATCCATTGTAAAAGCGAAGCAATAATAAAAGTATCGAGAGCATGCACGCTCTCTGATGGCCTACTTTTTTTTTTTTGTCACTTGATGTTTCTTCCCTTCAAACAAATCTCGGCTTGCACTCGCTGAATGGTGGCCGCATGTTCATATATCTTGCTTAGTAAATCATCAATACATGCCTCCATTTGCAAATGCGTTTTCAATTTCGAGGTCTCCAACAGTATGTTTGTATCTCTATTGCTTGTTGCTTGGAAAACCTTCCTATTTGTTCGTAGACTCAAGTGTTTTCTTTCTTGCTCCCTCTCTTGGCTTTTTTTTCTACACGACCCACTGTATACTGAACATCCGGGGTATCTCTGACAGTTGAGGGGTGCAACTTAAACTGTCGCGCAACCTCTAACGCACTGACTGACCCTTCGCCTACAACTTGCTTGACGAGAAGCTGTCAGATGTAGGTTGGAAATTGCTTGTATTTCCTCTTATTGGCTCTTTTGTCTATAGTCGATGAAACACAAGGCATAAGTGCAATTGAAAAATGGAATAGAATAGATAGCAGCCTTTATAATTAGGCTGAATGTAAAATGATACAATGATTACGATCATCATCAACGTAAGTATGCTATGTCATTGTCGTTGTCAGCTTTGATCTGATGTTTTTTTTTTGCCAAATTCAATAGACGCTTTTGCCAAATTCAAATATAGCTTTGCTTCGCTACTGGACATTGAAGGCGGAGCGTTCGTCAGATGTGCCTTTTTATATTTTCTTTCTGTCTCTTTTCACCACCAAATGAATCATCATAATAGCGCATACCAAGGTAATACCTAATGCTCGCAAGCAATGCTAAACAGCCAACTCAACAGCATGTGTTTGGTAGACTTCAAGAACTTGTGCTATCATCTGAATGCGTTTGAGCATCTACATATACCCTCACCCACATATCAAAAGCGCAGAGCAGCCGTAGCAGCTATTATAAGGTGTCATACTAGCTCGCCTCCAAGCATTGTTCGCGATCAAGTTTCAAATTTAGACGAGTTCTTTGAGCAGGACTGGGTCAAGCACGGGCAAGCGGAAATATTGTTTATGCAAAGAGCATCTCGAGAAAGCGACAGGTAGAGTGTGTTTGATGGGGTGCATTGTGCGGATACCTGACACAATTCATCAACAGATGGTCTGGGCATGTCTCTTTTGTGGGTGGTAAAAATGAGCCTGGAGAAACAGACGAGGATACAGTGAAAAGAGAGGTTCTAGAAGAGATTGGCATCGATTTAAACCAAGGGTACCTCAAGGTTGGACAATTAGATGAGCGTGAGATCACATCTGTTAAGGATAACAAGCTGTTGATGATGTTGTCCCCCTTTGGTAAGATTGGATATGTGTGTTTATGCAAGAACAAGTGTTGACACATGCTGTGGGATAGTTTATTTGCAAGTTGTGCCTGAGTCCCCACCATTTCAACTTCAAACAGATGAAGTTGCAGCTGTTGAATGTTTGTACATTATGTGATTCTACAGTGTAACACCATTTATGACTAATACACACACGCAATGTTGTTGATAGGGGTTCCACTATCATTTTTCACATCAAACCAGCCATATGCAAACCATGCCATCACTGAGCATTTGACGTTAGTTCGAGTCAAGAATAGATTTGTGAATCGATGCATGCGGTTTTTGATGGGATCAGTTACATTCCCAGCCGTCCACCTTCCTACAACGGCAGTGAATTCGCAAACCACTTTCAAGCTATGGGGTTTAACACTCGGTATGACAAGCGACATTATTGAATTTACCCAAAAGAATCGCTTGGCGTTTCTGAAACTGACAAAGAGTAAGCCTATCTACTCGAGAAAAGACATTGGCATGTTGGTAGCTTTAATCACTCAATTACGGTATTTTATTCGATATGGTAAATTGGAACTCTATCCCAATTCAACTGCCATGAGGTATTGTATGGTTATTAACGAGGAAAAGGTAATGGTCTGACGTGGATATTTTTTTTTTTTTTTTTTTTAGAGCCAAAGCAAGGTGGGACAAGGTATATTGGTCATCTATACGCCTTGCTATTCTAGTTGCAATCCTCTTGAGATTAGGTTTTACAAGCTTATTTATTAGATTTTTGATCAATAAAGTAAATTGAGATAAAAACACAAGGTGGTATTACAAGTGGATTCGTAATTAAGCTGTAGGAGGCGCATATTAGGTTGTATTAAGTGAAGTAGTAATAGTAGTAATAGTAGTAGTAGTAGTAATAGTAGTAGTAATAGTGTAGTAAATTATTAAGTAATTAGTGCGTGTATGTGTGTGTATACAAAGTGTGAGATAGAAATGCAGGAAATCCAAGTAAATTTACAAAGGAAAGGAATGCTAAAAGTGGCAAGATAGTGTATATATAGTCTCATGTGATGCAAGGTAGCATCTAAGCTTTGCTAAAGTGCATTTGAGGACTACCCAAAGACGAATGAGGTGTGATAGGTGAAGCTGGTTCTGAGGTAGATGACCAGTAGCCGGAGGATGGTGACAAGGCAGGTGATTGTTCAGGGCTTTCCATGCGTTTTTCATTCATGTTGCTCAATCTCAAGGGTTCAGGTCTATGCTGTTTGATGACTAGTTTCATGGCAGATTCTTCGTCGTCATGGTTACTGGATTGGATCGAGTCGTATTCACTGCAATTGTCATGCTCGATGCTGTAAATAAAAGTTCGAATGCTGGATTTAGTTACGCTCATGTAAGCCAAACGATTGCGGTAGTCTTGATTCATCTTGGGCAGGAAGTTTTGTGCGACTACAAAGGCCAAGATGGCATAGATAGAGCCACCAACAAGATCAATCATGTAATGGTGAGTGAGGTACATTGTAGCGAACCACATCCACATAACATAGATGGCAGCCACTGGCTTCAAACGAGGAAACAAGTAAGCAACAAACAGCATCTCCAATGTGGCACAACCAGAATGAAGGGAAGGAAAGGCGCCAAATACGAGAGGGGAAGTACCAAATGTTGAGCCGTATAAATCCAAACCTAGAATATCATCGATACGAAGCAATCCGCCAGCCTCGCCTGGGATGGAATAGTCGGCAGGAGCAGAGCCGTAAATGATTTCATACCCTGATCATTTACAAAAATTGGTTAGTTTACTCTTGTCTATTGCACCCCCTTTCTTTTTTTTTTTTTTGAGTATTTGTATTTTAACTTACATGGTGATGCATTTGGAAAGAGCAACTGGGTCAAGACACCCGCTAAATTCATGTAGCCAAATGCTTTGCCAAACACCTTCAATGAGCCGGGAGGACCATAGATGAACAACAAAATGGAGAGGATGAACGGGAAAGAGAAATGAACAATGCCATATGGAATCCAGGCTAAAATATCAAGGACAGGATGGGTGTGTTTCGAGATAATTTCAGATAGGTTAGCACCATAAAGAATTCTTTCGAGTGTAGGTAGGAGGTTGACAAAGATGTGGGTGGGTCGATACTCAATAGGGATGAACTGGCAAGCATAGAATGTGATTAACCAGGTGAAAATAGGTAAGGCAGGCACTGTGAACCGTTTGATATAAGGAATCCAGAATGAAGCAATCAACGCTGCGGCCAACAAAAGTCGAGGTATCAGTGCCGGTGATTGGATCAAAATAAAGTCGATAAGCATGATTGTTGCAATCAATACGTATTGGAGGTCGAACAAAGACCATTGCTTTGATGTCATTGATGATGGCAACCTGTTGAGAATTCGGTTTTTTGCTAATAACATCATTGTGCAATTTTGTGATTAGGGTATAAGTATAAGTCAAGCAGGAAAGATAGAGAAGAGAGAAGAAAAAGAGTAGAAATCTTAACAAAATAAGGTATTTATATATATATATATATATATATACACCCTTCTCTTATTGTGTGACAGTAGAATATAGATGTACGACCACAGCAACATCTCCTCTTCAGTTTAACCGTGTATACATCTTCCTCGCTAGCAGACCAAATTCAGACAACACTTTGGCAGCTTTGCAGAATGACATTGGCCTTCACGAATGATCCATCACAACATGTTGCTAGACATGAGTGTCAACGCTCTGATTTCATAATGATAAAATGAGCAATTCGTAATATCATGAGAAATCCCATAAATCATGATCCAAGTAAAAGCAGAAAATTTTAACCGAGTACACCCGGTTATATAGTATGGCCTTTTATCAGAACGTCACCCACGGAAACCCAAGAAAATTTTTACTGTTGTACACAAATATTGACCCGTTATCCGAAAAAAAAAAAAAAAAAAAAAAAAAAAAATAGGTAATATGTGTTCTGATTATGAGGGAGCGAGTGTATAGCCATCAATGACGATGTTGATTGACGATTGATTCATGACAAAGAGGATGTGATATGACGTACACAATGCCATTGTTGCTATCGATGCAATGAACCTTTTGAAATGTCTGGTTTGAGACTCATTATTACATCTCTCTTCTCCTCTTTATCCTTCTACTCCTCTCTGGTAAATTTTAAACAGCAAGTCAATCATTCAGCAACCCAAGCATTTCTTTGGTTTTTCATGACAATTTGTCACACCACACGTGCCTTTTACCTTGTTGAGACATATGTAAACTACTCGTTCAAATGTTGTTTAAATCCTTGATCAAGTGGTTGTACATTGATCAAATGTGTCTGACTCTCCGTGTTGTCCAGTGGGATTTGGCCGCTTGGAGTACCGAATCCAACTTTTAGATGTAGACATGATACCAAGTGCCATCGTGCCATGGAAGAAACCACAGATTTCTGTATCACACGACCTTCTTTTTATGTCTGCTTTTGTTAACGGCCAAACAAAAGGACCGATCTATTGGTTTTTACAAAAAAAGTAGTTGCATGCGGTTTTGTCGTGTATGGTTTCTCCCTCGTCGCATGTCATGTCATGTACAGAATTATCCCTTGTTTGTTTGTTTGTCTGCAATTCAAAGAACCCATTTTTTTTTTTACTTGTTTGAAACATTTGAACATGATAAACTCTAAATTACAATGTGTCATCCCGTCGCTTCATAATTTCGCCGTACGCCGCTTAATACATCAAAATCAATTACAAATGACATTTACGTGTAAATATCTTGAGATATAAATACATGAGGTAAAAGAAGATGATGCAAAGATGAGAGGAAAAGTTTATTATGGACATCAACAAAGACACATGCCGTATACACTTTTTTTTTTTTTTTTTTTTTTTTTTTTTTTTTTTTTTTTTTTTTTTTTTCCAAGACTAAAATGTGCTGCATTCTCTTACTTGTGATCCTCAACCATGAGCATAGCACTAGGAATAGGCTGTCCCTCCAATTTAAACTCCCATCCAACTTTGGTTTCGTAGGCAGTTCCGTATTGATTAGATCCACCTTCAGCATAAACCCACTCAAAAGGAGCAGAAGCTGTTTGAACAACCAGCCAATACATCTTGGACTTTGCCAATACAATAGTAGTATCAGGTGTCCACTCCAGCACGCCAAATGGGTCTTGTTCATCCACGTCTTGAGTTTGAACAGAGACCGATTTGACACATTTAGACAGATCAGGTACCTGAGGACTGTTGGGTCCGAATCTCAGACGCTTGCTGGAACAGATAGAGAGTGTTGCATTCACGAAATTAGTGTTTTCGCCAATGACTGGCAGCTGAACACTGACAAGATGGACGTGTCGATTGGGAAAGAGACGATCCCACCAGCTCTCATCATTCGATTTCATGTGTTTCATATCAATCTGTTTGTTGCTGTTGCTTGGATTGGGCGAAAATGCAGTTGCTGCGGCTCTTCCATTTTCGATGACTAAACCAGAGATATCTTGTGTGGGTGGAAATCCTGTGTGCAATACTATGTGTGATTTCTTTTCGTTGTCGAACGTTGTTGTAGCAGTCAACAAAATGTCTTCCTTGTCCTGATTGACACAATAAAATGACTGGACACAACAAGTGATCAGGATGATGGAAAGGATAAAGCGGCGAACCCACATCCATCTGTGTTGATGCTGTACAACAACATCTTCTTCAAGGTAGATTTGTTCCTCAATACTACGTTTCTCGTCAAGTTTCATCAAGTGTGGTGAATAGTTTGGATGAAAGAAAGAGGGAAGAGTGAGAAAAAAAAAAGGGGGGAAGAGAGTTTATTTGAATCTGGGAAAAGTAGCCTAGCTGATAAAAGGAGAAGACATGCATTCTTCGTTTCAAAATCAATCATGCGCACACCCAACTGCATACACACACGCCAAGCTTCTTGTTGTCACTGCCTCTGACCTCACATTTCTTCCTGATTAGGGTGCTAAATTCTATACATTTATCATTTTCTGCGATAATAACACCAATGGATGCTCTTTCAAACGGCCCATGTTGGTCGCGTTCTATAAATACACTGTCGGTTCCTGTGATCAAATTAGAAAAACACCAAGGAATGCTTGTATCTTGGATACACATACACATCTCATGTAGGTACATTTATTGGATCAGGTACCACCACACATATACAACCGACTTGTAATGGTCATTTTGATCCAAGAAAAACATATGATTCGTGCGAATGTATGTCAGATCAAATAAAGATCCGTTCATTCCAAGCTACTTTCTGATTACGCCCATTAACAGTAGCCTCGTGTGTATACTGACCGTCTGCCCCTGTCAACGAATCTCACTTTATAGCTCTAGCATTTGCTATATATGATACTGGATTACAAGAAATCTTTAATACCGTAAGTTAGTGGTGAACACCATAGTTTGATAGAATCAATCCAGTAGGGCTCACACTCGAAACACCAAATGCAATTTGAATACAGTGGCATTCCTATCGCCGTATTCAAATTCGTAATTTGCATGGATCGAATATCCCAGATAGAATGCTTCAAAATAAGCCTGAAACAGTAGTAAACCTATACTAAACGTCTTTTCCAACTAGTAATCCCGTTTTTAGTAGCTTCTTCACAATATCGATTGCCCACGTTAAGAGGGCCATTGCTGATTTTGCCAGCCAAAATTATTTCATTTGCCGCTCATTGTATCCTTCCTTGTTTTGTTAATTTTTGATCCAATTTCGACTTGCTCAAAGTACTTTGTCAGATTCGACTATATACACTGTAAAGATTATCACGTATCGCCTTGAGCTTTCTTAAAGTACTTTTGCAAGGCGCTTCCAATGGTACCAAGTAAAATAGGTGTTTTAAACAACCTTATTGAGCATTACTAGAAAATACGAAATGAGGTTTTTGGCAAAACTATCGAGATTCTCCATATAAAGGTGTCACAAACAAAGTCTCTGTTGTATTCAAAGATACAGTATTAACAAATTAAGATAGATTTCAAAAAAGGAAGACTATAAAAAGTAACCAGATACGAAAACTTCAAGATTTATTAACTGATTCAAACACATCCTATTTATAAGAGATCATTACTGATGAATCATCAATCTATCTTGTTGTTTCAACTGAGTCAATACATCGTATCATGTTTATCTAATATCAGTCAATTGAAGGATCCGATTCGTTCGATCAGCCATGATGATACAATCTGTAGCCATCATTATCCTTCACTATCAGAGACCATCATAATCGATTATATGATTCACTTCTGTGTCGAACCTAATGTCCTAATGTAGACAGTGAGAAACAATGTAAATCATGATCCGACTCTTGCTGAGTTACTGAATGTCCGCAACCGCTACAGACTCAACAGTCTCAGTGGTTGCTTTGGATCAAGAGAAACATTTTGAGTTAGTATATGCCTTTGTAAAAGTCTTCATTTTCAAGGTGAAAAACGCGATCGTTTGATTTTTGGTGAAAAGTACGAGGTACCCCTCATGGTTTTTGGTCGATTTTTGACGATCCCAAAAAAAAATTGAGCAAACGTGTCAGAAAGTTACTGCTGGATGAGAGCAACTTTTGGTGCTATTTTGGCTGTCTGAAACGGCTTCTAACGCGAGAAATCATGACTCAAATGCACCCAAGTTATGCTGTGTTTTACATACTTTTGAGAGATAGGCGGTAATGCGACTGTGCTGTAGATCTCTGTGTGAGTTATTTCCATTGAAGCAGACGTGGAGCATCTTAGAAGAGTTGAATTACAGTTGCACGTTGTTTATGAAGAGTTTTTATGCGCGAAATTTCAGTATACATTAGTAGGGTTTGATGGCAATCATGCGCTGACTAGAATCAATCTTACAACTCGCACCCCCTAGAGAAACACACTTCAGTTATGTGATCTATAGCCAAGAGTAAAGCAAGAAATAGCGAGAGATGAGTAATGGGATGAAAAACCTGGGTTTATTTTACACGATGACGAATTACGAAATGACTATCAGGTATAAAATCTGTATGCTCATCTTAAGTAGACCTTTACAACTTGTACTTATACTTGAGGCTTAAAAAAGGCGCACAGTTCAGAGAGAAATAACCTTGAAAATGCTACCAAAAAAAGTCAGAGAAGCTAAATACATCATATAATACAAGAACATAATAAAGCATCTAATTCAATATTTGATAGTATTGATTTATAAGGGTGTTTTACCGTAGCGTAGCAAAAACGCAAAGCCATGGCAATCAGGCACCTAATCCAATACTTGGTAGCATTGATCTATATGAGGCTTGATCGCAGCGAAGCGAAGGTGCAAAACGATAGTATTCAAGCAGCAAATTCGGATTTTCATTTCCATTGCTAATAAGCTTACCAGCAACTAAATGCATCAAAATTTGCGTGAATCAGCTTTACCAAAATCAATATGTCTTGTATTCAAATTGGAAATTGCTCAGGCTGCAGATCTACCCTTCCAGTAAGCTGCAGCTACCGAAAATGTGATTTATCCCGTGTAAATAAACTCTATAAAGCAATACATAACCAAATTTGACAGCTTTCAAGCCTTCATATCTTGACCTGGAGCCACCGGAATGACATCAAACAATTGTACTTGAGTAATAGTAACTTTCTGGCACATTTGCTCAACTTTTTGGGGACCCAAAAAACATGGCCAAAAATCGACCAAAAAGCATGAGGTACCCCCTCATGGTTTTCATCGAAATTTATATTTACTGGTAAATAAGCAACAACCATACAAAAAAAAAAATTTTTTTTTCATCGAAATTCAAACGATCGCATTTTTCACCTTGAAAATGAAGACTTTTACTATGGTATGTATTAAATCAAAATGTTTCTCTCGATCCAAAGCAACTTCTAAAACCACTTTTATGAGGTCTTTATATGCAAAATTTCGACATTTTGGACAAAAACCTTGTTTTATATCTTCTAAAATTGCTTATTAAGTTCAGTCAAAACATCCGTTTTATTTGGCATCATTGGAAGCGCCTTGGACAGTATTCCAAAAGTGTATTAAGAAGCATCGGACGATTATCACAGTTTATATAGTCGAACATCATAAAATAGATTTTTTTTTTAAAAAAAAATTTGTTTATTGATTGAGCCGCGCGTACACCAAGAGTAGGAGGTCATGGTGAAGAGGCGGGTGCAATTTAGATATGAACACACGGATAAAATATAAGATAAAATATACTAAAAAAAAAATAAGATAAAATAATAAATAAACTACCTATTAGATAGTTTATGTTACAGTTGGGAATGGCACTGATCTTCTGCAATGGTCTGGTGGACAATGCTCCGGATCCGGCTCAAGATAGCTGTATGATCAATAGAAACATGATCAAATATAAATCGCATGTGGGCAAGCCACAATTCAGCAAGAGTGATGAATAAGATGCGGTATGGCTTGATGCCTTCACGCTGGCAATACCAGATGTCAGCAAAATCAAGATACCGCAGAGCTTGTTGGATGTCGGCGATCGAGGTGGTTGGCCAAAGAAATTCAAATATGACTCCCCTGCCACACTTTCTCTTTAGATGGGCAAAGAAAGAGGAGGTGGCTCGAGGAATCTTCGACAGACAAACACACGGGACAGAGAGGAGACTCAAACAATGCAGGCATGATGCGATGGAGAAAGCGACGGTGGGGAATACATCCCAAAATGAGGCGGTATATCACATTACGTTGGACAGTGGTAAGCGACAGGGACCAAAGGAATTTCCAGCTTGCTGCCGAGATGTACCGCAAGGTCAACGAGGGGAAGACAGACGAGAGAACGGCTAGCCGAAATGTTTTGGCCAAAGCCGGAACATTTGCGATAGATCGACCATCGTGGAGACGCAATTGCTCAATCAACGGCGTGAATGAGACAGAAGAGTCCTCTAATGGAGTTGGACTATAAAATAGATTAAAAGAGTCGAAAAAAGACGATATCTGCCCAATCTTGAACACTGAGATTCAATTAATTTTGGCGGCGGTGGCGCTGCTGCTGGCTGATCCAAATGCCTTTCTGATGATAACAATGATGATTGTGATGCTGATTAAATGGGGACAATAGGGCCTGAAAGGACCCAAATGCTCAGTGGGATCAGTAGACTCAACCCTATCATTCAATAGTCCAGAGCAAATTAGAGACAGAATAAAAAAAAAAGGGAACTTGAGCATTTTATTAAGCTACTATTACTGACGCTCTGATTTTATTAGTTGAATATAGGGCAACGCCATAAATCGTCTAAATCTTCTTGATCTAATGGCTCTTGCTTTGCGGCAAACAGTGCATCTCTCACATAGATAGGGTCACGCATACCAGTAAACACAGTTCCAACCTCCTTATGAGACAACAAGACTCTCAAAGCCTTGATACTCAGAGGTGAATAAGCATCTTCCAAAGAGTGATTGAGCGAGGGACACAAAGCACTCAAAATGCGATCCAAATCATTATTCTTTCGTAGGGTATCAATGTAGGCGTAGTCGACTATGTCCTTTGCCAAAACATCCACAGCCTAAACATATTCAAGATGGGTCAGTCCACTTTTTCCAAGATGGAAGAAAGAAAGCAGTAATTACCTCTTTATAGTTCTGAATCCAATCTTGATAAGCCGCTAAATCTTCGTCTGATCCCAATTGATTAGCATAATTGTGGAGTTCTATCAAGTCTTTTTCGAGTTCAGGTAAAACCTGCAGTGTCAAATAATGGCGCGTTGCAAAGTGGTTCTGTGCCAATCTAGCAAGGTTCTCGGATAGAACTTGTCCCCAAACAAATTTAGATGTCAATGATTCTTCCTCGACCGGCACTAATGGATACTTTTTAGTATTTTGCATACAACACCATCTACATACTGAGCATCTTACATTCTGACATGACGTCTGATTCTAGTTTAGCGACGTGTTCGAATGATGATTGCATTTTGGCCATGATTTCATGCTCGGCTAAAAATTGAGTTTGTTTCATATGGTATAATCAGATTCATATTGCTCTATATAATCTTTTTTTTTTTTTTTTTTTTTTTTGCACATCATGCTTACCTGGTCCTTTTCCATTGGCTCCCAATTCATGATTCACCAACACTCGAATCTGTCCATTTGCAATGGCATTCAATGGTCGATTAGTCATGAGGTAAATGTCGTGTTCCTTTGCTATTTGAGCGACAGTCTTCATCTTGTCGTTATCAGATGGAACAGTTGCTTCTTTCTCGTATAGATTGAAGGGCACCTCTGCAGCTACAAAATTGGCAGGATTCGAACATGATTTGATGACTTCAGGCAATGATACGTGGTCCACAGCAGAAGGAAATGCCATTGTGTTTGAGCATACACCATAACCACCAATCTTACCTAATGATCCCACCCTTTCAATTTTAGTCTGGTTTGTTACATAGTGATGCATTGCACAACCATACCATTTGCTACAAGACCATCGAGATAACGAAAACTTTCAGATAAATCCTTGTACAACTGAGCAGATGTGTATCTTCTCTTCTTGGACATGAGCATTCGTTCTGGCGAATTGATCATGAAGATATCCAGTTTATCCGTCTTCAATCTCTGCATAGATGTCTGGATTTGCTGTTCAATGACTCGAGGACTGACTGAATGGTACATTTTCTCGCTCAACTGGATATAATCCTGCTTGGGGTCGAAGTCTGCAATGTCTGATGCTCCCAGGTAACCAGATTTAGTGACAAGAGTGATGGAATCCCTTGATAATTTCCCCTCTTTTTCCATTGATTCCAAGGTATTACCAATTAAACTTTCAGAAGCACCTTATTTTTTTCATTATTTTCACATTACACTTTTTATTGTTTGTTTACATTATATTGCTATATACCATTTTCAAAATTATTTCCAGTATCGATAATATTCACACCACCTTCCAATGCAGCGATCAATGCTTTAGTATGGCTCGGCTTTGATACGCGATAGCTTCCAAATCCAAGCTTCGACACGAGTTTTCCTGTCTTTGGGATGATTTGATTCATTTGAAAGACGAATAAAAATGATAATTTAAAGCAAACATGAACACAACGAGCCCCGTATTGGCACTATTCAAGGGGAGTTGATGACTGTCTATAATGTGGCGTGTATAGAATCAAACAATCTAGCGTCGTTTCAAAAAAAAATCTCACTGTACAGAGCAGATTTTATCAGTTGGCGGGAAAACAATACCAATCCATTATCTCTGTAGAAATCAATCAGTTTGTATTACTTGCAACATTTCATTTTTAAACCTGAGAGATCTTTGGCGATAATAAGCTATTCTGCCCAAACACTGTTTGAGTATGTATCGAGCAGTAGGATTCCTTCTTATCCACACTTTGCAGGGGATTGCACCAATCTTAAATGTGCTAATTAAACCTAATTGAATGATTTTTGCCATGCAACCAAAAATTTTCATGAAATCATTCATGAAAGAGTTTCATTTCGGAGCTCTGATCTTGCCAGATAGTATCATAGGATTGGCTCAGTGTAATTCTGGGATGATCCAAAATGATCGTTATCACTGATTTCTAGACACGCGACTCAATGTTCACTACTCTGTTGACCTGTTTATGATTTATTTGTATGAGATGTTAACAGCACGATCGAGAAGCAAGATCTTTTTGCAACATTCACACGCCTAGCATTTGGCGTAAAAAGAAAAAAAAAGTGTCGCTAGAAGCCAAATAGGAGCGATTGTCGAGTAATTTGTTATAGAACTAACTCTCGCGGAGTATTGACATAGATTGATGCAAAGATGGTTTTTTCCCATTCATGGCATGGGTCTTACCTTTCTAAATAAGTGTGTCTTTGGTGACTGCCGCGTGCTTGATTGTATCAAGAAAAATGTATATATAAATGCTACATTTTCAATGCTGCTTTATCTTGTTTTCTTCTTCTTTTCCTCAATTCATTTTTTTTAATATGTCTACTGTTTCCAAGGTCTTTGCTCGTCAAATTTTCGACTCCCGTGGTAACCCCACTGTTGAGGTTGAGGTCACTACCCCTAAGGGTGTCTTCCGTGCTGCTGTCCCCTCCGGTGCTTCCACTGGTATTCACGAAGCTGTTGAGCTCCGTGATGGTGACAAGTCTGCCTACATGGGAAAGGGTAAGTTGCAACATTTGAGTTACGCGTTTTGCAAAAGTACATTGCATACTAAACTTTAATTTTCAATTTCAGGTGTCCTCAAGGCTGTTGCCAATGTTAACGATGTCATTGGCCCTAAGCTCATTGATGCCAAGATCCCCGTTACCGAACAAAAGACTATTGATGAGTTTCTCATCAAGCTCGATGGTACCCCCAACAAGGGTAAGCTCGGTGCTAACGCCATCCTCGGTGTCTCTCTCGCTGTTGCCAAGGCTGCTGCTGGTGATAAGGGTGTCCCTCTCTACGTTCACTTTGCTGATCTCTCTGGTTCCAAGAAGCCTTTCGTTCTCCCCGTTCCTGCTTTCAACGTTATTAACGGTGGTTCTCATGCCGGTAACAAGCTCGCCATGCAAGAATTCATGATTCTCCCCACTGGTGCCAAGTCCTTCAAGGAAGCTATGAAGATTGGTTCCGAAGTCTACCACAACCTCCAATCTGTCATCAAGGCCAAGTACGGTCTCGATGCTACCAACGTTGGTGATGAAGGTGGTTTCGCCCCCAACATTCAAAAGAACGAAGAAGGTCTTGAACTTTTGGTCCAAGCTATTGAAAAGGCTGGTTATACTGGTAAGGTCAAGATTGGTATGGATTGTGCCGCCTCCGAATTCTACAAGGATGGCAAGTACGATCTTGATTTCAAGAACCCTGACTCTGACAAGTCCAAGTGGATCGACGGTAAGGAGCTCACTGCTCTCTACAACTCTTTCGCCGAAAAGTATCCTAGTAAGTATCTCAGACATTTATCAGATATGGAAGATGATAAAAGAAAATCGTATGTTTCGTTTCACGTCTCATAATTTTTTTTTTCTGATTCATATCTGTATGAAACCTTGTATATGACCTTGTTTACTTACGTGTCGTTTTTTCTTATAGTTGTTTCCATTGAAGATGCTTTCGATCAAGATGATTGGGCTGCTTGGGCTCACTTGAACGCCGAATCTGAATTCCAACTTGTTGGTGATGATCTTTTGGTTACTAACCCCAAGCGTATTGTCACTGCCATTGAGAAGAAGGCCTGTAACGCTCTCTTGTTGAAGGTCAACCAAATTGGTACCGTTACCGAATCTATTCAAGCTGCTCTTGACTCTCAAGCTGCCGGTTGGGGTGTCATGGTCTCTCACCGTTCCGGTGAAACTGAGGATACCACCATTGCTGATCTCGTTGTCGGTCTCCGTACTGGTCAAATCAAGACTGGTGCTCCTTGCCGTTCCGAGCGTCTTGCCAAGTATAACCAACTTCTTCGTATTGAAGAAGAACTCGGTGAGGGTAACTCCATCTACGCTGGTGAGAACTTCCGTACCGCTCATCTTTTGTAAATAATTTAAACAAAGTTTAAGCCATAAAAAAATCAATTCCATCGCATTCATCTATACTAGAAAATAGCATATTTTTTCAAAACCGAATTCTAATAAAATTAAAATATCGTGTTGTTTAAAGTCAATGTAAAAATCAAAGACATGTCTCTTATTAGTTTTCTTTGGAAGTGTTGATATTTATCCATTTCTGGAATTACATCTATAATACACGAGGTAGATTTAACGAAACATACTGCAAATCTCTACATGTATTTAATATGTTGCAGTGTGCTCTAGTTCCATCTATCTTCTTTTAGTAAGCCTCATATATATATAACATGGCCGGATAAAAGTAGAAAAATACACTTATTAGGCATATAATACGGTATCCAATCAAATGATGTCCCTGAGCGGAGTAGATATGTCAAAATGTTCCTAATTCGGAAATTGAGTGTAGAGCGAAAAGGATTGACTTCAGCAGGTTGTATCAGCATTGAAAGAGAGAAACACAAGGGTTATATGTAGTTTCTGATAAAACAGCATGCCATTAAGAAAATTTAAATAGAAAAGTGTTAAAACAAGAGGAAAATGCTACAAAGAAATAGTTGGTTGTTAGCGAGAGTACAAAAACCACAGTACAGCAATTTACATAAAAAAAAAGGCTCTAGCATTGTAAGTATACGTGAGAGTGAAATTCCAATTTGAGACCTTGTTGTGCCAATTGAAATTGTATATAAAGAGTGTTTTTATAGACATAATTTGGGCTCATCTGATAGACAACTTATATTGCGTCTACAATTTATATAAGAGCCTACACGGCAGATAATTAATACCTTCCACGGCGTGGGAAGCGAACAAAGCATTCCAAAAGGGATAGCAATGCGATTTTGACAGGCAACTCGCAGTTTTTATGCAAATTTTTTTTATGTTAGTTAGCTATAGCAGCTTTTGCTTTTTAAGATGAGATTTTTGGCTTATTTAGATTGCAGTTTTATTAAGAAATCCTTAATACACACTTCCAGCGTCAGGAAATATGAGTTGTAGAAGATGTAGCCAAATAAAGACTTACATCATGCATTGACGTTTCAGTGAATTTTGAATCATTCAAAGTGATAAACACTTGGTCCATATACGGTCGATTTTGTATTATTCATTTATTATGTTTAGATGCGCGGAAGCCCTTTACTGCCCCCCCCAACTGTTGATTTGGAAGGTTAAACTAAGCTTGAGTGTCAACGGTTGACTCTGCTGAACAAAAAACCATACTCCTTTTATGAAATGTTTGCGACACATCAAGGGAAATGTAAATGGAAGACCTTTTTTATTGATTTGATATCATGTATGCTCACTTTAAGAGAGACTAGAGCTGGAATGTGACATTGATGACACTCGCTGCATATGTAGCATAATGCCAACAATCCCCAGTAGCAATTGCTCCGAGAAATTCCACTCATTATGACTATAAATATCAAAGCCGATAGTAACAAAACCTCAAACCAAACGTCCCTGAGCATAAACTACATGGTTTGTTCTTATCAGGCATCCCTTCATGTTGAATATGTATTTGTAGTGGATTAACAAGTATTTGGGTGCTTTCAAACCGTGTCGATCGGAGGAGACTAGTCAACTGATGTCGCCTGTTTTGGTTTTAGAGTTGGTCGTGATCTTAGATCTAGTTTCATAACATGATCATGCAGTGCAAGTTTTATTTGGTACATCATTTGTGAAACAGGCACTGCTCAGTTTTCTACGATGGAAGTTTGGATAGCTTGTGAGTTTTAATGAAGAATTCTGAAAATATATAAATCGAACCACAGTGGCCCTCCCAAGATATGCCAAGATTAAACGAATCAATTGTTTCAGGTATAATTTTTAAGCAAGATCAAAGTTTTGGGACTGAAAGCAGTAATGAAAAGATGGCATTGGAGATTGTACAATATGTAATTAATATACAAGTAATGTTCCTTGATTGAGTTGCACAACATTTAAGAGTATATGTTTTGCATTCTACATGCCAACACAGTACGAGAATGAGTAACCGAGCCATGTCCGCATTTGAATGGTATTTGCAAGCTTGATTCCGAGGAATTATGGTCATTGGATATTATTAGACTTTGAGTTGGCGCGAACAGCGTCCATGATAAGAAGCGCAGCAGTATCTCCTTGACAATCAGACCTGTCTCTTTGACAATTTCAAGGCAACCGATGCTGGGATAGGAGCCTATTGCAAGTCCAATCTGTTGTACATCGACCGCTTTGGTCTTGGCAGATGCAATGCGTCATTTCAATCACTGCAGCACTTGCTTCTTGAACAGCTCGTTTGAAATTTCTTACTCTATCGTATGCGATGCAATGACAATGAACATTTTAGTTTCATAATTTCTGTTAAAGCAAAAAGGGTACCGAGTAAATACCATGGGTGTAAAAAAAAAAAAAAAACCGAAAGCTTAAAAGCATCATTTATCAATTTGTGATACAAATTAATTTGATTCTAATCAATCCAATGCAGGTGCAGTGTAGTAGATTGCAATCGGTTGATGGTGTTGAGAGAATTTCGGAGTCACATTGGATTGCTACAAGCAATTGTATCCATTAAATGAATTGGATACAATCGTCTGAATCTTCTGCTCTTCTTTTTCTTTCCTTTTTCTCTCCCATTACACTCTGCTTTTATTATCAGAAGGAAAACCTTGGCCAGAAGAAATCACTTTATCGTCCAATTCAGCAGCCTGTAATCTCAACATTGCAGTATCATCCACTCTCTCTCGCTTTACCCAGAATAGATCACCATGAGCTCGAAACCAAATGCTGTTGGAGCACCAGCTTCCAAAAAGATTCGAATGACAATGGCTTGTGAACGTTGCAGGTGAGGTTGAATAACGGGCTTCTCGAGATGAAAGCTAATCCATCTGTTGTCATTATCACAATTTGCTCGCTATCAAAGATCAAAGAAAGGTAAGCCTGACCTCATGAATGAAGTCAGGATATACTTTTTTTTTCTCACGCACACACTCTCCTCGATTAGTTAAATGTGATTTTGCTCATCCCCGATGCGCAAGATGTCAAGCTGCCAAAGGTAAACCATGTCTTGATAGAAATGATATTGCAATGGGTACTCAACGTATACTCTCAGCCGAATGCTCTTACGACGGAAGTGCAACTCAAGTCGATTTATTCAACCTTGTCAAACTGAACGAAACTGTGGATATTTTGCAGAAGAGAGTGCAATCGATAGAGACTGACATCAAGGACGTTTGCAGCAATACACAATATGTAGCAAATGAAGTTCGAATGACTCGGGCGGCTGGTGGGAACCAATTTTCAGAGAAGAATAGCGACATTGATCCAAACGAGCACCAACAGCAACAGCAGCAACAGCAGCAACAGCAGCAACAGCAGCAACAGCAGCAGCAACAGCAGAGAAAAGAATACGCTGCTAGTTCTTCAAACAGCATCGCACGAAGCCCTCGCATGAACAACATGAACAACCTGCTGGCTACATCAAATACACAATGGTCACTTTCACTCACTCCAAAAGGACTTCGCATTGATACCAACATTGTGTCATTACATGATTTATACGACATTTTACTATCCGGAGTGTCTCAATTCGATTTGACTGGTGGATCGTGTATGCATGAGACAACCAACACCATTGATTCAGCATCTCAATCGTCAGGCTCAAGTTCTTATGCTCCGGAGAGTCCGCGCCCTGAAGCCGCTACTGTGTTGAGAAAGAAATCTTTGTGGAAGACTCGCCTCAAGACGTTTCCATTGTACAGTAGTTGGGAACCTCAAGGAAAAAGCAATGACAGTAATAGCCAAATTGAAGATTTGTCAAACTCGGGTCATACGAGAAGCAGTAGCGCAGTATCATCCACTTCAACTCTATCTTCGTCGCTCTCTGAATCCATACCAAAAGAGACATTGCACCGCATGGTATCCATATTCTGTAAATGCTTTTTGTGTCTGCCTTGCCCTGAACCAAATAGGTCCATTCTTGCCAGATTTGAAAATGGAACACTTGATCCACTACTGGCCAATGCGGTGCTTGCATGGACAGCTCGACACACAGCGATCTATCACAACCTATTTCCCGGAAAGGATCCCAATCAAGTAGGACAAAATTTCTTTACAAAGGCGAAATCACTTGTCAAGGATCGATTCATGAAGACGAGCATAGACACCATGCACAGCCTATTGATCATGTACATTTATGCGATTGGTATTCCCAGTGAGCACAAGGCTGAGGTTGAATCAGAAGCATACATCTACTTGGGTTTGGCGATACGCATGTGCCTGGATCTCAAGATGAACTCAGAATCCAGTAGCCCTGATCCATACGACAAGGAGAGGAATCGACGCTTCTTTTGGGTGCTTTATTTCCTGGAGACATTGGGATCCATCCATTCGGATAAACCATTTTCTCTGCCACCCAGAAATATGGTGACAGTTCAATTCCCCACGCTAATGGAGCATGAAAAGCAAGGAGAAGCAAGATACAGAGTGGAATTCATGATCCAGAGGTTCAAGATTACTCGCATCTATCGAAACATCATTTATCGAACAACGGTCGAAAAGCCATTGCTATCTCAAATATCAGCCATTGACAAGGAGCTTGAAGAGTGGAGAGCAGCACTGCCCTCTTACTTGAAGTACGAGGCGGGAGACATTCACAAACGACGCTGGAATTCGACTTCATTCAGAGAGCAAGCCTGCATCAAGTTGAACTTTGAATACAACTTCCAATTATGTCAATTGTATGGTTTGTTCTTTTCGAAACCTGGACCTGACGATGATGATGATAATGAACAACACCCACCCTCTACCATTGAAGTGCTGTCGAGAGAGATCTGCCTCAAAGCAGCACGTAACACTGTGGAATTACTCGAGTGCTGGGTTCAACTGAAGCAGCTGTGGTGTCACTTTTCACTGGAGAACCTGATGATGACTACCATGATCTATGGAAATATTTTGACGCAGCCCAATGATGGTGAACGGGAAATTGCAATAAAAAATTTGGCAAAAATAGCCAAGATTTTGTTGAATTCTCCTGTACGACATCACAAATATGTGCTCACACTTGTCAGCAAGATCAGTCTCATCTTTAAAGAAATTTTGCACACTGAATTGTTTATCGATGGTAAAGGTTTACCCAGCGAATCTGTATCAATGGTTGCCAATGACCCACAACAGCCACAAGACCAAGATGTACAAGTTCAGCCTCCTCCAGTCACCGCTACAGCACAATCCACAACACCACCACCTCAATCCACATTACAACCACATCAACAACAACAACAGCAGCAGCAGCCACTGTCACTGCCCTTCACATCACAGCCAGCAGTGACTCCAATGGCACCAGCATCATCTATCCTGTCACCTCTAACACAGGGGCAACATACCAAAACTAGCTCCATGCCAATCAGCACACCTCAAAGCAGTATTCAGCCTATTTCATTGACAAATCCATTCACTCAAAGAAACCCACTTTACAACGTGCTTGATGTTGCTTCTGCTTCGTCTGTATTTGACATTCACAAGACTGACACATTCTCAGAGGATATGCATTTCTCTGATTTTGTCTACACACCCACAATACTTGACTATTCGGCCGCTGTCAACAATGCAGGCATGTTGTCTAGTACTGTTGTATCATCTCCTAATGCTAGTGGAAGGCCGGATTTCAGTCAACAGCAACAAAGCAAGAAACCAGACTACACGGCAACGATGGAGGATAACTTCCAGCAACAACAGCACTATGCATCGCCATCTCAGCAGCAACAATACAACTTTGGGTTTAGTGGTAATACTGCGCCGGCAAGATCCAGCATGACAACGCCTTCTTCGTCCAACGTCAATACACCTAATCAAAAAAGCTCGCCATCACAACATAGCATGTCTCCACCTCCCTGGCTGCAGATTTCCTCTGCAAACACCAATGCTGCTCCATCTTCATCGCAGCCCATCTTGCTGAATCATCCATCAGATAATCCTCAACAACAACAGCAGCATTATATGCCCATGAATCCTGGTTTCAATACGAATGGACAGACATTCTCTGATTCTCAAGCTCCTCAACAACAGACAAATCAACCTCAATCATCCGCACCCAACCCAATGAAGAATTACTATGACAATGCACCACATTATAGTAATCCATACTACTAAACTCTCTTTCACTGTGTATATAATAAATCTCTCAATGTGTATTTTTATCAATTTCAAACCAGAGCTTGTGTATGCTAGTAATGCTAATTTCAATGTTGGCTTCCATGCTATCTCGATGAAAATACTCACAAAGCACAGCTTGCATGTTGATTCAACCAGGCTTAACTATACTCATTTTCTGCCTTGTGCGTTTGTAATCGCACCTGTGTTTTAAGCGGCCAGGAACCGAATCAATCACGTTAAAGTCTATCGTGCAATCTGATTTCTCTTGCATTCAATGAGCACAAGCGCCTGGAAACATTCCTGAACTATGCACGTATGAAAAAAGATACTATGTATCAAGTGATTTTCCATCTTGGGCTTATCTGTTCTCGTGCATACACACACTTTCGAAATATGGAAATATTGGTTTAATACGAAGAAACATCTTCTTTGTTAGAAAAGAATGAATATTTTGAGAGGTAATAAGAAGAATGAAAGAAATTGTCAAGTTGGATGCAGTATAGAAGGGAATAGGAAGGATAAGTATAATATAGAGTATTATATATATATGCAAAGTAATCATTGTATGAAGGAAGAATGTATCAATGGTTGGAGGAATGAGAGAGGAAAGGCCGTTTACAGTGAGATGGCCATGTTGTCACGGTTGATAATGCAAGAAGCATCTTTGTAGCCAAGCGAATCAATGATGTTGCTTTCTTTCGCAAGCATGATACGCATGATTTCAGCTGAAGAGTAATTCACGATACCCTTGGCAATGGTAATATTGTCTACGAGGCCTTGAGCATCCTTGTGTTGCACGACCAAATTCACAGCTTGATGCTCGACAAAAGTGCCCTCAACCTTGGAGATAGAATGAACAAAAAGATCATTGTCCAATTGACCATCATGGATAGCATCGGTGATATTGCTTTCAACGTAGACTGTGCCAGCTGTATGCAAGCCGTGTAAAATCCACCATTTACGGTCCATCAATGGCTGAGGTTTGGCGACAAAGCGAGTGTGGAGAGGGATTTTCTTGGAATCAGTGACCAGGGGATCAATGATGGGCATAATGTTTTCAGGTGTGGCGCCACGTGCAATAACAGTAGTGACACCAGCTGCAGTGGCTAAATCAGCAGCTACCAATTTGGTGATCATGCCACCTGTGCCGAGAGAGGAACCAGGTGCACTGACCTTGATTTGATCTTTCAGTTGCTCAATGTCATCACAAACAAGAACTGGGCGAGCGTCAGGGTTGCTTCTTGGGTTATCCGTGTAGAGACAGTCAACATCAGTCATGAGGAAGAGATAGTCAGCCTTGACCATACCAGCAGCAATGGCGGAGAGGGTATCATTGTCACCAAATTTGATTTCCTTGACTGAAATGGAATCATTTTCATTGATAATAGGAACAACGCCCATGTCCAAGAGCTCTTCTAAGCAGTTGACAGCATTTAAGTATTGGGAACGCTAAGGATTTGAGATGATAAAACGTTAGTTCTGTTTGATCCATTATGATTAATGCTGCTACTATTTACATCAGCTAAATCGTTGCGAGTCAACAAGATTTGAGCAACGGGTTGGTTGAATTGACCAAAGAGATCATCATACATGCTCATTAAACGACCTTGACCAACAGCAGCAATAGCCTGTAGAGCAGAGAAAGAGTTAGTATACTACGATAAAGGCAGAGAAACACACATTTGGAATTTGATGCTCACATGCTTTACCTGAATGGAGGCCAGTTTCTTTGGTTTTTCTGACAAGTTGAGTCTTCTTAGGCCCGTACCAACAGCAGCAGAGGTTACAAGAACAACACGATGACCCAATCGCTTGAGTTGAATGATGGTTTCAACGATTCTCGAGAGATTTCCCAACAATGGATAATGTGAAACTTCATCACAGATGGACGATGTGCCCACCTTGATAACCAAAGTTAATGAGGCAGTTGTAGGGCGATGTGTGTTTTGAATATTACGATAGACAACCATTTTGTATCTGATTTATTTTAATAATTTTTTTTTTGTATATCAAATCAGAAAGAAATGCAATGCTTTATTTATATAGTCTTTCACATTTTGCTTCTCTCTCATTGTTGACTCCCCCTTTTTTCAACTTCTTAAAATAGCATAAAGCTATGAACCTTTTTTTTTTTTTTTTTCAGCGGAGCATTCGTCAAATGAATAAAAAGAAGCCCTGTGCACAACACACGCACGTAAATATACAATATGTCCCTTATAAAGTTAAAGGCTCTTTTGCTGAAGGATATTTATAATGATATTTGACCGTGTTTTAGGCGTACAATCTCAAAGATCTCTATTGTTAGCCTACCATCATGTTCCATTTACTCGTTATATCATGATTTTAAACATAAACAGCTAAAAGATCCATCAAATTATTGTCTCGAATGATTTTATATTATGCTTGATCAACATTGATAACGATTTGATAAGGGGACCCACATCTATACTAAAGAGGATTAGCCAAATCACTTACTATATCAAGCATTGATATATCGTCATTGACAAAATACTTGGGTTTCTTGTTTTATAAAAACCCCACATAGAACGCTTCACATGAAAAGGAGGGGGGGGGGGCAAGAGCAGTTTTGATCTTTAAGGGACCCTCCCCCCCAAGATAAATATTATCTCATCAACAAATCAAATTTCAAATTACCGGATTTTTGGCATGTGAGTCTTTTCCGCATCCCTCTTGCCTTTCTTTCTTCCAACATTTAAACTATTACAGCCCACTATCCTATACTGCAACTCGTATATTATAGTAACCATGACAACTTTCTCATTGTGTAACTCTATGAAATAAACTTGAAAACCTTGTTATTTTATGTTATAAATCTGTGTGAAAAGAGGGGTAGTACTTGACTAATATTTATTAGAGTTATTTGTTAGATGTTTGGGATGCAACAGCAGCCAAGCATGAGGAGAAATTGAGGGTTTTAAATAAAGCACACCGTAAATTACTACATGAACTACACTCAAAATATTCATGCATGACGAAAACATGTCTTTCTGCTTTGAAATGTGCCAAAGAAACAAAAAGAATATAATACCATTTTCAAGGGACCTCTTCTCAACGAGTAACAGCAAGAGAGAGAGAGAGAGAGAGAGAGAGAGAGAGTGAATGATGACATGAAATGTAACACACGATGCAAGTGCTTATTAGACGAGATTGCCATTCACAGCTACTACATCCCATCCTATATACAAACTTGCGAGTGAGCGATATACCTTGCTGTGTGTATCACCAATGTGACAATATATATAGAAGGCTTCACATGTGGAATAGTTTAGTAGGTTAAAAACAAGCAGTGTGAAGATCTCAAGCTCAATCTACAGAAATACATGAGATTTCAGGCTGTTAATATAGACCCCCCCCCCCAATACCCATGACCTAACGTATATTTCATCAGATCTATACGATGACTTGTCATTATCTATGTGCCCATAAAGCCATTACTCTTGATACATGATGAATGATCTATGCAGCTATTCATAACTATCGTACTATAGAAATCTTCTAGATCATTTATTTTGCACCGTATACCGTATACAAAACTCATTGCACTAAAGTTATTCGATTAAAAAAAAAAAAAAGAGTTGGGTCGCCTGATTCATTCCTGCTTATTTAAATGGTGTCATTGTGCACATGTTTAGTATGGGAGAGTAGAAAAAGAAGAGGCCCCTTTAAGGTGAGATTCTAGGTAAAGAGTAGACACCCTACATGTGGCCAATGTAACACTGTAACCGACAACCCGATCCGAGGCAAATACAGTATATCTCTCAATTATAATGTTGAAATTTGACCCTGTACATGCGCAGAAACTGAAAATGGCACTGGATGTCCTTCTCCCTCTCTCTTAATCTGTATTTCTCTCAGTGAACTTTTGCTTGGCTAAATTGTCTCTGCGTGAGCCATTTTATTTTAGGAGCTATACATCTTTCTGGAATGACCATTAACTGTTATACAAGTCGAGACTTTTTACGTCACTTTTTCTCTTTACTACTAGTTGTAAACTGACTGTGTATATTATAGCCAAGATTGAAAGAAAAGAAGATATAAGCATGTTGATTTGTCAACATGTACTTGTATTTACATCTCTCTTCAGCCTTTGGGTCATTATGACGAAAGAAGTTGTGTATATCTTTTAAAAGACCCTTGATTTTTTTCGTCTTTCAATCCCCATTCAATCCTAAAATGTGATAATTAGCATTGAATACACACATGCTTGAAATCTTCGTGAATGTCCTCTCAAACGTCATGCCGTATCAGCAAGTTATCATTCAATGCTCCTCAAGAGCTGATGATACAAAGTGACTATAACTAGCCAACATGAGAAAGCAATTTAGCAAGTCAGCAAGCAATCATGCGTCCCAACTAATATATGAACGTGAACCAAAGCTGAAGCTAATTTGCCATGCTAAATATAGTGTCATCACAGAGCCCCCAAGTTTAAAATCATTGCTAAACTATGTGATCGACATAAATCTTTAGTGCTCAAAGTTATCGCGATACCCGTTCTTTAAAGGGAGGGTAAACGAGCCTGGCCGAAATCATTAGGTGTATTTGCTCCTGTTGTATAATGTTCCTGATTTATAGATCTTGAGATCGCTGAATTGTATCATTTTTTAATTGTGTACATACATAGAAAATAGCGTCATAAATGAGGGCATGCGATCAAAAAAGATGTAGTAACTAATCATGTTCAATGACCAAGTAAACAAATACCAAAAGAGACATATACACTGGTAAAGCAGTGTGGATATTTTCTAGATGATTTCCTTATAGGAGCAGAATCGTTCGAGAAGTTTCTGGTTTTCAGGTTGAATCAAAGTGAGCAGCCTTCACGTTATGATAACCACTATTTAGAATACGCTTTAAAGCTTCCATGGTCGTGCCCAAGTATGGAATAGTTGCTCTAAATATCGTTGCTTATAAAAGATGGCATAAAGATGAACGCTTAGATTCTTTTGGAAAGTAGCATTACATACAAAGTGTAACGAAATGATGGCATACAATAGCTAAACTCTAACATCATCAAGCGTTTATCAGGATTTAAACAGACAACATCAGATTACTAGCGATCGTACATCTAATAGACACCATTCTTGGGTGTTTTTTTTTGGCAAATAGTATCTTTCTACTAATTGATTACTGATAATTGACTTTGTAGCTTGGCAATATCAACTGGAACCTCTTTATAAGCGGCCTTCAACAATGAATCTGACTCTTCTAAGATGCTCCACGTCTGCTTCAATGGAAATAACTCACACAGAGATCTACAGCACAGTCGCATTACCGCCTATCTCTCAAAAGTATGTAAAAAACAGCATAGCTTGGGTGCATTTGAGTCGTGATTTCTCGCGTTAGAAGCCGTTTCAGACAGCCAAAATAGCACCAAACAGTTGCTCTCATCCAGCAGTAACTTTCTGACACGTTTGCTCAATTTTTTTTTGGGATCGTCAAAAATCGACCAAAAACCATGAGGGACACCTCGTACTTTTCACCAAAAATCAAACGATCGCGTTTTTCACCTTGAAAATGAAGACTTTTACTAAGGCATATACTAACTCAAAATGTTTCTCTTGATCCAAAGCAACCACTGAGACTTTGTTTGTGACACCTTTATATGGAGAATCTCGATAGTTTTGCCAAAAACCTCATTTCGTATTTTCTAATAATGCTCAATAAGGTTGTTTAAAACACCTATTTTACTTGGTACCATTGGAAGCGCCTTGAAAAAGTACGTTAAGAAAGCTTAAGGCGATACGTGATAATCTTTACAGTGTATATAGTCGAATCTGACAAAGTACTTTGAGCAAGTCGAAATTGGATCAAAAATTAACAAAACAAGGAAGGATACAATGAGCGGCAAATGAAATAATTTTGGCTGGCAAAATCAGCAATGGCCCTCTTAACGTGGGCAATCGATATTGTGAAGAAGCTACTAAAAACGGGATTACTAGTTGGAAAAGTACCATAACATAGCATAAAAAATTAATAATCAAGCTATTTTAAGCCTTTTTTTTATATTTGATGATCAAATCGTTGCAAATTGCTTATTTAAAAAGCAAATACCGACTGCAAAATGTTAAATTTCACTATATTATTTGAATGGCGTTTGGCCGTAAACTTTAGTACACAACTTCAGTAGTAAAACTGGCCCTTAGAAAGCAAAACCAGATTAGCAGCAGCAACACTACAGAAAATTCAAAAAACCAGCGACACCAGAGGCCAGAAAAAGACCAAGCAACCAAGCAACCAACCAACAGCTACCAGGTATTGGCTAGAAATGTGGTTTGTGAGGGCGAAGGCCATCTCTTTTTAAGATAGCACCTACGGATACATCCAATCCAGGCACTTTGATATTGTCGCCGCGAGCAGTGACTTGAGTCCACTGAGAAGTGGTTGGTTTTATAGGTATTTCAATAGTGTTTCTTCTCTCATTGCCGCTACAGTCATCTAGTCTTGACATGACTCATCAACATATTAGATATCCTTTCTATGAGTCATTGCTATTAGCACTAATTTAGAAACTCAATTTTATTGTCTGTTATTTCCAAAAGTAATGGCTATAATGAAAAAGCTTCGCAAATCACCTTTATGTACAGCGGGTGCTTATGAACTGGCGTTTGGGATGAAACCAAAAGAGAAAGAGACTGAAAGTTCAAGATTTTATTGGAACATTTGGTAGATCCATAGTGCCGATAAAAAGCTAAGCTTCTGTATTATAGGCTGATATATTGAATCACGTTTTGTTTGCCTTTGTTGTAAGGTGATTTTGTGTGGTATAGTTGTCTAAATGTCAGCCAGGAACACTTGAATGAGCAGCAAAGAAGATTGGCCTTGATAAGCTTGTCTTGTCTCACTTGAAGGCCATATCATATATCTTTTGCTTTTCTTTTCACTATGCAATTGATCCTCAGTTGATACAAATCACCAAATTTTGCAGTTGGCATGTCATGGATTATGCACTCGACATGTCAGATCAAAGAAGCTACTGCTGCTTCTGGGAAAAACCAAGCCCGCGATAGAGTCACAATTTTCCAAACTCCCATTTTACAGCCTTCGTGTTCTCAAATGTGTACCATAGGACAACCTTTGACCATTGATCGATACCAATAAAAACCTATCTTCCATTCTAGCATGGCACCAGCATCCAAGATAGTGTTCTTAATTGACGAACAGTCCATTATCAGTGGCAAGATTCAACTGGATCATCTCAAGCTGTCCATCATGCGTATCCTCTTATACTATCGCTCTCAACAACAGCAAGTTTTATGGGGATACCGTTTCTTTAGTACGCAGACGAGGTATTCAGCACACAGTGTTCGACACTTTTATACCATGGACGACAAGGAGTCGTTTTCTCGGATTGATCAAGAATACCAAAAGAGAAACGACGACCGGCCTGAAACAGTCATCATAGGGGCTCCCATCATGCGTATCAAGCAGGCACTCAAGGAAATCCTGGGTGATTTTCAATGGCAAAACACTGATCTCAGTACCTCTGGTCCCGAGAAAAACTATCTCTTCATCCTGACAGCTTGTCCATCCAATGGCATCGACATGATTCGGTTTTTCGTTACGCCTGTAGATGATGATGACGACGACAATGTGGATGACAGCAGCCAAAAACAAGCAGTGCACACCAAGAAATCAACAGTAGAATCATTTGAAGTGTCCAAATACTTTCAGCGATTGAAGGATGAATTGAGTACAACTCTGCTCAAAAGCTATCAACAGTGCCACATCTCGCTCAACATCATTGACACAGACTTCAAGTTTATATCCAGTAATACACATACGAGATTTATGAATCGACTGATTCACCAAGGATTTGTGTCCTGTTTTGATCAGTTTAGTGGCAACTACATTTTGTATCAAAAGCTGATTCGCAGAAACGATTTGTATGGACACTCTTTCTTTGCTGAATTTGCAAACATCCTCCCATCCAAACGACAAGCAGCAGTACACACGCAAGTTCCTTCTTGGAAGGGCCCATTCAAGACAAAGACAGGCAAAAGCTTGGGCAATTTCGCCCTGTATCCGTCGATCCGTGGTGCTAACTACCAACCATCTACCTTGGCCTTCATTAAAGAGATTCGCACTGTAGATGTCGTTCATGCCAGCCAGTTTTCAGTATCGTGGTTACTGAACAGAAGCGCTCAAGATGCAATTGTCGACTACAAATTCACGTACCAGCAGGGCGAGTCATCCAGTGCGTTCAATGTCATTCTAGATGAATTGTACGCCAAGCAGTCCATCTTGATCGCTGACTTGGTTCCCATCGTGGATAATGAGCATAAGGCTAGAAAAGTGTGTATTGAGCCCTACTCGAGATGCAGCGCTTCGCTTCGATTCCTGAATGTCGACAATCTTCCTCCCGTCTTGCACCTCAAGAATGTCTTGGTAGATCAAGACTACCCCATTGGGCCGTCCTTGGATACTACTAAAGTAGACACTGACATACCCAAAGCGCCATTGCAGCCAGGACACCGTACGCTCAGCTTATTTGCATCCATTCCAAGCTTTATTACAAAACTCACTGACAACGACGAGCCATGTAGCCAGGACACACAGACGGACCAACAGTGTGTAGAAACACCAGAGATCCAAGTGGAAAATAGTGCTGATCCAGTCGTTCACTTCCCATCTACTGTGGATGCATTTGGACAGGAGCTCAAGAAGGCCTATTTAGAGACACTGTATACCCAAGAGGTAAATGCATGCGCACATGAACTACATCTAATTGGATACTGATGCATAAAAAGCAGACTTTTATTGATGCTACCATCATACGCATTAGTAAATGTATCGATCACTTGCTCCAAAACAACCACAGCAGACAGGACATTATTGCCAGCATCTTTGATTATACCATGCCATTGGCAGATCTTGACATGAAGCACCAGAATGAGATTCCCAATGCCAAAAACGCACCCAGTAGCAGTAACTGCACATTAGAGCAAACGTACCAATACGCTTGGTGGAACGAGATTAAATCTAGAGCGCATGTGGGTCCTGCCTTTGAACGCATGAGCTGTGTAGCACTGAAATTGAGAGAGTAAAGTTTGGCCATGCACTTGTACATACCACCATTGGCTAATCCCTACTTATATAGAGCTCAATTGCAGACAATCAACTATTGCTTCATTTGCAAACTGACCAACGATCCAAGACAGTTGGAGGTGTATTCGCGTGATCCTTTTGAAGAAGCTCGCAGGTTTTTTTCAAAAGTGGTTGTTATCTTTAGTATGAATGACGATATATCAGACTTTTTGGCTTCCTTGGATTTCGAACAGGGTGCTCAAGCAACCAAGAAGCGAGATCCATGTACACTGAATGATTATGCTTTTGCGCAAGTAGTGGCAAAAAGGTAGCAACAATCATGGTATCGTCAAACGTAGGTGCTGATCTGTAAATTACTGTAGATTCAGCGAGCTCTCTGAGCTGGTGGACTATTTCAAGGAATCAGCTGGTGCTGATGATATGGCATCATTGCCCTCTCTTGACCTTGCTGACGATGTGCTTGATGATGACAATGATTTTCAGCTGCAACAAGAACCACAACCCCTATCACAGCCCTTTACTCCATTACCGCAACCAATCTCATCCTCGTCTAAACCTGCTCGTATTGAATCACGCACGTTATCCAGTAAGACCTGCTACATACGATGCCGCGCTGTCTCAGCCCATTGAATGCCTCTTTTTTTTTATCTATAGATACTCGTATCGTCAAACCAAACCATCCTCCAAAAAAGTCCACTGTCAATGCAACACCCTCTGTCAACTTGGAGCCCAAATTAGCCAAGACATTCATGCCTCAAAAGATGACCAGATCAAGCGGCAATACACTGGATTCCTTCTATAAGCGTATGGTCAATTTAGCCCCTAGCACCAGCACCAGCAATGAGCCTCAGCGCGGTGAAGCTACAAAAGAATCCATTGCCAAGATGAAGCGAGCAGCTGTGCATGGTAAAGCCACCATGAAGCGAGCAGGTAGTTTTACTAAGAGTGCCTTGTCGCCAAGAAGACCCAAACGCACAGTGTCCATGCTGTCTCAAGCACCGCAAGAAACAGGTACCGTGATCCTGCGTCGAGATAATAGCATACCCAATCCAGAAACAACACCCCGTACATCACTAAACCGATATCTTGGCACCAACCTATTTGCAGATTATTCAGAAGCATGCCCAGTAAGTAGAATTAGCCATGATCTTCTAATGCGTGATATTTAATGGCGTATGTATAGTCGCCTACATCGAGAACATCACCTGATGCCTCTGCTACAGTAGCTGGCTCGGCCTATTTGCAATCAGAATACCCTCAAGCACCCAAAACACCTCAAGGCACCTCATCTCGTTTTAGAAAGATCATGATGGATAAAACACCCCATTGCCATGAGAATGATCAAAATGACCTAGAGGAGTTTAGTGTGCGACTAACCAGCCAAGAAAACCACTTACCGCCTTACACACCGCGCACGGCAGCCAGAAGAGAGCGAGACCGTATTGATAGATCAGAAGGAAATCCTGCTAGAGACCTCACCATGAAATTCCAAATTATCAAGAAAGAAGAGGAAAAAGAAAGAAACAGGCCCGTGATCAAGCGTAAACGAGATATCTTTGCTGACGACGACGACGACGACGACGACGATGAGGACGAGGATCAGGAGAATACCAATCCTCTTTCCAACGGCACCAGCTTTAGTGCTACTACTGCATCAAGACCCGTCGTCAAAAGATCAAAAACGTTTGATTTCAATGATTTCTACAACAATGCATTGGATACACCGCCTATTCAATTTGGGCAAGCGTTGACAGGTATCGATGACGATGATGATGACGATGATGATAGTGATGATCTGGATGGCTATTTTGGGCTAGGTGGTCGCTGAGAGCACTTGTTGTATCCAGGATTGAATAAACAGTGTGTAATACAAGTCAATTAAAAAGCCAACGCTGGTAGAGCAGCAGCCATTGTGCACATCGAGATTGTCCCGCCGAATGCAATGTCTTGGGCTTGGACCCCCGTTTCAGCATATTTTAGCCCATTCTTTTGTGTGTGCGCTCTAGAGTATGGCGTAGCGTTCAATCTGGCTGTAGGAAGCGACCTATTTGCAAGCAATTCAGTAGCACTCTTTGATCCATGATGTTCATTTTAATACCTTGAGCAGATTCAAACGATGATGATGATCTTTATGAATAAGGCAATCCATTACACGGCCCCAATAAAGGTAGGGCCGAATTTATAGTAACTGAACAGATGTGACCCGAATAACGCGGATCCAAGGTTACACTGAAGGATTAATCAGCCACAAAAGGGTTTATTTTCGGTTTAGGCAAATATATAAAATTAGTTGTATAGCATCACTTTACAGCTCTCCTCTTTTTCCTCTTTTTCTCGTATTTTACACATCTGCATTCTCGGCCTGCCACAGCACATTGAATATGAGTTCAACAAATGGAACAGCAAATCCATTTGCACCCGATACAACAGGCGCACAAGCAGGGCTTTATAAAGGCATCGGCGTTTCACTCGCTGTAGCAAGCGGTATGGACATACAGTAGTCATGAGCGCAGTGTATCCACGATTGAACTTGCTCGTTTATGTAGGCGTGTTCATTGGAAGCAGTTTTGTATTTAAAAAGAAAGGTCTGCTGCAGTCCATTGAGAAATCAGGTACGCTTTTATTGATAAAATCGAAACGCTCTATTTTGCTTATACATGTAAACCACAGGAGGTGTTGCTGGTGAAGGATACACTTACTTGAAATCAGCAATGTGGTGGTCTGGCATGATCCTCAGTATGTGTTACATGCGACATCATTTGGGCATACAGACATTTAATGCTTCCAAATAGTGATTGTTGGCGAGCTCTGCAACTTTATAGCGTACGCTTTTACCCAAGCCATCTTGGTAACACCACTAGGCGCCCTCAGTGTGGTGATAAGGTATACGATATCTAAGGACAGGTGTGGCAATGTAGAGGCTAATGAGTAGTATACATACAGTGCGGTTCTTTCATCCATCTTTTTGAAAGAGCGCCTTAGTTTTCAGGGCAAAATAGGCTGTCTTCAGTGTATATTAGGAGCCATTGTAATTGTCTTGCATGCTCCCGAACAGAGTTCAGCAGATACAACTATTGAAACATTTAAAAAACTCGTCTTATCGGTTGGTATGTATATGATATCCATAATGAATGACACAATCTAAATGTTTATTTCACAGGATTCTTGGTGTACGGCGGTATTGCAATTGCCATTTCCTTGATTTTGGTCTTTTATTGTGGCCCAAGATGGGGCAAAAAGAACATGCTGGTGTATATATCTGTATGCTCCTTAATTGGGTCCATCTCTGTGGTGTTTACGCAAGGCCTAGGCTCTGCCATAGTTCATTCCATCACGCAAGAGAACCAGTTTACGAATTGGTTCATCTATGTCGTCTTGGGTATTGTGATTGTTACGCTAGTGATTGAAATAGTCTATCTGAATAAGGCACTCAACCTGTTCAACACTGCCTTGGTCACGCCTACTTATTATGTGATCTTCACTACCATGACTATTGTCAGCTCCATTGTGCTCTACCGAGGCTTTGATGCATCTCCTGTTGATGTGGCCACTTGCGTACTTGGCTTCCTCAGCATTTGCTCCGGCGTGGCACTTTTACACAACTCCAAAAGCCAGCCGTCTGCCTTGGTAGACGAGGCTGAAAAGCTGCAGGACGACGATGAAAAGATATTGCTAGAAGATCGCCATCTTCAACACGAACAACAACCCGAACAGCAACAGCCCGTCGTTCGTAGACGCAGCATGTTCCAAATGTTTGAAAACAAGAGCGACGCAGATCTAAACAAACAGGCAGATCATCATGGAGCACACAATCCAAGTGCTGCTGATCTATTCCCTGCCCCATTTTCAGGTATCAGTCGCTATGCCAGCACGACAAAACGCAGCCAGTCTATCATCACAAAGCATCGATTACAATCAGCTACCGACAACAGCATACCACCGCATAGCTCTATTGAGCAATCCAAATCAAGACCTCATTCCAACACCATCTCCATTGGAAACACTGTGGTCGGTGAGGAGGGATACAATCGAGAGATGCGATGGCGAGATCATCCAACACACGATATTACTACACAGCCACACGAGAATAGCAGCAGCCCACCTACCACGCAAGAGGCGTCCATCGTGGACACAGTGGGCGCACAACCATCTACTACAAACAATACGTTCGCATCTGTATTCAAGCGTAAGCACACTGCATCTTTTTCATCGCCAACAACAACACATCGAGCACAAAACGAACTGGATCCTTTGAGCAGCTATCGCATGCAAATCCATGGTGGAGAATCAGAGGATAGAAGAGGATTAGTTGACGCCAGTTGGGATGATAAATCGCCATGAAATAAATTGTAAATTATGTGTATTTATTAGATAACGGTTTGAAGTGCTGTCAGAATGGTGTCTCTCTCCTTTCTGTTGTCTGCAAATAGCTGGTAAGCTCCATTTTGTTGCGTTTCAAGCACAAATGCATTAGGCACAAATGTCTCAACGTCAATGTTGACATTGCTCAGTCTTTTGACATTGTTGAGATCGAGCACTGTGATGGGATTGGGGTTCATTTCATCGCTGTAAAACGTCATGCTCTTGCCCTTGATGGTGAAGTATCTGCGTCTCCAAAACTGAATCGCTCGTGTGAGTTTATACACGCCTTGTAATATTTACGCAATACTTACTGGACTTGTGCAAGGTTGTACTGACACAAAGCCAGAAAGAACAATGTCCTTGTTCTTCTCTGCCTCCAGCAATCTCAATTGCAGCATTTTCTTTTCTTCGATCAAACGTTCAGCCTCCATCTTCTCCTTCAAGAGTCTTTCTTCTTCCAATCTCTTTGCAGTTGCTTCCTCTGCTGCAAGTCGCTTGGCTTCTCTCTCGGCTGCTGCTGCTGCTTCAGCTGCTTGAGCGGCCATGGCAGCTGCCTCTCTCTCTTGTTCCTCTCTTCTCTTTCTCTCTTCTGCCTCCTGCTGTTGTTGTTGCTGAATCAATAATTGCTGCTGTCTTTGCTCTTCTTCCAATTGTCTCTGTCTTGCTTCATTGGCAGCACTTTCGGTTTGCTGCTGTTGTTGCTGTTCGTCCACATGTCTTATAGACGAGTTGGATACAGGAGGTGTAACAAAATTCTCACTTGCTTCTACAAACTCGTCTTCTTGAGCTAGCTGAGCAACGACAGCAGGTACAGGATCAGATGGTACAGTGGGGCTGGCAGGTGGCACAGGTGATTGTGTGGATTGTCTGCGAGATAATCTCTTTTGTGAAAGAGAAGCAGATGATCTACGAGAGGAGGATTGATTACCATCCCCCAGCTTGAGTCGAGTGCGAATGTTGATGTCGCTCAAGTCGTTCAATGTAGAGGCAGTGAGTTGTGCATGGTGTAACTTGAGTGTGGATGCAACAGATCTACTGTGCACCAGCGCTCTAGCTTTTTATGAAATCACCTGTATAAGTAGGCTGTATCCATGTTATTTCCATTCTGTATAAATTACCTCTGCGAACACCGCTAAAATAACCAATGTCTCGAGTCAGTATGCATGCGACTCACACAAGCATGCCAACACTCACCTCACTTGCTCTGATACCCAGGTAATCAAAATGAAGCGATCATCTACTCTAACGAAGCCGTACAAAACTTCATCGCTAAGATGATTGCGGAACTCGCTGTGGATGCAATCCGATGTTAGTTTTGAACTTCAATCCGTATACTCGATAAACTCACTCCAATCCCTCTGTGCCCTTGGAATACAACGAGATAACATCTCTGGTATCATTGTAGCCGAGAATGAGCCTATAAATTCGATAACAATGAGTAATTTGGAATCCATCTCGTGCTCTGCACATGTGCCATGTTTACCAATTCGTTGGCTCATCTTCCACAATGGCGGTATAAGTTTCGAGAATACGAGGATCCGTTAAATCACACATGTTGGTATCAAAGTAGTAAGCAAAAAGAAAGAAGAAGAAAACACAATAAGTTGGGGTTGAATTAAAGTTGTTTCCTTCTCACTTTCTTTACTATTCAAGGCACCTTTTCCTCCTGTTTAGAGACTAATTTTGGAACCAAGTCTGATATTGAATTCGTTTGGGAGCTGCAATGAGGCAAACTGATTTGCTAAAAAGCGTCTAAAATATAGAAATTAAACTGGTCCTACATGGATCTTGCTATTGTGTACACTGTCTATTGCTTTAGCTGTGCCATAGATAGCTATTTTGTATGATCATGAAATGACGGCTAATTACAGCATTGATCTGGATTCTATTTGTATACATAAATGCAATTTACTGGCATACTCCGAATCCAGACTATTCATGTGCATTGCCACTGTCTTCACTGCCAAATAATGCCTTTTGATATTGGCTTACATGTTTATTACATTTGCCAAATCGCGTAATCAGGGTCCATTTTCCACTTGATCATATAACTGATTTCATGAGTCTCATAATATTCCTTGGCTACTGTTTGATGAGATGTTGTTGGCGTGGGAATGCTGATTCCAACCACTGGCTACCGTATCTTTGCTCTGGAGCTGTGGATCTGATTTTTTCATTCGCGTATTTCATTGACAGCAAAAGATATAAGTTGCTTTAATGGACTACTGACCTTCTCTGTAGCATCAAAGCATCTAACGCCAACGCCTGTCTCATCATGGACTTCTTCCTTGACTGTATGTGTCATGAAACCGGAAGGATTCGTTGTAGCTTTAGCCAGACGTTATAATTGTTCTTGAGCTGAATGAGCAAGGACAATCACGCGTCGCATGATTTTGAGGCCAAACGACTTGACGGATCTTCAGTCAGAACAATAGACTATAAAAGGGAAATACTATTTCATAGATCAAAGGATGAAATAGTTGAACTTATCTCAACCGATGATATTCTGTTGACAATCTCTGGTAAATTTGATTGAGAGCACCGTGTAGTATGGAAGGAGAAGGCAGTATAATTTTGCAAGACACGAATCCCTTGTTTTGATAGATGAAGAGTATAGATGTGGACATCAAAACCCATGATTTGGATTAGCGAGACCACAATAGCTTTGATGTTGTAGTCAGGAACGTAAAGGGTGTTTCGCAAGTAGTTGTTGTTATGGCACTTTGCGCCTTATTATTGTAAAGTTTCTTCGCGGCTGTCTTCTTTGCGGTTTTAGACATAGCAACATCTGCGAGTGCTTCCATTTCAGACATCACTACAATTCTCATATAGGCTTTAAATCTTGAGCGTTCCTTTTGCATGATTGTGAAACCACATCGCCTCTATGTAAAATGGTAATACACTGATCTAGGACAAAAAATGCTCATAGATAAACATGTTTTTTCCCAGTAGACAATGTAATTAGCGCTATGAAAATGTGATTCAAGTACAACACTCCAAAATTTGATAACGTAGCCTGCCTCCGAGTTCTTATTTCTTGAAGATTTGTTGAAGAGTTGGGGGCCGATCCAGATGTATAGATATGCTATGAAGAAGAGCCTGTTATGCACAATACACAAATAACCCCTCCCATTTACATATAGTCGCATATGTACTTCACATATTTTGCTTGTGAATTTGTTGATTTGATTGTTTGAAGCATGTTGGAGACTTTGAACAACACTTGTGCATCTACTCTCTTCAAGAATATCTATAATGTTTTTACTGAAAAGCTACGTCAAAGTGACAGGTCAGAGATCAGAAGCCCCCCCAAGAACATAACACATCTCATTCAACATTTGGTAACATTGACCTATATGAGGGTTTTACCGTTGCGAGGCGAAGGTGCAAAGCCATAGTATTCAAGCAGCAAATTCAGTCTTTTACTTGTATTATTAATAAGCTTACCAGCAATATAAAGCATCAAAATTTGCATGAATCAGCTTTCCCGAAGTCAATATGCCTTCTGTTCTAATTAGAAGTTGCACAGGCTGCAGAACTGCCCTTCCAGAAGACTTCAGCTACCAAAGATGTAATTCATGCCATGTAAATTGAAGCTATACAGCAAAATCATAATCAAATTTGACAGCTTTCAAGCCTTCATATTTTGACATGTAAACCTCTCTGAGCCACCAGAATAACGCGAAACAATTGTACTGGAGTAGTAGTAACTTCCTGACACCTTTGCTCAACTTTTTGGGGACCCAAAAAAACATGGCCAAGAATCGATCAAAACCCATGAGGTACCCCTCATGGTTTTCATCGAAAATCAAACGATCGCATTTTTCACCTTGAAAATGGAGACTTTTACTACGGCATATATCAGATCAAAATGTTTCTCTCGATTCACAGCAACCTCCGAAACCACTTTTATAGGGCTTTCATATGCAAAATATGGCTATTTTCACTAAAAAACCTCATTTCAAATTTTATTAAATTGCTCAATAATTTTAGTCAAAATTCTTATTACAGCTAGTACCATTGGAAGCATCTTGAAAAACACTTCAATAATGTATTAGGAGGCATTGAATAATTATCACAGTTTATATAGTCGAATCTCTCAAAATAAATCGATCAAGTCGAAAAATGACAAAATATGGCCAATCTTGAGCAGAAAAGTTAACTGAGTTTGAATGAGCTTTGGCGGCGGAGGCAGGCGGCGCTGCTGCTGGCTGACCCAAATTTCTTTCTGATGATAGCGATGCTGATTAAATGGGATACTTTTTACTGGGGAGTTTTCCCTCACAAAGGTGTCTTTTGCGATGGTAATCTCTCAAAATGTCGCTGAAGGTTTTACGCAAGTCCTGTATTTGCGCGTGGCCAGTTTTATGCCACCATCTTAAGAGCAGCAGCAGTGAATGGTATGACAATTCTACCACCAGAAAATGGAGATAGTGGTGTATAAATGCTGAACTCTCTTCACAGCGCCTCAATAATAGCTTCGGAAGGATACCTCCTTGCTTCTCCTGACTCTGATATAATCTTTCTTTTACTATTAAAGAGAAGAAAAAAAAAGTGTTTATGTGGAAAAGAGAGGGGTTATCATCCAAACCAAAACAAACTATCTTTAGCTGATAAATGAGGATGTTTTTATTTGAATGCATGCAACAAATATATGATATTTATATATGATACGGAATAGATGGAATCAAAGGAGGTGAGGGAAAGGTTGTATATTATATACAAATAGAAGTCAATATATTGTGAAAAGGAATGTATAGATATGATTAAATATGAAGAGATATACAGAGTAAGATAGAGTGTGTGAGTGTGTGGTATCAAATATAAACAGTTAACATTGGGCTGCTATACGTGTATAATATAAAAACTAGAATGTTTCGTTTTGGTTTGGACATTTGTTGGTCAGATGAAGTCCATATTCTTCGCAGTTTTCGCAATACTGTAGAAGCAAATGGTTAGCACAAGGAAGCGTCTATGAATAAATCAACTTACAGGCCTATCAGAGCCTCTTTTTGCGACTGTAACTGCTTTGCAACTGATCAAGTCATGGCCACTAACCTCACAAAGCTCACAGTAGGCAATAGGATCCTTTCCGACGTTGTCCCTCTTGGGCGCTTCTTGGGCTACTTTACTGATGGACGATGAGGATGTTGTAGATTCGACCAATATCTTCTTTTCCTCTTTGACATCTTGCAATTCCATCTGTAACTTCTTGACCTGCTTGCGTTCCTTCTCAAGCGCTTCTTCCAAGTCAGCTTCTTTAAAGATCTTGGATTCGATGAGGCTCTCAAGCTCAGATATATCACGATTCAGGTTGGCAACCTGACGTTTCTGATCCTTCTCTTGCTTCTCAGCCTTTTCTTTGGCTTCTCTCAATTCAGTGGCATGTTGAATAATCAGTTTCTCCAGCTTCTTTTGATTTTGTTGCAAGAGTTTGGCAATCTTGTCATCTTCGCTCAAATCTTCCTTGAGCACAAGCTTGGTTACTTCATCTTGGCTGGCTTGCTGGTGCAATTTTTCGACTTCCTCCATGAGCTTTAGACATTCCATTTCAGCTTGTTTGTGGGATTCCTCTAATTTGGCGTAATCCTTGGATATCTTCTTGTTGTCTGATTTGAGAGAAGAGATCAATTGATGATATTGATTCAGATCTTGATGGCCTTGTTCTGCTTGCTCTTTCTGCTTCAATAACATGGCATTTTGTGCTTGCAGCTTTTCGATTTCACCACGGAATGTGTCTATTTGTAATTGGTGCTGCTTTTCATCGACATTGCTGCTATTGTTTTGAGAGGATTGTTGCTTTTGCTCTGCAAACTCTCGCTCGAGTTTCTCCTTGGCTTCAGATAGTTTTCGGAGTTCACTTTCAGTCTTCTTTTGACTCTCTACGGCTGCACGCACTTCATCAAGGTATTTGGTACGAGATACTAATTGTTCATCAAAGTCTGCTTGGAGTCGACCCAGCTGCTCTTCAAGCTTGGTCTTTTCTTTGGTGAGTTTCTCGGTTTCCTTTGATTGGTCTTTCCATGCCTCGGCTTCAATTTTGAATGCTTCATGACTAGATTTCTCGCGTTCAAGAGCTTCAATCTGTTCGGTAAGTCTCTTGCGTTCGCTTTCCCAGACATCTTGCAAGATTGCATGCTTCTCTTCTGTCTCGACATTCTTCATGAGTTGGGCAATTTCTTGTTTCAATGCCTCCACCGTAGATTGAAGGGCCTCACGTTTGATTTCATGTTCTTCCATTTGCAAGGCGCGCTCCTTTTTGAGTTCTTGAATAGTCTCTTCGTAGGCCTCAATGGCATCTAAACCAGCTTTACGCAGTTCTTCTCTTTCCACCTCCAAAGATGCAACTTTGCGACGCTCATCTGCTAAGCTAGCATTCAGAGCTTCACGGTCAACTCGGTTCATTTCAACAGAGCTTTCATAGAGTTCAATGCTTTCCATGCCGGCCACCTTCAATTCATCCACAGATTGTTGGAGATTAGCGATACGCTCGCGATATTCTTGCACTAGAGCGGTTTCCTTGGCTAGGTTCGCTTTTACAGCAGCAAGCTCTTTCTTGACTTTGTCAAACGCTTCCTTGGAGGCACAGTCTTGATGAGCAAGCCATTTGGTTTCAACGTCTTTCAGTTCTTCGAGTAGCCGATCCTTTTCACGAGTGTGGCGTTCAGAATCAGCCTTGATACGACGAATTTCTCTTTCCTTTTCTTCGACAGCGTTACGATGGGTTTCGACCTGTTCAGAAAGAGACGCCAAGAACATATCCTTAGCACGAGCAGCGTCACGCAGAGAGCTCATCTTTTCATGAACTTCCTCCATCTCCATTTCCAACTTCATTTGACGATCCATTGCATCCGAATCAGAGCCAGGTTGAAAGAATTGATGAGGCTGAGATGTGGGATATGAAGCAAGCTGCTGTTGCAGAGCTTTTGTCTTTTCCATCATGAGTTTTTCGCCTGCTTGAGCAGCAGCAGTTGCAGCTTCAGCTTCAGCAATCTTGCTCTCTAATTCATGTACACGATGCTCAACGAGCGATTTCTCTTTACGCACTGTACTGATTTCAAACAGCGATCTATCTCTTTCTGTGATGAGATTTTGTTGCTCTGCTTCCAGTTCTTGTACTTTTGTTTCTAAACGCTTAATTGCTTGCAATGTCTCCTTTTGCTGAGCTGTTAATTTTGCAATTTCGTTCGTGTGGTTTTCTTTGATTTCTTCCACGATGGCTTTATGGCCGTCCAATGTAAAGAGCTCCTCACCATTAGATGCATCATCTTTCTTTTTGAGCACAAGAGATCGCTCTAAAATCTGTTCCGCTGTCTTGTTTTGAGTATTCTCCAATTTGAGAAACTTGTTCTCGGCTTCCAGTACTTCGACACGCAGCTGCAGCTGCTGTAAACGCATCACAGTTTCATCAGGGGCTTGAGAGATGGCTTCGCCCAGGATACGCTCCAATCTTTCCTGTGGTGACTCATTCAAGGAGGAGGAGGATGTGGATGGAGAAGTCAACGAAGGGGCATTGCCAAGATGGGAGGCGGAAGCAGCGGAAGTAGTAATCGATTTGGACAAAGCTAAATTGGCCGGAATAGGGGTTTCAGTCAACATGTCATCTGATGAAGAGGATAATAAAGAGTCGTGATAATAGTCATCTGCGTTGTCTTGTATGCTATGGCTTGTTGGAGTCATCGCAGGTGATGGAATGCCACGGTTGTAGTGAGTAGGCGTCGGCGATTGAACCAATGGCTGTGATCTGCGAAGGCTGTTACGACCACCAGACATGGACACAGGGGATGTCAATGGACTTTGAAGAGATGCAACTGGTGAGCGCACAGACAATGATGGCGTGCGAGACTTTTTCTTTGGCTGCTGCTGCTGTAACTGCTGTTGTTGTTGAGATAGCTGATTTGCCGTCAGCCCAATGTAACGAGCAGCCCTGGACCCGTTTGAGATCAAAGATACCGAATTACGGTTGTTATTAATGGGCGGAGACAACGATCTTACGGAATCGGAGTCATCACCTAGAGGTGTTACCTTTGAAGCTAAAACAAATAGACCAGTCTGAGCAGGGCACGAAAAGTAACGTACGCTATTGAGAAATGTGCGTTAGAGATTTGAAACATTTCACTCATAAAAAAAGGGGCAGAGGGGAGGAATTTTCATGCATTTACCCTTTCACCGATCCATCGTTCTTGCCAGAGCCAACAATATCCAACTGGATGCCAGCCCATACGCCTTCTTTAAATTCAGCTTCACCCAAAAACTTCAAGGTACCAATTATTCCCATTGAATCTACTGCAATTCTTTCACCAATATAGAGGGATTTAGGCCGATTTATAGATGATGGTTTGGGAGAGGTGATGATTCTGTTGGGCACGTTTGGTTGCTGGTAGTTGCTTTCAGTCATGGTTGCTGAGGTGGTGGCAACAAACGAACGTGAACGTGCTTTCGTCAATGATTTGGATGATTTAGGTACTGGAGGTACATTTTCTGAGATGGTCTTTCTCTTTCGTAATTCTGCAGCGGAAGGTTTTCTAGATAACCTTCTGGTTGGGTTGTTTGTTAAAGTTAAGCCAGCTGTTGGCAACCTAGACATTTTGTAATTTTCAAAGAAGAAAAAAGAAGAAAGAAAGAAAGAAAGAAAGAAAGAAAGAAAGAAAGAAAGAGGTTAAAGAGGCAAAGAGAAAGAGGCATTTTAGAGATAGTGGAAAAAAGTCAGCTGTGAACATAATAAATTAAAAGTATATTAAAAAACCAGTGTACTTTTGTTTTTTGGAATAGACATTGTGTCGTACAATTCAGGAGTCTACTATGAGCATTTATAGTTAAAGCTATAGTTCTTTTTATGAGGACCAATTTTGATAATAATTTCTCTTGTGTCTGTATCCTCGCATACTATTTGTTGTTGACGATCATCGTCAGTAAGACAACATAGATCATGTTGGAGCATTGCGGCGGTACCTGGGGAAGCATAGGCGCTCTGTGTATGTACGGAATCAGTCAGAGTGATTGCTGTGCTCGCAAACACTATCTACAAGCTATTTTGCTGAGGCAGCTATGCTTTTTATAGTGCGTTCCAAAGTATGTTGAGATGCACGCTTGACGTAGACAAGCTGTTTGTGTTTAGCTATGCCATCGACTTTCTGTGCCGCAGAATGTTGATTGATGGATCGAATAACAGCTTGCTTTGACCTAGAATCATTCCAGGCATTCGTTTAGTAATCCCAAGATCTGATACATATCTAAATTTCTGATCTTGGATCACGAAATACGCAGGCACAGCATCAAATCTTCATGTGAACCTTACCTAAATGCCATTTCTATATCTGGTATTAGAGGTTACACTTAAACTTGAAGCCGCAAATGATCAATTATACGTCTATACTAAAAGGACATGGCATCGATTGAAATTGATATTCAAGCTCTGTTTCCAAGGAAAGTACATGAAATTTTGCCTACCATTGATCAAGCTCACGCTAAGGTACTGTTCCAAAATGCGGTTTCTTCTTGTTGACGCATGTCTATGCCAACAGCTTCTACTGATGAAGGAAAATCACTTTTTGAGCATACCATATTGCTTTTTATGCTGATAGACGCTATATCTAGTCAATTCACCGAGCTGCTCAAAAAATATCACAAGCAGTAGGTTATCATGGCCGCAGCGCTCAAATGTTTGCTTTAATATGTGATTGAAATCCATTGCATTAATCCATCGAAAGTTTTCTGAAAAGCAATCAGAACATTGCCTGAATCTCTAGCTATTGGAGACTGCTTGCGGATGGGCCATCTAAATAACACGTATGCTTCAAGTGATTAGTCTGGTCCACGCTGCATATACTTCTTTAGAAAAGTTCAAATCTACAGCTCATGATCATCGGAGTCCGCGGATGATCTGGCCCAATATGGGCATCACAGCAGAGAAGAAAACTATCACATCAGACGATGATGATAGAACCTAGTTTAATGCTTTTTGATAGAAAACTAAACCTATTCTTTGAAGGTTTAAATTTTTTCCTTCTTGTTGATCAACATTTATTTAATTTCGATTGATTGCAATAATGGGTATGTTCATCATTGATGATGAATCTTTATGGCTCTCGAAATGAGTTACTTAAAACGGGAATGTGTATAGATGACCCCCTTTTATTTATTTTTATCTCCATGGCAACCACACCACTATTTTGTGTACTGGTTTAGCTGCTTTCAATCATTGAGGAAAGTACACAAAACCCATATATGGAACTAGTGCTGTTTAGTTTTCTATTTTATCCGGCTGACTCGTAGTTTTCCGTCCATTAAACCTCATGTTTCTAATGTAAACACCAATCATTTGCTTGGCCTAATTTTACAATATAGTTATTGTGTAATTTTCCACTATAAAAGCATCTCGTTTTTTCCCTTCTTCCTTTTTCTTCTTTATTATATCATATAATACTTTCTTCCATCAAAAATATACAAAAAAAAATCCCTTTATAACTTCACTAACGCACTTCCCCCCATCCTCTTATTACTCTTTTCCCTTTACAAAAAACCATATAAAAAAAAAATAAAAAAACCCCCAAATCTCAAAATGTCTACTCGTACTGTATCTGTTAAATCCTTCAACAACAACATCAAGCAAACTCATTCTCATGCTGCACAAATAAAGCCCATTGCTACTGTTTCCAAGGCCACTAAGTCTAGCCATCATACCAATCAGCAACAGCAACCCTCCAAGAAGAAGTTGCAGGCGACCAACCATCATAGCAAGCAGCAACACCAACGCCGCAATCAAAAGAAGGTCAACGCTGCTGTTACTGACGAAGACTCCTCTTCCTCTTCTTCTTCATCGGCCTCTGAAGATGACAAACCTGTCAGAAGAAATAAGCGAAGCAATCACTATCAACAGCAACAACAATCTAGGTATTTCTATAACCCTTTTTCTCAATATAGTTGCAGCTATATTAATAACAACCCAATTTAGCTATGTTGATCAAGTTTACGCCGGTCCTACATTCAACAATGCTCCTGCTCCAAGTGCACTTCCTATCCCTGCTTTTAATGCTCGTGGTTCCCCTATCAACTACCCTCAACCTCTTTATCACTCTGTAAATCCCTCTCTTCAACAACAATCCATGGACCTCATGAACTTGATTACTCCTCAAAGGGCCGTCAACACTGCTTATGAACTTGAAAAGACCAATTTGGCCCTTTCTGAAATCCAACGAGGCCTTCGATCCATGCTCAAAATTGAATCCTAAAACCCGAGGTCCATATCACTCAAGTAAAAAAAAAACAAAAGGAATCATTTTTTATACATATAATTAGAAACAAACAACAACCACAGCTTTTTCAGATTGACAACGACAACGACAGCAACAACGACAACAACATTTACAACAGAAAGAAGCTTGAAGAAACAAAGAAACACTGAACCGAATACCCCATTTCTTTATCGCTCTCGCTCTCAACATTTACTCCCTCCACACCCCTTTTTTTTTTGATTTTCTTTCATCTTTTTTGTATATACGTCTTTGTCTGTTTGTAATTATCTTTTATTTCTTATTTTTCTTTTTCATTTTTTTACATTTGTATATTTGCTTTCTATCTTTTTTTTTTTTCATTTTAATTTTTGCTTTTTTCCTGTTCTCTACCCCTACTATCCCTCTTTCCCGAATACCATCTTTCAACCCATCATCAACATCCCGAATTTTGACACTTTTTGTTTTTTTTTTTCCTTTCATTTTTTTTTTGATATCTACATCCACATTGAATCATTTGTTTCTTGTTCATGAAACTTTCTTTTTTCATAATTTTTTCCCTAGATTCGTTGTTCTGTGATATCCTTTTTTTCCAATTTCTCCTCGATCATTTAGTTTTGTTTTTAGCCTTTTTCTCTCCAGTCGATTATTTGTTTAGACACATTATGGACGATGAAAAAACAACAAAACAAAATAGAAACCAAAAAAAAAAAAATCAACACCTTTCCCCTTTACCATCTCATCAACCAGAAAAAATTATCACTTTCTCTTTTACTACAACACCCAGCCAATAAATTAAATTAAAAAAAGAATGAGATAGACCATGGTCTATTTAGTTCTTTTTGTTTTTTGTCTCAAAATCAACTAATTTACTCGCCATCTCATTTGTGTATTTTTCAAATTTGTGATACCAATGAAATGCATGGGAATCACCTGTTAATGCTACATTTACAACCTGAGGACCGGATATTGAAATGCCTCTCATCATGCTTGTGTTGTTGAAGGGACCATTGAGAGCATTTATACATATAATGTTGCTCAACTTGTACCAAATTCTGTAGTTTAGAAAGCATTGTTTTTGTTTGTGGTGAGTTGTACAGATCAAAGATCTACGCATGATGAGTAATACTGATTTCAAAATGGTATCGGTATCCAAATGTCGATGTTGCACACCACCAAAGCACAGGCGTGCTAATTAGCTTGGTTCTCTTGTATCCGCCGGTCCGGGTGAAGACCTCCTGTATGAGCTGGATGCCGGAGTCTTTTGATATCTTGAATCTGAAAGTGAGCTTAACAACTACAATGTAAGCAGGCCAGTTATAGATCCTCCTCTTTTCATATCATGGCTGCCCAAATTTCCAAGAAGAGAAAAGTATGTAGAAATATCAACATGGACGTGGATGTTGGATTGTAGCAATGAGTCAATGGATGGGTCAGCTGAATATAGAGATGTTGGTCAGGATGGATGATGGATGTCCTGATGGGAGAGGCGAGGGGAAATCAGATATAGATTCAAGGGGTGGTAGTGGGGACAGACTGATTTTGAGACATATGCTTATTAGACATGTTGTATATTAACTCCTTTAATCTGTAGTTCGTAAGTGTCTTGAATGGCAATATACAATCAACAGACAGCATCATTTGGAGATATTGACATGTAGACAATCCTATTTAGGTCGCTGACGGTGTTTTCTACGCTGAACTCAACGAGTTCTTCACTCGCGAGCTCGCTGAAGATGGCTATGCTGGTGTCGAGGTCCGTGTCACTCCTGCTCGTACCGAGTAAGTGTCCATGTCGATATGTGAATCTCAGTCAATGTTAATTAATGCAACGTGTTTAGAATCATCATCCGTGCCACTCACACTCAAAATGTCCTTGGTGAGAAGGGCCGTCGTATCCGTGAGTTGACCACTCTTGTTCAAAAGCGTTTCAAGTTCCCTGAGAACGCTGTCGAACTCTACGCTGAACGTGTCCAAAACCGTGGTCTCTGTGCCATTGCTCAATGTGAGTCTGTCAAGTTCAAGCTCCTCAACGGTTTGGCTGTTCGTCGGTAAGTTGGCAAAAAAAAAAAAAAAAGTATGTAGTGGAGAGGCATTTGGTATTTATGTTATATGGAAATAGTGCCTGTTATGGTGTTGTCCGTTTCGTTATGGAATCCGGTGCCAAGGGTTGTGAAGTTGTTGTCTCTGGTAAGGTTCGTGCTGCCCGTGCTAAGGCCATGAAGTTTGCTGATGGTTTCATGATTCACTCTGGTAACCCTGCTCGTGAATTCATCACCACTGCTGTCCGTCACGTTGATTTGCGTCAAGGTGTTTTGGGTATCAAGGTCAAGATCATGTTGGATAACGATCCCACTGGTCGCAACGGTCCCAAGCAATGTCTCCCTGATATTGTCACCATCCTCGAACCCAAGGATGAAGCCGCTATCACTGAACCTTCTGCTCAAGATTTCAGACCTGCTCCTGCTGCCCCTGCTGCTGCTGAGCCTGCTGCTGTCGAGGCTTAAATAGATTTATAACAAAATATTCCTCTCTCTTTTTCATTAAAAAAAGTCCAAACATCCAAAAGCGTAGGTTATAGACACGTTCGAGTGGAAATACTTTGACAGTAGTGAATCAAGAGACGAGTGCTTTATAGCTGTTACAGAGATTGTTGGGACTATAGACAAGGCACCGATTTTTCTGACTGACAGCATATACAAAGAAGCATATCTTGAAGAGTAGCATTCATTGGAGGAAGAAAAGCAGCTGACAAGTGGTGCACACTATTGGCATCATCGGATCAATGCACGAGTCATTTCAATACATGATTTGAGGAGAATTTTTTATAGTTACGCCACTGCTATGAGAGAGAGAGAGAGAGAGAGAGTATAGGAAGGTGGATCACTCCTTTTTTTTTCTACACTTTTTCTTCCTTCATTGTATATTGTAATGTCGACACAGCAAGATAACATGAACTCTTCTTCATTGGCCATTGCATCCTCTGTGCTATATCCTCATAATGCTAATGAGAGCACTGTGCTCAAGAGAAGAAAAGTAAAGCTGCAGACCTTACCTGGTGCTTGGATCGAAGATAACAACACGGAAGAGGATGAACAAGATAAAGAAAACATGCAGCAGTTTGTCAAGGTTGCGTCTGCTACTCCACCTCGATTACCAGACCAAATCACCGCCACATTTGCTACTGCAAACGATGAAGACATTGAATTCCTCAAGCAAACTATTGTCAACCTTCGAAAAGAAAAGGAAAAGCTGGAGGAAACCAACGACATAGTAAAGAAGAGTATACAAATAGTTGCCCGAAAAAGAATGATAGCACAAACCAACAGCCACTTGAAGAAGACTCAAAAACAACAGATCTCGGATGCGGCATCAGCAATTGCAGACGAGGAGGAAGATATCTATATTGTTGTGCCAAGTGATTTCATGCCAACTCAAGAGGAAATGAAAGCAGCTGGACTTGATGGTTGGGAGTGGATATCAGCTTATTGAGATGGTCATTCTTTATCATGGGATAAAGTGTGATTTATCACTCAATATATACTTTTCCCGAATGACGCTATTCGCAAATGTACACTACAGCAATCTCTTTTTCTCTTCTATACTACAGCGTAACCCCCATATCATATATATTATACATATGCACAACATTTTACATAAAGATGCTAGCAAATGCATATTAGCATTTCGTTCTAGCAATTAATGTGTATAAATGCATTGCCATGTATGTGAGATGTAGTGATCGTGTGCTGATGTGATCTGGTTGAATGTTGGTTGCCTGAACAGTGTAGAGCAATGTGTTTCGGTCGTATTTGATGCAGATGTCATGTCTTGTCTATTTTTAGTTTCATCTCCCCCTACTACTAGCTGCATAAACAATAACTCACTTGTGTTAGTAATAAGGCGTACCATCACAATAGTAGTTGAAATGGAGAAGCAATCTCCAGCAAATGAAAAGGATGAGAATAGGTGGTTAGAAAGGGGGTACCACCAAAAGAAGAGAGCGTCAAAAGATTTCTTATGGCACTGTAGACATGGTACACAAAAGTAGACATACAAAACAATTGAGATATTACATTCAGCCTTTGACATTACTTTGATCTGATGAGAGCCGTGGAAGAAAACGTCATTTTCAATGAAGTACCAGTCCCTGAGGGTGGTGGGATTTTGAGGCGTTCATTATATCATTGATGAGCAAGAGTCAGCTAGTATCCTACTCGTATAAGCTTTTTTACTATATCGTGGAAACTCTATAAAAGACCTATAACAATGTATCTGACTCTTGTCGAATACTCCATATCTGTATTAACGAGAAGAACTCAAATATAGATGCATCGTACGCCTGCATTGTGTCTAGCGATTCAAATATATGAAAATCCCAGCGAAATTTGGATGTATTCGAGCAATGTTTCCTTGCGCTAGAAGCAGTTTTAGACCGCCAGAGTAGCACCAAACAACTGCTCTCGACTAGTAGTCATATCCTGATACCTTTCCTCAACTTTTTTGGGGTAAGAAAAACATCACCAAAAATTGACCCAAAAGCATGAGGGATACCTCATGATTTTCATCAAATATCAAACGATTGCGTTTTTAACCACAAAAATGAAGACTTTTACTATAGCATGTATTAAGTCAAAATGTTTCTATGGATTGAGGGCAACCCTTGAAATTGCTTTTGTGGAACTTTGATATGCAAAATCTCTACCTTTTCCTCAAAAACCACATTTCATATTTTCTGAAATAGCTCCGTAAGTTTGTTCAAAACGTACCTTTTAATTAGCACCATTCGATGCGTCTTGAAAAGTACTCCAATAATGCATTAGGAATGATGGGGTAATCATTCCATTTTACATAGTCAAATTTCGCAAATAAGCTGAAGATGAGTCGAATCTCATCAAATCTACCCAGTCTGGAGCAAATGTAAAGCGGTGCTTAAATTAATATTGGCGGCGGCTGTTGTCGAGATCAATGCCACTCTAAATCTTGAGTGTAAGCAGTGTTTGTGAAGCTAATGAGAAGAGAATTGGCAAGTAAGCAAAGACTGCAGCCTATTCTGGTCGCTATTTCTCTACTTTTGTAGTGAGTTTTAGTATATTGTCGACTTGGTCGCTCTGAATTGATTACCTCGTTGCGAATTCAAATGCAAAATGTATAATTAGCATCGCAAGCAACATAGCATATAATGCATTAAAAAATCACGCTTTATTCAAATGCTATAAATAATATCAAACACTTCATGGAACTATGCGTGTGGTTCTTCGCAAAGATCTGGGAGCATCCGAATAGCACAGTTTTAACCAATGCACAGTCAAAATTTGGAAATATCATGTACTCTTTAGTTGATGTCGATTGTGGAAAAAGACACACCACTGCATGTAGCCATTCTTCATGCGGTTTAATTAGTAAAACACTTTATCAATGTAAACACAACTGCGCTGACTATGACAGACATGTTAATTTGCACCAGAACAGCTTTAGATAAGAATTTGCTAGTATCATAGGTATGATCGCTTTTGATAGGGTAGAACGTAAAGTCGTTCAATGGACCATATCCTAGATTGATGTCTTGACATTTCAACAATTGCCCCCATTCGGCCATAGAATTGTTTCTGTCCGTGTAAGATACAAGCACGGATTGTCGATAGATGGAGTCGTTATGATCTGGATTCAGCCAAGTCTTGCGGTACTTTTTTGTTGTTAGCATTGTCAAACCAGTGTAACGCGTGTCATCCAGAAAATAATATTGAGGTAAAAGATTGAGTTTGCCACCACAATCAGCCTTTCTGTTCAGCTGAATCTTGTCTCTGCACGGATTGATAGTGATTTGCTCCTGGATGCAGTCTTCACCTGATGTCTCATAGGGATTCTTGTTACCGGCTTCATCAAAGACAGGAAGGAAAGAGCAGCGCTCAGTGCTTGGGTCATTCAGAGCTGGTGTACCAGCAATAACAGCCAAGCAGAGTGAATTCTCCCAGTAAGGAAAGTTTGTTGGATTGTTAAACCATATCTCGTATGCCACGTCATCTGCTGTTTGCTGTGAAAAATAGGTGATGATTGACATGCCATGATCTAACTGAACCTCGGCCTTCGCCCCCAGGTTGTATTGATGACTGGCTTGTACGTAGACGAGCAATGAAAATAAAAATGTACGAATGGACCTCGAGAGAAGCATGACAGTCAATGTGGTTATAGTGTTTGTTAGGCTATTCATGACATGGCCTATTTATATGTGAGATGTGTGCATGTTGTCCAAAGGTAACAATGAACAAGCAATATCATGCTAATCTGTATCACCATCACAAGATGGGAAAATTTAGCATTAGTTTTGATTTCAGCAACCGAGAATACAACCACTCCTTTATCTCTTTACAAAAACATGTTGTTAAATACATTAAAGTGGGCTGGACTAGCTGTTATCACATCTTACCTAGTGACAAGTAGCAAACGTCAGACAACATTAGGCTCATTGGCCGATGGTCCTCCTGGCCCCTTTCTGCCTGATTTCTATCCCAATGGCACCGATTTGGAATTACCTCAGGGCACAATGAGATATTGGAAGTTTGGTAATGAGGATGGAAACCGCGTCGTATTGATTCATGGTATCTCAACTGGTTCTGCTATCTATGATAAACTCGCTCGGGATTTGGTAAGTTGGCCATGTAAACATGATAAGCAATGGAGACTCATTTTGGAAGCAAAGGCTGACAATGGACATCATGTTCTTGTGTACGACCTTTGGGGTCGTGGTTATTCGCAAGCGCCTGCAGCCAAATATGACGAAGCGCTATATACATCACAGCTTGCCATGCTCTTACAAAAAGTTGGATGGGATAGAGCCGATGTCATTGGTACCAGTTTGGGAGGTGGAATAGCCAGCAGTTTCACATCATTTTACCCAGAAATGGTGAATAAACTAGTCTTGCTAGCTCCAGCGGGCCTATTTAAAGTCGAGGACATGCCAATGATTTCAAAAGTTGTCAAACTGCCGTTTGTTCATGATTTTATCGTGAATCAACCCTATGTTCGTCCCCTGATAGTGGCTGCAATACAGCGATTTGCTAAATCGACTCGACTGGCTCAAACTGGTTTGGATCAAGATACCGAAGCAACAATTGCAAAGATCACTGACATTGCCACCTACCAATTTGCGCATCATCCTGGCTTTTTCAGAGCTTTCTTGGGTACTGTAGTTGACTTTTCCTTTACAGGTTTAGCCAAGAGATACCAGAAGATTGGACAGCTAAAGAATAAACCCGTTCTGATAATTTGGGGTGATAAAGACACGGTATGTTGCCAACAGGCTTGCAGACAATGCTGCATAAACTGACAGTGTTGATTCTAGACTGTCCCATTCTATCATAGCGAAGAGGCACAAAAACTCATTCCTCAAGCGAAATTAGTAGTTTTGAAGGACCAGGGGCACGATGCGGTGATCACGAAATGGAAATCTGTCAATGAGGAAATTGAGAACTTCCTGATGGTGTAAATTTAGGTACTTTATTCAAGATATGATGCACTTTACATGGTATAATCTCAGAAATAAACATACCTATGGCTACTATGCTCATTTGTATTATGGATGATGACTATAGTATGTGGACATCAATGTCTCTTTTGAGCCAAATAGTTCAGATAGATTTCAGGTAGACCGTTTCAAGTTATGAAGGGTACAGTAAAGGATTATCATTTGATTCTGAAAGCATTTGACAGTTCAACTCAGTTCAAAGTATGTATCAATGCTTTATTCTTAAATTATAAACATGGCAAAAAGTACCAAGAATACGGCCCATAATAGTATAGGAGCACTTATCTGATTCAAACTACCTAGTGATGGAAAGTAACTGAAATCATAGCTTCCATCGTCATATCGAGGAAATACATCGAAATCCTCGACAGTACCATTTCCTAATTCAATGTTGCTACATGCAATCTTCTGGCGCCATTGAGAGTGAATATCAGCTTGATCAGTATAGGCAATGAGTATGGATTGGCTATGGATGGATTTGTACCAGTCTGGATTCAGCTTGATGTCATCCGTAATATTGAGACGACTGCTGGTGATTCGATGAAGACCGCGGTAGCGAGTGGAAGCCAAGGACTCGTATTGAGGAATGAGGTTCATGATGCTGCCGCAATTGTTGCTGATTTTGATCTTGTCTCTGCATGGATCCATTGGTATTTGATCCTTAATGCAAGTTTCTCCAAATGAACCAAAGACATTTTTGCGTCCAGAAGCATCAAAAGAAGGAAGGAACCCACATCGATTTTCATAATGATCTTGACCAGTCAAGCCAGGAGTACCGATAACGATGGCCAGGCAGAGAGCGTTCTCCCAATAAGGATAGTTTTCTGGATTGTTGAACCATGTGCTGTAAACCAATTCCCTGCGTGCTTGTGTAAAATTGACATAAACTGACATTCCATGATCTAATGAAATTCGAGAGATGGCTCCAAGCTCTTCATTCAATGGTCGCAATTGCTGCTCTTGTTGTTGGCTGTACTTGATGGACAGTAATATAAGAAAGGTAGTGCTGATGGTGGTTAGTTTCATTCTATTTTCAAGATAAGTACACAGTTAAAAGAAATGCAGATAACACTATGGTTGTATTTATACTTGAGGGTTTGTTGTCTCAATGGAAAACCTTTACAAGAACAATGAGCCAGTTTCTTGGTATAGCAACGCTAACCAGTCAATCTCGCTACGCTCAATGACGGCGTCGCCCTGTGGGCTCTCGCTAAAGACATTTTAAATCAGATATAATAAAATTTTGGTATATCAGGTAGGTTTTAAACAACCAAATATTAGTAAAAGAAAGGTTATATTAGAGCCACCAGGAGGAGAGGAGGTATCTCCCTCAGCATCCTTTTTGCTTACACTGATATCAAACGAAACCTATTATTGTGACAGTATGAAAGAAATTTCAAGTTTTATGCAGCATTCGTACATCACAATCGCCATTTTCTGATAGTAGAATTGTCATATCATTCGCTGCTGCTGATGCTCTTAATAATAAGATGGCGACATAAAGCTGGTCATAAGTAAATACAGGACTTGTGTAAGATCTAAAGCGACTTTTGAGATATTGTCATCGCAAAAGACACCTTCATGAGGAAAATCTCCCCCCAAAAAAGTATTTGGTCCAAGCAATTGTTCTTTCAATTCCATGATCCCCATTTAATCAGCATCGCAATCATCATTGTTATCAACAGAAGGGCATTTAGGTCAGCCAACAGCAAGCCGCCGCCAAAATCAATTCAAACTCAGTTTATTTTTCTGCTCAAGATTGGATAGATTTTGTCTTTTTTCGACTTCGTTAATGTATTTTATGATATTGGACTATATAAATTGTGATAATCACCCGATGCTTCCTAATACACTCTTGGAGTAACTCCTACACCTTCGTATGTCTGATAAATTCGCTCCTCATTGCACGATCTGCCCTTCTAGAGCTACCAACATAGAAACGACAACGCACTTTCTCTTTTCCTGTCCCATCAAATACACTGTCTGGTCCCAAGCACTCTCCACATACATAGACCCAGGTCTGCAATCTCCCACTTATGAGCAATTTCAAGAACTTCTCCTCCTTCGCTCCCCCCTTACAGTCTCAACATCTTCACCCTACCCCACTCTCACCACGTACCAAGTATTTTCTTGCATTCTTCAAGCAATTTGGAGCTGCCATTACAGATCCATCTTCGACTCCTTTCATTTTGAACCCCTCCAAGTCATGCTCTGCATAGACAGGGCACTATATACTTTAGATTCACAAGACAACGTTCACGCACTTCTATAGCAAAGCACTTTATATCCAGTCTTACTATCCTCTTCCCCACTTCGGGTACGTTAATAGGACTTTAAACAAAGAATTTTATTAACAAAACAATAATCTTCCTTAAAAAAAAAAAAAAAAAAAAAAAAAAAAAAAAAAAAAAAACACACACTCTTGGAGTACTTTTCAAGGCGCTTCCAATGATGCCAAGTAAAATAAATGTTTTGAATGAACTTAATGAGCAATTCCAAAAAATATGAAATAAGGTTTTTGGCCAAAATGTCGAAAGTTTGCATATAAAAACCTCATAAAAGTGGTTTCGGACGTTGCTTTGGATCGAGAGAAACATTTTGATTCAATATGTACCATAGTAAAAGTTTTCATTTTCAAGATGAAAAATGCGATTATTTGAATTTCGATGGAAATCATGAGGTACCCCTCATGCTTTTTGGTCGATTTTTGGTCTTTTTTTTTGGCCCAAAAAGTTGAGCAAAGATGTCAGGAAGTTACTACTACTAAAATGCAATTGTTTGGCATCATTCCGGTGGCTCATAAAGGTCTACATGTCAAGATATGAAGGCTTGAAAACTGTCAATTTTGGCTATGTATTGCTTTATAGCTTTTATTTACATGGCATAAATCACTTCTTTGGTATCTGCAATTTACTGGAAAGGCAGTTCTGTAGCTTGAGCAATTCTTATTTCGAATAGAGGCATATCGATTTTGGTAAAGCTGGTTCTTGCAGATTTTGATGCGCTATGTTGCTAGTAAGCTTATTAGCAATGGAAGTGAAACCCCGAATTTGCTGCTTGAATACTATGGTTTTGCATCTTCGCTTCGCTGCGATTAAGCCCTCGTATAGATCAATGTTACCAAGTGTTGGATTAGACGCCTTATTACCATGGCTTTGCACCTTTGCTTCGCTACGGTAAAAATACCCTATAAATCAATGCTATCAAGTATTGAATTAGACGCGTTATGTTCTTCCTCCAAAACCCCCCTCCCCATTGCCGACTTTGCTGGTAGCTTTTACTCACCTTGTACGGCACACAATTTTTTAAAATTTTGAAAGGATATGATGACTCATGATGTTCTTGTTCTCTGTATGGAAATTACCCTATAGCAACGATCGGAGCGAGCGTTAGGCAATATCATCAACCATTGAAAGCTTGTGGCTCTATTTAACGCTTTCATGTTACGGAAGAATACATAATATTTATTGATAGTATACTACATATACATGGAGTTATTAATTGTTCAAGACTTTGTTCTTCACAAGGTCAATCTGTTTTATGTCTCTATTATCTAATAGATTGAAAAAACTGAATTGACCTAATTCAATCTCTTTTTTGTTTTGTTTTCATGGTGGTTCTGTTGTCGTCCTTGAAGAATTCAATACTTCTCTTGCCACGTTTGTCACATAATCGAGTTGAACGAAGCTGTCGTATTGAGTGCTCTCAAGCTTAAATTTTGACAAAATAAGCGCCCTGCTTCTTGTTAAACATGGCCTGTAAGTCTTCAGCAACAACGATTCTACGGGCGAAGTTTTGGGCCCAAGATCCATTGACAATGATAGGTCTTTTTAGTCATTTGAGTAGAGCACAACCTTGTTTTCTTGAGATTTAAATCAATGTGAGGTCAAGAATAATACGGTATATCCATTAGAAAAAGGACATTTAGGATGTAAAATCGCGCCAATTAGACAGAGTTCTAAGCAAAATGCCATTGCAATGTACTGCCCTGTGTTTGGCATTGCGTTATTTTTTGATTTTATATGACTGAAAACACGCAAATCATGACGGGAATCTAATAGCCAAAACGGCACCCCTTTAAATCAGAGAGATACCAAATGATGACTATTCTTCTTGTCATCATTTCTAACGCATGTTATTTTTGTATCATAAATAACATGTATGATACACATGCTTAACAAGTATATAACATCCATGAAGGACACAGCAGATTGGTTATATGCATGCATATAACATACGCATCGTCTTGCACCCAATATGTATCTCTCATTAGCTATATTTCTTTGATCGACGTAAACAATGGGCCACAATTCCAGGTAGACGATCAGCTATAGACACGGCTTAATAGCAAAAAGGCACCTTGATATTTACACAAATGCTGTAATGATGAGAAGAAAAAAATACAAGGATTTGGTGCAACATTCACCAAACACGGTGAATTACAAACAAAGTAGATTATTTGTATATAGTATACAAGCAATGATATAACCGTGTATATTATTTGGAATAAAGTTTGTAGATAAAACCCTTCTTACTGTCTTAATGTAATATAATAGTAGAATCCCTTGAATGATATGTATTGTCATTGCATTTGCGCAACAGTTACTTTACGCAATGCAATCTTGTCAACAACCAAGTATCTTTAGTGAAAATGCGCATACACACGTATTTATCATGAGCCTTCCACTAACTGTACGGCTAAACCATAACCATAGCAGAAAATCGATTTTTGCTTCTTCTGTAGTATGGAAATGTAAGCAGTAATAATCCTCCAAATATGGGTAAAAATGGCCGTTCTTCCAAGCTATTGTGCGGTGTTTTACCTATTATGGTAGCCTATCAGATCAGTGAAAATAGAATATATACTTGGATACGAATTGCATTGTAGTAAGTATGAAGAGCTATACGAGGTTCCTACATTCAAATGGACAGAGAAACACAATTGCACACATATTTATGTCCTGTAATCGTATGCCTATCGATTATTTAAAGACATGTGTTAAGCGCAATGGCCCCAGTGTAACACTTGAAGTGTAATCATTTAGTGTGGGTTTGCTGCTGTGTGAAATGTTTTAGCAGAGCAGGTGTAGCAGCGGATAGCAACAATAAAGCCAACAAACGGATACACCCATAGCCTCATATAGAGCTCGATGCATTCAATTTGTGCTACTGATTTGGATGCTCACATTAATGTGTGCAATGCAACATCCGGTAAATCCATTTCTGCCTAGACAAAAAAGATATAAATACCCCTTTCAGATTTCCTTCCATTGAGAAATTCAACATCTTTCTTTCAAACTTTTAGTACAATATGGGAGTTATCTTGACTACACTTCGATGGGCAGGCATTGCTTTGCTTACTACTATTATCTACACATTAAGCAAGCGCAAACAGACATTGGATTCCATGATTGTTGCACCGCATGATGTCTACACTCCTGATTTCTATCCTGGTGGTCATGATGTGGAATTGCCTGTAGCCAGAATGCATTATTGGTTGTTTGGTAATCCACAAGGTAAGAAGGTCGTCTTGGTCCACGGTATCTCGACTGGTTCCGTTGTGTGGGATAGATTGGCTAGATTCTTGGCTGACAAAGGCCACTATGTATTGGTCTATGATACCTGGGGAAGAGGCTATACTCAGGCACCCAATGCTACCTATGACGAAGCTTTGTATACCTCTCAATTAGCTATGCTCCTGCAAAAGGTAGGCTGGACTAAGTGTGATGTGGTCGGTGTCTCCCTTGGTGGTGCTACAGCTGTGTCATTCGCCAACTACTATCCTGAAATGGTCGATAAAGCAGTGCTCATTGCTCCTGCTGGTATCATGAACAGTAAGACTGACATGCCGTTGATCTCCAGAATCATCAGATTGCCCTTTGTATACCAACTCATCATCAATCAACCTGTTTTCCGTGATTTTCTGCTGAAAAATGTCCAAGAATTCGCTAATTCTACCAAATCCAAGCTGACCAACTATCCTCAAGAGACCTTGGATCAAGGCAAGAAAATCAGCACTGTGGCCACCTATCAATTCGCTCACCATCCTGGCTTCATCCGTGCATTTGCTGGTACCGTTGTAGCATATCCATTGACTGGTTTGCATGGTAAATTCAAGAAATTGGGTCAGCAAGACAGGGATGTCTTGGTTGTGTGGGGTGATCGTGATACAGTAAGTGTCAATAGTGCTTACAGCTGAATTGAAACTAATATTTCCCGCTTATTTAGACTTGCCCTTATTACCCTGAACTAGTCAAGCAGCTTCTCCCCAAGGCCCAGCTTGCCATTTACCCTGAACAAGCTCATAATGTTTTGTCCACTCGATGGGAATCCGTTCATGACACTATTGAAAAGTTCCTTACTTTATAAATCTTATTTAATCTGTACAATAAAATTATATTTATTCAAATACATGGCTTGCTCAGCAATTCATAATCAAATTTCCTCGCTTTGTATAGTGGCAAGCAGGCACCAGGGGATATTTCATCAAGCTCAAATCTACCACAATTCCAAGTTAGTTGTCTGCTATCCTTCAATAGAGTGCACTTCCCTACCCTAGTTTTTTCATGTAAAATTTGAATGCGCCTTCATTTGCTATATGTACATCGCATCAGCTCACAGCTACTGTATCGATTCGTCCGCAGCATTACCTTTGAAAACTGTCAACATCACTTTATCCATTTTCCAGTAGGATCCAATCTGGCTCAATAAATTCATCATATGTTCGCCTAGGCCTTGGCCTCTGGCACTTTCAGTTATTTGAATCTCGTAGCTGCAACAAATCTAAGCACACGGTTCTTTCTACAACAAGCCTCAATCATTACCAATATGCACAATTTGCCATAATATCATCATCCATAGTCTCCTCCTGCACCATTTGAAAGTGTAAAAACCCTTTGATATCATTGGGATCTATCGCTGATCGAGCAATCAAATAACGAGCTTGAGGTGCCAGCATTTCTTTTCTCTTTTCTTCTTCATCCCATCCATCTTTTGATCTTTCATACCTGAGATAGCAATGAATTAAACCTGTCAAAACTGCGATTCTTACTATAAGCTTACATGTCCTGCAGGTTTGTTTTCACTAATTGAAATGTCCATTCGTGGAGTTCTCGGGGCAAATCATCCACAGAGTAGTAATCAATCACTAGGTCCAATTGCTGGCTATGCAAAGGTGAGTTACTATTGAATCACACATGGATGGCACTCGTGCTTACTTTTGGTATTTGATGGGCGAATCTAAAAATTGGACCAAGCATTTTTCCTGTCAAGATTTGAATAAAATATTTGACAGCAAATCTTTCTTTTCAGATCAAACCTTGTTGGCTCGATCAATCAAACTGTCTCTTTCGGTCTAATGAAGCTTTTGTGAATGACTATGCTCAATAAATATACAGTTGTATATTTTTGTACCTCATGAATTGGCATATTTTAAGTGGTTGATAAAGAGATGAACAGCTACAAAATGAGCAAGGGAATCAGTGACGTTTTATGCGCGCTTCTTCAATGAGTGTTTGATCACACTATGTTTTCTCAACTGATTGTTCACAGAAAAACACTCTCTTCTTCTTCTTTATCACAATAACAGTATGGCTACCACCTATTTACAACCAGAAGTGAGTGTTTCCAATGATGGAGACAAGATTTTATGCAAAGATCATGGACTCGAAAAGTGCAACAAATGTCAAGTGGACTGGACAGAACACAATTTGCTGGCTGCTACTTTAAAGCACGTAAAGGACTTACCACCCCCTAACGCGCCTAATCCCACTCGCAATGCTCAAGTCACCAGACTCAAGGAAGAAGGCAACAAATACTTCAAGCAAAACAACTATACAGAATCTATTCGCTTTTATACCATGGCTGTCGATCTATCTTGGTCTCGCCCACTTTGGGAACCTTTGGCTTTCCAATATGTTCGGGAAGAATTGGCTCCTGTTCTCAGCAACAGATCTGCTGCTCACTTGTCACTTCAAAACTACGTGGATGCATATGTTGATGCGGAAATGGTCACTCGTTTAAAACGTGAATGGAGCAAAGGATGGTTTAGAAAAGGTAAAGCTTTGGTTGGTCTCGGTAGAGTTGAAGAAGCTGCTGAAGCTTTTCAAACTGGTTTGAGATTTGATCATGAGAGTGAGGAACTCAAGAAGGCTTTGTTCGAAATTGGGCATTAAAAATAAAATCTACATGTGTTTTTTTTTCAAATCTTTATTAAAAAGCTATACAAATGTGTGAGTGTGAGTGTGAGTGTGTGCGAGTGTGGTAGTGTTTTGTGTGTAATTTAGAATATAGGGGGATGTTTGAATTATCTACGCAAAGAGGGCTCTTGATCTCTGACGACTTCCTCTTGCAACTTGGACACTTCTTGGATCTTGTTTTGCAATTGAATAGAGTGAGTATCAATCCATTGCAAGGATGATAAATGGGAGTTGAGAATTTGAACAATTTGAGAGACAACATCATCATCATCGCTGCTGGTAGCTTGCTTGGCGTTGCCCATCTTGTTGATCTCCTCAACCATGACATTCAAGTTTCTGTTGACATCGTCCAATTGGGAGTTGAGGCTCTCAGCTAAACCATATGCCTTTTCTCTTTGCTCATCAGCAGCTTGCATTGGTTGCTGCAGATTGGATTCGTCAAAGATGTCCTTGATTTGCTTCTCGTAGTTGTCAAGAATAAGGTTCAATTCCTCTTGTTGTGCGTTGATATAGCTCAAATTTTGATCAATTTCACGCTGGGTCACTTCAACTTTAGTCACATTCTCATGCAGGGTGGAAATCTAGGACATATCATTAGTATCCCATAGTAGCCAGCTGATACAACCAAATTACCTTGCTGCCATTTTCAATCAACTGTTGATCCCATTGAGCAACCTGGTTGGCTTGCTTGTGGAAATCCTTGGTTTGCTTCTCTAATTCCTTTGTCCACAAGTTGAGAATATCTTCCATGGATTTGTTCTTTAATGTAGATGGTGTAGGCACAGAGACTGGCTTAGCTGAGACAGCAGGTTGTGTAGTGAGAGTGGAGGTGCCTGTGCCGAGTGCTGATGTTGCTGGAGTAGTGCTGGCAGCGTTGGCAGTGGTGGATGTCGTGGTAGCAGCTAAGTTAACCCAGCATCAATATAATGGCTCTATATCCATTTTTATCTCTGTATCCTTACCAGTTGACTTTTGTCCAAATCCACCAAATCCACCGAGAGAGGGAGTTGTTGTAGAAGCTGTGGTTGAAGGAGTAGACGCGGCTGCGGAAGCACCGAATGAAAGTGTAGGTTTAGCAGCAGTAGCTGAACCGAATCCACCGAGACCTGTAAGGCCAGTAGAAGCAGTGGCAGCTGCAGATGTGGGAGCTGGTGTACCAAAACCAGAAGCAGGCGTGCTGGCAGTGGCAGAGGCAGCAGTAGCACCGAATCCACCGAACCCAGTAGCAGCAGGAGCAGATGTAGCAGGTGTACTAGCAGGAGTGGAAGCAGCAGCACCGAATCCACCAAATCCACCAGTAGCAGGCTTAGCGGCAGCGCCAAATCCACCAAAGCCAGTAGCAGCAGGAGCAGGTGTTGTGGAAATGCTGGCAGGAGCAGAGGCAGCAGCACCAAATCCACCAAATCCACTGGTTGAAGTTGTTGCAGGCGCGGAAGTTGTGGAAGCAGCAGATGTACCGAATCCACCGAGGCTACCGAATCCAGTAGTGGAAGCAGCAGGAGCTGAAGTAGTTGAAGTTGCTGCAGGTGTACCAAATCCACTAAATCCACCAGTAGCAGGAGCAGCGGCAGCGCCAAATCCACCAAAGCCTCCAGTTGCAGGAGCAGATGTTGCAGGAGTAGTGTTAGATGATCCAAATCCACCAAACGCAGATGTTGCAGGGGCAGCAGCTGGAGTAGCAGCAGCAGCGCCAAATCCACCAAATCCACCTGTAACAGGGGCAGTAGAAGCAGCTGGAGCACCAAATCCACCTAAAGTGCCAGTGGTATTGGCAGCAGGCGCGGTGGAGCTACCAAATGTAAATCCAGTGGTACCAGCAGCAGGAGCGCCAGTAGCAGCAGGAGCTATATTCAAATCGTTTAATGATTAGACGTTCAATTGAAGTGTATCATTGCGACATACTGGAAGCTCCAAATCCTCCAAATCCTCCAGTGGCCGGCTTGTTTTGATTGTTAAAGCTGAAAGCTACATGATATCAAGTCAGTTCAAATGTTGATTAAATTGGCCTCTGTTTCAAACATACACATCTGTTATAATTTTCTCTTGTAAGATGGGTTTATTTATAAGAAATGAATATCAAAGGATAGGTATATAAAGAGAGAGAAAGAGAAAGAGAAAGAGAAAGAGAGAATGAAAGACTACTGTTTTCATTTTGTCAAAACGCGTTCATGTTGGCAACAAGATTTTCTTCTTGCAACTGTGACGTTTACGGCTATGCTGTGACTTGATGGATTTGCCATGTCGTTTGTAACGAGAGAGAGAGAGAGAGATTTGATTTTGTGCAATTTTATCAATCAAGATAATAGCAGTGCTTCAATTGACATGATGTGGCGTGAGGTATTTAGGGTTTTAGTGGCATTGGATGTTGGGTTTGTGAGGTATTTTTTCTTGCTAGACAGTTTAGGACATACACATTTCTGATGAATGTGTCTCTTTAGCCGCTGTTCTCGACATTCATCGCATTGACTGATTGGTCTTCCTTTTCTCTTGACTATCACCAAATGTCTTTCAGTATGATCGCAACGAGAAGATCTATGGCCCTGCGCATGGTTGAATATATGTGGGTCACTCGGTAAATATCTGTCGTCGTCTTACCTTGATGCATTCTGGAAATTTCAAGTTCAACATTGGGGCAAGAAATGAGTCATCTACAGCATACATCGATACAAAAACTTGACTTACTTTGACAAGCGTACTTTATGTTATCAATGACAATCATGATATGAATGAGACGAAAGAGAGGAGAAAGCAAAAGAAAAAAAAGAGGGTCGAGTGTGTTATTGTATATAGAAGCGTGTGTGCGTATATATAAATGTGTATGAGTAAATAATTATTAAACAGTTTTAAGGGGTTTTGTATGTAAATACAGTGACTTATTGAATGAGAAGATGTAGAAAAGAGAGAGAGGCAGAGTAGAACGGATAAGCGTATACAACCCTTATTTTATAACTGTAGAAAGTTATCAAGTTTGGTTTATTGTGCTGCTCTCGTTTCCCCTCAGAAAATAACTCAAATCAGATATTTGAAAAACGAGGCAGTTTTGCGATTTGAGCTATCGTTCCTGATTTAGACAGTAAAATGAGGAGATATTATGCTCCTTTTTTTTGGGCATCGTCATGATACATTTTAATAATTGACTCTGCGGATGATTGGATTCCATTCTCTAATATCGAGATGTGTTCTGCTCTACTATCCAAATGCTCTTTCTTTGGCAGAGAATTGATTGACTCATTTCAAGGAGTCTCCTTGTTTTATGCCCTTTTGTGTTTCATTGTTTGAGTCAATTTTGCTTGAATCAGATATACTTATCAATGCGCATTTTACTGCAGATGCGTTTAATTGCGCAAATCATTCCTAAATTTGACAAGCAAATTTCTCGGAAATGAACGCTGTGATGCACATCATACATCCTCGCTTCGGCGCAACAAAGGGCGTCACACGGAAACATAGTTGTTCCCTAACCCTTCCCTCAACTAATCTGTAAACGCTCCCACAGAACACGCTTTATTCTAATATATAACTTTTTCATCACAACATTGCGAAATGGAATCTCCTCAAAAAGACGCAATCACAAGCACGATATCGTTCAAAAAATCAGACTTCTCTTTTGTAGAAGATTTTAATCAAATCATTGAACTCATTTTAACTGGAAATAACTCTGATGCTGTTGGAAAATCTGTTGCTCAACTTGAGGAAAAGTTTGAAAATGCAAAACAAGTGCTTGATTCTCTACCTGGATTGCAATATACAAAAGAGGAGCAAGAGGCCCTTTTAGCTGAAGAATTAAAGGTGCTAGAACACAAAAAGACTCAACTTCAGTCCTACAAACAAGTGAACTAAAACGCAACAAGTACGCTCAATACCCATATTCATTAACATGTACATGACGAATAAATCATATATATATATACTACAACATGTCATTTATATCTGATGTGGGGCCACAGTTCAAAAGCGATATGTATTACAGTGTCAATTTGAGAAATTCATGGCGAGCAAAATTCTGTCTGTGTGTGATGTAGTAAAAGTGCTATAAATGTTACCTACCTTGTGCAAGTAGATTTTGTTGAGATTCCATATATCTACTCGGTACATCATTCAAGGCTTGCTGATAGCATAAGAGATGCAACCGAGGACTTGTACAATTGAGCAATTGTAAGATCACTGTATTCAACCCTTGAGATAACCTAGCGAACGGTAGTCTACCAAGTATGATTGCAGACATTCAACTGCGTTATTTGATTCGATAATCTTCGAAGAAAATTTTACTATCAAGCAATCTACAAGGTCGATGCCTGCACTCTCCATTTCATTTGCAAGTCGTTACTGATGTCAAAAACTCTGCAGTGATACCCTATTCATAAAATTGCCATAAAAATGATATCACACGATTTGTGCTAAGCTAGGGAGACATCAGATCTAATTTAAGCAGATACTTATTAATCAAACAAGCAAACAAAAAAAGCTTGTATAGCTTGAAGAAGTGAAATGGCAAATATTTGGAATTTAAACAACTATAGAGCCCATCAGCAATTGAGTCTAGCAAAGTCAACCACACTGCACGTTATAAAAGTGTTGAGTTGATCAACAAAATGACCAAATGTTATTACACAGCATCCAAGAAGTAATCTAAACATCGCGGTCAGTTTTGCCTCAAGGCAACATCCATTTCAGTTCGTCGAATCTTCTCAAAAATATTTCTTTGTGAAAATTGATATCGGATTCAAAAAACATTGCTCAATTATACGTCCTGGAGATCCAGCGAAATCATTATCAGGGCTAGCCACAAGTTCATCCTTATAAGGAATTTTTTGCAGCCCAGCTAAAGTTTTGTAACTCCGCTACTCGTTTCGGACTTGAATTTGAAACCCCGACTCAATCAGAAGCTCAAAACTGCAAACCAAATTTGCGTAGGTAGCATGGTTGTTGAAGAAATCGGTGATTTTAGAAAATGATTTGTGGAATACATCCACTATGATCTGCATTCCAACAGTTCATCCAGTTACCTGATTTAGATATAAACTCTATGTACACTGGATTAGATGTACGATATCGATTTATACTATAAGAAGATATGGACTTCAGATACGCTAGTACTATGATATTCATACTATATAAGATATAGGCTATAGATGGCACCACGGACATGGATGGCACTATAGACTTATACTTGTATTCCGACATTGACTACGGATGTTTACCATATCTGGATAGGCACCAAGATTAATGCAATATGAGCTTGTTGCTTCAGATGTGCACTTCATGATCCACGCTATAAGACACATGCTTATATCCGTGATACTAGCTACAGATACTTTATGTACTACAGACTTGTACTATATATGAGACATGCATACGATATGCTATAGACATGCCATATATCCAGATACATGCTAAAGATGTATGCTTAGCGATATACACTCAGATATTTACTATTAATATAGACTAAGCAGACTGTACCTATCGTATACATGCTACTAGATCGATATTAATTATCCTTATAGAAAGGATAGATCAGAGTACTTCGGATGAGAGTCTAATTATTCATCCAGACAGAGCTAAATCATGATTAGCTTGCTGGAGTTGTCTTTTAGCATGATTAGACATTAGTTGATCTGAGTTGACTTATTTGTCAATCTAATTAATAGAACTTTTATCCATTGTTATAATATATAAGAAGAATCATCTACCTGGCCAGTAGAGAGACTTCAGTTTACTTTACATCTGTTAGTTTGATAATAAACCTGCTGCCTTTATCAAATTGACGTTATTGTTTTTTTATTCTTTTTTTCCGTGAAATTAGTCTTATAAAGCCTCAAATTACACAGCTGTATTGGTCGTCAAATGATTGAGCGAATAAAGTGTAAAGTAATATCCAATACAAAAAGCCAGCAGTGTTTCGACGTTTCGACACTAGTAGTATTTTTACAACTACCAATTCAACCGGGCTTCTTTTCTATTAGTTAAATGTTTCTTTCATGTGTTTGCTCTACAAAATGAGATCTCGTTAGGATACCTACTATGATGCATTCTTTCAAAAATGGAGTTTGCCATGGCAAAACTACGTTTTTCGTTAATACCAACGGCAGAGAAGCGTCCATAAGTCGCTCAAATCTATAAAATAAATCCAGGGTGTATATTGACTAATGTTGGTGTACGACAGAAAACTTATATGCGCCACTACCATAGCAAAAGATAGCGTTTGAGTGATCGATTTTGGATAATTTGCCATTTCGGCAGTGTAGCTCTGTGAAGCCATTCCAACCCGATTTTAATACAGTCTGTGGATGTCGTCTCTTGTATCATAGAAATTGTACATATCACGGGCCTCTATTTGCTCAAATTTGATACAAAATTGCGTTGTTTATTACTCCCCTTCATTCCCCTCATTGTGCTGACAGCGACTCAGCGTGTTAGACATGAGCTATCATTTCTCCCGAATTATGAGTGTCCACCATTGTGAATAGGCTCCAAGTCTAATTTTACGTCTACATATGGCATCCTTGTTGTGGACGAGTATCAAAAGTAACCTGCTAATCTGTTGAGCATCTAATTCAGTCCGAGCAAGACATTAGCTTCAAATCTACATAATATTATTGACGGGCAAGTGTCAAGATTACTGTAATCGCGCATTTCAAAAAACAAGGTCTGAACCTTAGAACTATAATAAATGCGTATATTACTTGCAAAATGAGTTCGGTACAATGCAGAACATTTCTAGATCACCAGACAGAAGTGTAATTTATTGACTCTTCTGGCAACACAACCCACTACGCCGTAGTTTTAGGTCGAATTCTGTTCAAACCTAGCCATTTTCAAGCTCGAATAACTTATGCCACAAAGCCTTCTGAGCGCTTGGAATAGGGCCACACGCCTCCTCTTGGCCACGCTTTACTTCCTGATGCTTTATCTCAATTTTTTTTGGGTCGTTGCAAATGCATGGAAATCATCATTTTTTCATGTGTATTAGCAAGGGAAATCTCTCAAAAATCAAACGATCGCGTTTTTCACCCCCAAAATGAAGACTTTTTCTATGATACATATTTGATCAAATTGATCGTAAAGATGAAATGCAACACTAGAAACTGTTTATATGAGACTTTTGTATGCTAGAATTTGACATATTCACAGAAAACCTGTTTTCGTATTTTTGGAAACTTCTCATTATTTTCGGTCTAAAAGCTGAATGAAATTAGGATCATTCAATGCGGCTTTAGATATCCAAAAATGTATTAGGAAATTGGATGTGACAACGATAGTTTTCATTGTTAAATTCGATAAAAACGTTCAAAGGATGTCAAATCAAGTCAAGTTTGAATACGAAAATACCGCTGCACAATTTCAAATTAAATGGCCGCAATTACCGCTGCTATAATACACTACTGAAACTAAATCTACAGGCGGTGACGTCGGATAGGGTGCCCTCTCATCATTTTTCCATACCCTCATTTTTTTCCCTTTTGCAAAACGCGTTTAGCATCAAACCATGGTCGTTTTGGAAACCGTTTGGTTAATAATAACACTCTAGCTTCTGATAACACTGTCTTGCACTGCCAGAAAGACTTGTTACTGCTTCTTTGAAGTGAAATATAGTAGGTACCATGCAATAACGAGCACTAGAAGACGTAGAATTGGCACTAATCGGATTTGTTTATTAGGTTTCGCTAATTTTTTTTTGACTGTTAGATGTGGGTGCTGATTCCATTATTACTTCTCTGCTATCTCTGCTGTCTGCTTCTTTGGTTTATTATGTCCGGTAGCTGCTTCTTTGGTTTGCATCTCTGGCAGTTGCTTCTTTAATCTTTGCCTGGTCTCTGGTATCGCTCGTTGTTCGGTTTTTCTAAACTGCTGTTATTGCTATTGGCGTTGCTGCTGCTATTGCTACTGATGTTTCTGCTGCTACTGCTAATATGGTCCTTCCTGGTCTACTGCGTTTGCTGTATACTTGTTCTCTGGTCTATCTCTGGTGATTGCCTGTACTCTCCTGGTTTGTCTGTGGCGGTGATAAGTGGTAAGTAACTTCTTTGGTCTTTGTCTGCTCTCTGCTGATGGCGTTCATTCTTTAGTTTTTCTATGGTGCTGGTGTTGTTGCTGCTGCTGCTGCTGCTAATATGGTCTGTTCTGGTCTACTGTATCTGGTGCCTGCTCGTTTTCTGGTCTATCTCTGATGGTTACTTATATTCTTCTGGTCTATCCGTGGCTGTGGTAAGTGGTAAGTATCTTTTTTTCTTGTGGTCGCAATGATATAAGGCTTCTCTGGACGTTTGTATTATTGCTTCCTTTCTCGTGACAATGCATTCGTAATGTTTGCTTTCTTGCGCTTTTTTCTTCTTCTTTTGTTGGCTGTGATATGATCAGCTCAACAGGTGCTTGCAATGTTGTTGCTTCTTATGTATGAACAACAAGCATGATGTGCTACTATATATCTGTATTGCCGTTGTAATACTACTTTGTTATATGGTCGTGGGTTGTTGTTTGTATTGCCTCTGTCGCTTCACATGAAACAACATTAGTCATTACGTTGTATTGCATACTTATATTACTGCTGTTGCTCCTGCAATTGTGCGTGTTTGTGTTGCTTTACATCCGACTATTACCACCGTGCACGTTGTTCATGTATGCATTTTTGTTGCAACAACAACGAGCTGTTCTGAACATCTTTGATGTTGTATTTGTTGTTATGCTTTTCTTTTGACTCGCTTTTTTTGTGTGAGTGTTCCTTTTTTGCTTACATACTACCATACTTCTATAGTATCGTAGCATGTGATTTTCTTTTCTATTGTTATTATTATGTTTCTTTGAAGCATATCTTTTTTTTTACGTTGTGTGGATGTGCCTATCCCTGAAGCCCAACAAGACTTTATCCGAGGCTAGGAGGTAGATAGGCCGCCTCCACTTGGTTACCGCTACTTACTTTAGTGATGACTGAGAGTCTCAATGCCAGAATCTAAAGCTAGGTGGTGTAAGTAAGGCATGCTCTAGCACCTGGGGGAAATTTGATGATAGTAAAGGCTATATTGCTATATAGCGGAGCTTAAAATTTTGCCTCACATCAAAACAGGGGGAAACCCTCGCAAAAATTTTTTGAGGTCAGCGGAGTTTTCAAGCAATCTGATTGGCTCAGGATTCGAAACGGCGAAGGATCACAACTAGTTGATTTCATATTGATCTGTTATCTATTATAATTTTGTGTTTGTAATAAAAGAACTATAACTAAATAAATACAATCTATATCCTTCTTTATTTAAAGTAAGACAAGGTGCAAGCACTTGCTCTAGTAACTATTAAACTGTTTCATGTAAGAGGCATTCCTTAAATTCATTATATAGGGAAGAAAGTTATATAATAGGCGCAACACTGCACTAGGTGCCAGCTTTTTCCTGTACCAAATGTCCCTGCGTCGTTTATCATTGATTTCAACATGTTTCTATTGCATTGGTTGCTGTTTTTTGCCTCATATCGAAGTTTGAATGTATAAAGATGATTCCAATTCTGATGTCTGAACTCTGAAAGTAGTATGGTGCTATAGCGAAATGTTGCGAGAAAAACGACAGTGTGGTTGGATTGGAGGTTGGATGGGCGGTTGCTGATGACTGATGAGAAATCGATAATATTTCAAATAAGCCAATGTTAATAAGCCATGACCTTCATACATAAGCAAAGTACTGCAGTGGCATTCATCATTAAAATGTTGTCATATGGAATGATCAAGATAGAACGAAGGCTGCTTTGTGCTCCTGAGATACTCATTAAACTGTTGAGGTTACATTAAATCATGCTGCGACGATAGCCCATCCAAGCCCATCAACGTTACTGTAATCGGCCCTTATGGCCAGTGCTCTTGCATTGAATACTACTTTAAATCAAATATTACAATAGCAACACCACCTATTGCTCTCTATCATCACTAATCCTACGAGCTAGCTATAAATTAACTACTCTCTTTTTTTTTTTTTTTTACTCAATTCCAGGATCTTCGGTTCATTTTATGCGCAAATAAAATACAGTTGAATTCTATAAAATTTTATTATTGCTTTATATCTTTCTTTTGTAAAATTTCTTAAACCTGATTTCACTGCAAGACTTATCTTTTACTTACCATTTACAACAATAATAGAAATGAAAAGCCAAATTTGCTGCTTGAATACTATATTAGTTTCACACCTGTGCTTCGCTACTGTAAAGCCCTTACTAAGATCATTTTTATCAGGCGTTGGATTAGAAGATGTTTGTGATTTATCTATCAAAGGACAATGTAAGTGCAGTAAAAAGGGGTTAAAAAACAGATAGAATATTATTATTACATATGCTTATCTGTTGATGGCAGCATAGGTTGATTGAGATGACATTTATTTTGGGCTCTGTTTATGATGGAGATATAGTCTATTTCACTTCAGTATGAATCGAATCTGTAAGAAAGGTACAGTTTATATAATGAATAGAATAATATGAGGACAGTTGTCTATACTAATGGATCCAGGGTAGTAATAGGTGGTAATGGGTAGGAACTCATTAGATGCGACAGTAAATGGATAAAAGATGTCAGTATGTTATATAACATGCTTCATTGGAATTCTGCTATAAAATGTGTTTCATTACTGTCATCTTGCGTATTTCAGGAACGATTATCTGTCAATCTACTTCCAAATGCGAAAGTTGTAATTCTAAATCATCCTCATTCACTCTTGGAATAGTAAAATAGATATATTCAGCTCTAGCTGTATTTTCTCTGCATATATTTCATTATTTTAAATAGTGCTGATGAAATATTCTCCATAATTTCGATCCCTTAAATTTATGTGAAAAAAATATCAGGATATATCTTGTGTTTTGAAGTTTAAACAGGTATGCGTTCAGTATAGCTGTTTCGTTCTGAATCTGGTTGACCAGCTTGTCCGACAGTATAAGTTTACTTTTAATGCCAAGTTCATTCACAATGTACATTCGCTAGCTCAAAAACAACTTAAAAACAACTTATAAACATAAAAGACCTCGAAATCTCTGCATATCAATGGCGTTTGAATCTATTGCGATGATGTGCTTCATATACATTATAGTGTAGAAAGAAAGAAGACGTCTTTAAACAAACAACATTGTAAAAGCAAATCGCCAAGTGAATGAATCCAATGATCAAAGCGCTATGATGCTTGAGTAAGCGCATGCCATACAAGAGCTTGGAACAATTCTATAGTAATAACAGCTGCTGTGAAATCAAAAGAGCTGAATGTTGATTGAAATTCTAATTGTGGTTAATAACACATCCACCATAAACTAAAAGTTGAATCAGTGTTTTGTAACCGTTGTAGGTTGATACTACAGTATATAAGATTAGCAATAAGATGATTGGAGCTGTAAAACCAGTATTTGCTTTGTTGTGGCAGTGCGTTATCAGCAATGAAAGGCAATGTTGATGATAATGTATATTGATTTTATTTCGATACATAAACTGGATCAAGCCAAGCATGTTCAAATATGATATGGTAACATTCCCATTTGAGAATTCGTTTTTTACAAATGCTATTCGATGCATTCTTTTGCACGCAATCTAATGTTGCATGCATGCTATGATACATTTGACACTAAAATGAGCTTGAAAAAGCAGCAATGCCGCTTTTGAATCAATCACGGCCATTTAGCATAGGCTCGCCTTTGTGTATGAAAATAGGAGGGGCAACAAGATGCTACACAAACAAATCCATTCGGAAGCAACACCGTGTATGTGTCACCTATATTCAAGGTTGGATGTTCTTAAAACTTTACATTAGGTTCCCCTTTTTTTGCTTCCTTTCTCTCTCTCTCTTTCTTTCTTTCTTTCTTTCTCTTTTTAGTTTTTCTTTTTGTACATAAGCAACTACTGCGCACATAACATGACTTCAACAGCAGTTAGGTGAGGTTTAATATAAAGCCCTCCATGTTGAATGTTTCTTTTATTAAATGCATCGATACAGAGTTGGATTACGTGTGAGACCTTTAACAGAAAAGGAACAGATCAACAATTGCACAGAATGCCTCTCATTTATACCAAACGAACCACAAATATTAATTGGGACCGATAAATCATTCACATACGACTACGTATTTGGCACAAATGCAGACCAAGCACAAGTCTATTTAAATGCTGCCTCCCCTTTGCTACACAAATTCATTGATGGGTATGTGTTTTGAAGGCTTGTTGTGTGAAAGATTGAGTATTCACCCTCCATGTAAACAGTTTTAATGCAACTATATTAGCCTATGGGTAAAGAAATGACAATTCCAGTAGATGAGATGTACATTGCATTCTCACTACTTTGCTTACAATATAGCCAAACTGGATCCGGAAAAACATTTAGTATGGGTACCAGCTTGGATAACAGTGTCAGTGCTGAAAATGAAGGTTAGTTTCGTTATGTGTCCCTGTATCTCTGCCTCCCTGTGGGATAGTGTCTCCTCCCCTTTTACTAACGCACTGCTTACACAAATAGGCATTGTGCCGCGCTGTATCATTGAGCTATTTCAAATATTAAAAGCTCGAGAAGCACAAGATCAAGATTATAAATACGAGGTCTATGTGTCCTTTCTCGAATTATACAACGAAGAGTTTATCGATCTATTGAACAATCCGCAGCAGCAATCAAAGCGAAGATTAACATCATCGCAGCAAAGCCTAAATGCTCCTGCAAACAACAACCCAAATGAAGTGTCTATTAGAGAAGATATCGCTGGAAACATTTACTGGAGTGGAGTCAAAGAAGAACTCTGCTACAGTCCGGAAGAATTATTAGGGTAAAAGCAATAGACATATCTCGTACCTACTACACATATTAATCATCATACGTTTTCATTCTACAAACACAAAATGAAGGTTCCTCGCACAAGGTTCGCTAGGTCGCACAACGGGATCAACTGAAATGAATTCCGTATCTTCTCGCTCACATGCCATCTTTTCCGTTATTTTAAAGCAACAAAAACCAGAAGACGACCAAGATGGAAAGCGAGTGACAAGGTCATTAACAAGCAAATTTCATTTTGTCGATTTAGCAGGCTCTGAACGAGTAAGTAAAGCTAACCACCCCACCTTTTGAAGCTTTGCAGCTAATTTTGGCCAAATTCAGTTGAAACGAACACATGCTCAAGGTGACAGAGCCAAAGAAGGCATAGCCATTAATTCTGGTTTACTTGCACTTGGAAACGTCATATCAGCACTAGGCGATGAAACGAGAAGAGCAACACATATACCATATCGAGATAGTAAATTAACTCGATTGCTTCAGGATTCGCTAGGTGGCAATAGTCAAACACTGATGCTGGCCTGTGTATCGCCCGCTGATACAAATTTCATGGAAACCCTGAATACTTTGAAATATGCAAATCGCGCAAGAAACATCAAGAATCGAGTTACGGTGAATCAGGATTTTGCGGGCTCCTCTATGGAGGTTAATCAACTAAAAGCACTTGTTTCTCGTTTACGCATGGAGATTGCATCTCTTCGTGCAGCGGATAGCTCTCATTCCGCAACGACCGCCAGCCATGATACTACCAGCAGCATAAGCCATTCAAATGAGGCTACCAGGCTCCGTGAAAAGATCAATGAAATGTCCAGCCGTATGATGCAAGTAACAAGCGAGAGAGACACCCTGCTGATGGAGCGTGAATTGGGTGAATTTATGCAGAATGAGAGCATGGAAGATGATGATCTCTTGGAGAGCGTGGTTGGTGCCACTCGAAAAATCAAGATACATCCCGTCATTGAGAAATATATGTCCACCATCCAGGAACTAACAGCCCAACTTGACGATACCAAGGACAAATTACGACATGTAGAATCACACAACTTGCAATTACAGAAGACCAGCAGCATGCTGCAACGATTTTCAACCAGTCAGCAACAAGGCAAAAAGAAGAATCACCGGAGCAGCGGCAGGCTTAGTGCTAATAACTCATCCACGACAAATGGTTATGCAGCCAGAATCACAGCTAAAGTAACCGCAAGACGCCCCATTCTTACTAAGAGCACTAGCACAGGCTCACGCAACGCCGATCGTCAAAAGAAGCATGTTCGGATTAGACAGCCTCGTTATCAAGCCAATGACGATGAGTTTGAGGAAGACGAAGGCTATGTGAATGATCTTCAAGAAGATGATGTACGGCATGAGGAGGTCAAGGAGAGCATTGCAAAAGTACGTGCAGATATTAGAAAAAGCTTACAAGTTTTAGAGCTAGTCAAAGTAAGGGTTTTGTTTTTTGTTTTTTGTTTTTTTTTTGTTCTCTTAGAAGCTCACTCACTTGTTATGATAGCCTTTAGATGACACTACAAACTCTTGGGAGGAAGAATTAAAGGTATTTTACAATAACACCTTGAAAACAACAACAACAAACCCCTTAAAAAAAAACTAAAATCACCCTGTCATTCAATTTGCTGTTAGGTTTTCGAAGCAGAGGAAAAACGCTTGCATGACTGTAAAGAAATGCAGAGAACTTCATCTGATGAAGGCAGGTTCTCTCTCACACCTTCCCCTACGGATAAATACGTTCACGAAATTGAGACTCTGGTAAAACATGAATTAAGGAGCTAGTTTGAATTCTTGTTATTAACCATGCATTGCTATTCAGGCCGTACCAACTTGGGAGAACGATGAGCACAATGCACGCGGACCACTGGCTGCTGAGATATCAGAGGAATTGGAGGATGATATTATCTCCATCAAGAGCAACACAACTGCAGCTACTAGTGAATATCAAAGCAAATACAACTCTCAGCTGTCTCGCATGCTGCATCAGATACAGTCTGACATCAAGGTCAAGGAAGAGCTTGTTTCCCATCTGGAAAAGTCGGAAACCGAGTTTACATTCATGCGCAAAAAGTTTGATGAAAAGATCAGCATGCTCCAATCCCAACTGGCAGACACCCAAAAGGAAAAAGACATGGCATTGATGCGCACCAAGTCTGGCTTGGCTATCCGATCAGACATTGTCAATCATCAAATGCAGCAACAGCAACAGCAACAGCAACAGCAACAACATCCTCAGCAGCCATCAAAGACAAGCGACAAGGACATTCGACAAGCTTACGAGACGAAAATGAAGAACCTCATGACTGAAATCCAAGAACTACGAAGAAAGTACGCACATGCCACAACCACCATGCAATCTACACGAAACCAGAATGAGTCCTTACTGAGATCGCTCAAGGTCAATGTAGAGACGCTCAAAGTAGAGAAAAAGAGGCTGGTACACCGCATGAAGTTGGAAGCTGACCGAGTCCGAGATCAAATATCCAAACAAGAACGAAGAATTCAGCAGCTGCAACGTCAACATGCTAAATCCAACCAGGCTAAACGACGATTGGAACGTGAACACGAGCAGCAGAAATCCACGCTCAAAAAAAGAAATGAAGAGATGCTGATCAGTGCAACCCAACTGAAGCAATTGACTGCCATCATGAAGAAGGCTGTGCGTGAGGGCGGTATTCTCGATGAAAAGATGCTCAGTAAAGTAACGCCCATCATGGGTGGTAGCTTTGCTGTCATTGCGCGTGGTGGTGGCCATGGTTTCCCGCGACGTTTGGTCAAGAAGAAGAGCTCGCTCCCATTGGATGTGCGTGTGTCTCGTAAAAAGGAACTGCTGGACAAGGCCTTGTATCAATACATTCAAGGCAAGCAAGCTGTGGTTGAAATGGAGCAACTCTTGATACGTAGAGAACGTTTGGTTGAAGAAAAACTAGAACTGGAAGAGGAGCGTGATCAAGTCTACCGTGTTGAAAAGGAGCACCAAGAAACCACTGGCCAGCCTATGGACACAATCGCTATTGAACTGATGGATGAGCGTGTCGATCTCATCTCTGCGGAAATCTCGTACCTATCTGCCCGAATTCGTACATTGCAATCGGAGGCAGCAGAGGAAGCCATGCTAGCAGAGGAAAGTGGTGCGCATGTCATCAAGCACACTAGCCCTCGACCACCCAAGCACGTTACATTTGCTGACGAGATTATCACGGAGCCTGTTGCCAACGACGACTGGGCTGATGTGGATACATTTGAGGACCAATTCACTGTGCCTGCCAATGCTGCCCCTGAAATGGCGTACGACATCACCTCCAAGCTTATCAAGTCATTCGAATCGGATGAATGTAAGCTTATCATTGAGAATCTTGTGGACGATATCATGGATCTGCGAATGAGCGAGTGCAACCGACAACTGACTGTGCAAAACCTGGAAAAGACTGTCATTGATCTTCGTCGTGCACTGATTGTGATGAAAAGAACGGCTATCTCAAGCACCGCAGAGAATGAACGCCGCATTCGCCATCTCAAGACAAGCGACAGCAGTGTCATCGATATGCTAATGATGAGCACCGACGACGATATGGACGATACCCACTCTCTGGACGAATACATGAACAATGGCAACACTATATTTGACAAGATTTACGAAGACGGCGTTCGTGGCTTGATCAAGGAAGCGCCCATCATGTCCCAGTCTCCTGCCTCAGACACCATGTACTCATCACCAGAACAGCAGCAACAAGTGAGCCTGCCCAATTCTCCAGTGGCTTCACCTCCCTACATCAGCAACGCATATCCCTCATCCGCTATAATGGCTGCCAATGTGGGTAGCAGTAACAAGCCACCCTTGCCTGTACAGATGATGGAAAGTATCAGCAAAAACACCATTTTACCTCGTGAGTCCACACCTTCACCTGACAGATTTTACAACATGATACAAAAGAGACTCTCCTGGCAAGCAAGAGTTTCCGGCGGTGAAACACTAACAGAGGAAGACGAGCTATTGAGAGCTGCTGCTGCAGTAGCAGAAGCTGCCACAACTGCTGCCAGCCCACCTGATTTTGAGCACTACGTGACAGACCATGAATCTTCTACATCGTCCATCCGCAGTAGCCACTTGAGACGATCATCCATACAGTCTGACATGTCTTCTTTGTCTTCTTGGAACCAGAAATCAATGAATCGTACCAGTAGCACCAGCAACATCAACATCACGGGATCGTCTCAGAACAGCAATCGTCGCCCACAACGAAGCATGCCGCTTCCGCCACCACCTCCCATGAGTCCTTTATTGTCGCACATTCCTCCACATCAGCAACATCAACAGATGGACGATCATCAGTCACCTTTATTTACCACATCTTGCCAACAACAAAGATTCATGAGACGACCTTTGCCCCCTCTTATGCCAAGCGTTTCTACCTTTGAAAGGCCAACGACACCTTCTGTCTTTGATCGGTTAGCCCACACACCTACACGTGCATCTAGAGCCAAAATAAACTACCGTCATAGCAGCAGCAGTGTGGATGAGTTGAGGAAACGATGGGAGCTGGATCAACAGCTACACCAACAAAGATCTGCGAGCGTCATGAGTGGCAACTATGTATAAACCTAACCATCTATTTTGCCATCTATTTATCTATTTACATATTTATTCTTATTTCCCAACATCTATCGCTATACACCTAACACTGTAAATTGCTGTAATAAAATATATTTCTCTCTGATCATCAATCATTGTAGTTGCTTGGGAGGACCTGGAATGCGTGATTGTTGGCTGAGGTAGTGATTATAAGCGATGCAATGCTTATGATATGCCTTTGATTTCGGTTATGGCGATCACATTTTGGGCCCATTGTCGTTGGATCCAAGTAGTATCGCCTGTTGTTGATGCTTGTGCAGTGGCTGTTGCTGCTGCTGCTAAATAGGTCAACAATTTTGCTCAAGTCTGCTATGATGTCGAGGATCAAGAGGGTGTTTTGTTGAAATGTATGTCTGGTTCATTAATTCGATTTTTCATCAGGACAACAGGAGGCTGGATGTCCTGTAGCATTTGGGCTTGAGAGTGATTTGCGGTGCTCGTCATGGCCGGGTTTGATCATATCAGTGATATTCTATATCCATCAAGAAAAACACTCGTTGAGATGCTTGAAATTGATGGAATAGACGAATGCTTTGGATGTTTAATCATTCTTGAATCCATAACGAGTGTGTCAGTGCGGCTGGAATGTGAATTGATTTAGCATGGCTGGCCATACTGAGCTGTAATAGAGACTTGCTAGTTTGGGCTACTTTCCAGGCTTCCTATTATATTGCAACGTCGATAGATATTTCCGCATGCTGCATCTACGTACAGCTTCTATGAATCAAAACGCTATACACCAAGAATTTTCCTCACTATTACTTACACTAGATAAATGAGCAATGTGAAATGGTAAATCATTGCGCTTTAAAGCTTTGGCAGAGTTCATGGCTAACTTTGGATTTGTTTATATGGATTTTGCTGCTTGAAATGATGATACTGGCAAAGCATAGGCATGAGGGGGGACCTTTGGGCAGGTGTTTTCTGCTTTCTCTGTGTTAATCCCATTGGGTATTAATATATAACATCCTGGTAAGTTTCACCAACCTCTTACTGAAATGAATCAAGCTTCATTTGATAGTATGGCTGTATACCATGTAGCATTACTCGTAGCAGTGGGGATAGCCAGGTAGTATTTCTCGATAAGATGGTTGTGCATCCCATGTTGTTGGACTGAGTGATGCTTAAAGTAATCTTGTAGTCGAATACCATCGCGATATGTTGTTTTTATTGTCTATTTCATCCTTAATTTTTACTTTTTCAGATTGACCAGCATGCTTCCTATATATGATGTATGTGTTGGCGTATTAAAGACGTAAGAAAAAAATAATGAAACAAGAAAAAGAAGGGGAGGGGGGGGGGGGGGGGGAACTTGGATCCAGCCCATTTCCTATTGTTACAAAAGTTTTCTTCCAAGCTCCTTTTGTATGGCACACTCTAGAGATCAACTGCTCTTTTGATAGATGAACAACAGCCGTAGTACATCAGAGGAGCGAATTGCTCAAATGTAGGCATTTAGTGCCTCATGGATTACAGATTTTCTCAATCACTGGCAAGCAAATTATCAATATTATTTCATCATTTAGGATGTATAGCTAAATGCATTGGATTTGGTTTGCTGATTTTTTATTCATCATGCATTGTGAGTTTGTAGATGCTAGTAAATTTTAAGGAATAGGTGCGCAGCCTGCAGCAACACAACCAGTCATGCAGGCACCTAGAGCAGCGTTACAACCAAGGATGACGGCATGGACACCAGCGCCGGCGGTAATCGTTCCAAAGGCTAAACCAGCAGCAGCGTAGCATGCAACAGCGAGAGTGTTGTAACCAGTTTGGCAGATGCCATATGCCAAAGGACCTGCAGAAACGAGTGAAATAAACCCCAAGAGAGCCAAACAGTAAATGTACATCTTGAACATTTTTGAAAGATTGAAATGGATTGAAGGAAGCCAGATGCAGTTTCTTTCTGATTTAAATACTGCTGTGTCGTTATACGTTTGGCATTGATATCATGCATCAAAGCTTTGCCTCTTTGTTTCTGATAGAACTGTTGGCTGATACTATACAAACTGTTGAAAGTGTTCAGTCGTGATAGCTTTTGATGCATTAATGGATGTGCTTCACTGTTTCAGTTCAACCAGTCCCATAAAAGACATCGGTTCACCAATAGATCATTTAAAGGAAAAAGCTACTGTTCCGTGAACTAATCCAGTCTAGTATCTTGGAAATGTCTGATTTGACTTGTGGATTCAATGATGAGCGACAATGATTGGAGTAAATCTCCAAGCGCATTTGATGCAGCCTGGCATTTGATTGGATTTACAATGAGTAAGCTTGAATTGATTCTTTAAACGACTTTGTGTATCTTTCTTTAGGCTGAATGGGTCCCTGAATGAGCTACCGACATGTTTGGACTTTCACAGATAGACTTTCGATCACTTGATCCAGATCTATCAAAGATCTTTCTCACGGCCCATGTTGGATTTCCCAGTGAGCCAAGCAACGAACCAAATAAACTTTTTCTCCGCCATGATCATTGGGTGACAAGAGCCTTTAAATATCAAACAGGATTCTTATTCCCGCCTCGCCATTTAGGTTTCCTTTTCTCTTTTTTCAACATATTTCGGTAGGAAGCCATATCCATCTTTTCTACCATGGAATTACACCACATCAAAAACGAAAAATCGTTCAATAACGATCCTACATTAGATCAAGTAACAGACAGCATCGTTGGTAAATACTCACCCGAATTGACAGCTGTCAAAAGAAAATGATTGAAGTAACCAACTGTGCTTTTTCTTTCCAGGCGAAGATGTGGAACATGACAAAGTCAGCTTCAGTCATGGCATAGATCGTGATAGCGATGGAGGCTCTTCTTTTCTCGCTTATTTCAACATTGTGTGCGTTGTTGCTGGTACTGGTGCTTTAGGCTTACCTTATGCGTTAAAACAAGGTGGTTGGATCGGTAATTACATCATGACAAAAACTGTTATACAACATGCAAAGTTTAACATGCCATTAATTTAGGCCTCTTTATTCTCGGACTAAGTTGGCTCTTCTCGACATGTAAACATCTCTTACTTGATCACATAGCATCATCATATTTTAATTGCAATGTCATTTAGATTCTGGTATCATCTTGATTCGCTGCTTATACTACAATGGTCGCACTCGTTTGTCATCCTACCAAGAAGTTGCTGAAAGTGCTTTCGGAAAGATTGGTGGATGGGTTTCCTTCTTTTTCACTGCAATTACCTTGATCGGTGTGCCTGTGTTGTATATTCTGTTGGCAGGCCAAAACTTGCACGCTGTCTGCAAAGGTACCAGTGGTGAATTAACCTTCCCAATTTGGGTCATCATTTGCTCTGCTATCGTTACCATTCCCTTTGTCTTTTTCAAATCAATGAAGGAAGTAGGCTTCCTCAGTGCTTTTGGTATGCTCGCTACTGTGATTGTTGTACTGATTGTTTTGGCGATGGCTATTAAGGATAAACCCAACCATGTCAACGTGCATCATGATTCTGTTATTTGGGATCAATTTCCCATTGCTCTCAGTTCCATTGTCTTTAGTTTCGGTAAGTTGATCAAAATTTTATGCACTCCGAATTTCTTCCATTCCACAATTATGACTCACACTGCCTCCAATAGGTGGTAATCCTGTGTATGCTCATGTCGAAGCTGGTATGCGCCGCCCTCAAGATTGGAACAAGGTGGTATTTGGTGGTTTGACTACATGTGTATGTCTCTACTTTTTGACTGCCATCCCCGGTTATTATGTATATGGCGACAAGGCTGAATCTCCTATTTACAACAATATACCCGATGGAGGTGCTAAGGTTGCAAGTGCTGTGATCATCACTATTCATGTGTTGATGGCTTGTCCTATTCTGATAACCTCGTTTGCTCTTGATTTAGAAAAGATGTTTGGTATCTCTAGCTTCAATCATTCTCGCATTGTCGAGCATGCATTGCGTTTTGCTCTTCGTATGACTATGATTGTTGTCATTGCTGTCATTGCCGTCTTTGTTCCTTTCTTTGGTGATTTCATGTCACTGTTGGGTGCCTTTTCCAACTGTGCACTCGTCTTGATTTTCCCTGTGATGTTTTACCTCAAATTGACTGGCTGGCGTAACAAGAACTGGGGCGAACTCATTCTTTGTTTCTTTATTGTGCTACTTGGTATCGTTGGCCTGATCTTTGGTACAAAGTCTGCTATTGAGGCTCTTAAAGCTGATTTCCAAAGCGCTTAACAGAATTCATGCTATCTGATATATATACATATCCTATAAATTGTAATCTAGTAGATATTTGCCCTATTGTTGTTATCATAGAAGGAGAATAGAGCATCTCATGTGTACAATATATTAAAAATCTAACAATTTAAATTAATAAACACACGTTTAAAATCATTGATACTTGCATTATCCTGCTGCGCGTGTACTCAAATGTCATATAAGATACCTTCCAGCAATACTAAACAGCAAGTGTATTTCATTTTTTTTCGGATCATTGCATTCCCTTTAGTACCTGATACAAAAGGTTGATCATGATCCGAAAGGACATTACATAGATTTATCAAAGAAATCACCACGGCATTTTTTATTTTAGCACAGCTATCAAACAGTAATCCATAAAGAGTAACATTTCAGGATAACAACTTGGTCATTATATATACTGTAAAGCACTCAAAAAGCATATTCTTTCAAAGGCTTAAAGAATTGAGTATCGTACAGGGGGTGAATAAACCACGGGCGAAGCCGGCGTTGGGGATGGGGGTTGGAGGAGGTGCTAAGCTCATCCACCAAGAACATTACTCATCTAATTCAACATTTGGTAATTTTGACCTATGAGGCGATTTTAACGTAGCGAAGTGAAGGTGAAAAACCATGACAACTAAGCATCTAACCCAACATTTGGTAATATTAATCTTAATGAGGGACTTACAATAGCGAAGCAAAGGTGCAAAACCGTTACATTCAAGCAGCAAATTCGGTTTTTCATTTCCATTGTTAATAAGCTTACCAGCAACATTGCGCATCAAAATTTGCAAGAATCAGCTTTACCAAAATCAATATGCCTCCTATTCAAATTAAGAATTGCTCAAGCTACAGAACTGCCTTTCCAGAAGACTTCAGCTACCAAAGATGTGATTTATGCAGTGTAAATAAAAGCTATAAAATAAAACATAACCAAATTTGACAATTTTCAAGCTTTCATATCTTGACATGTAGACCTTTCTGAGCCACCGGAATAACGCCAAACAATTGTACTTGAGTAATAGCAACTTCCTGACACCTTTGCTCAACTTTTCAGGGACCCAAAAAACATGGCCAAACATTGATCAAAAAGCATGAGGTACCCCTCATGGTTTTCCTCGAAATTTGCCCTTCGGGGTCGCTGTCAGAGTGGTTTTCGCACCTGAAGCGTTTCAGTCGTGAGCTGCGCAATCGAGACACAAGGGTGCCCGCGCGGAGAGATAGCCATTAAAACTATCTCCGCTGAAGTTACAATCTTGAAGTCTATCCGGTCTGGTTTCGCCTGGTAGTTTGTGTTGGGACAAACATCTCCCTCCGTCTATAGTTGTTATGTAGTTATTATCACTCTAGTTTTCTCTTGCAAGTCACTTTGTTCACATACACTTGTCTCGTATTTTGATACATTTAAAGCCTTTATTGGGCGCCAGATTACTAATAAAGTCTTTAATATTATCCACCAAAAAAAAAAAAAAAAAAAAAAAAAAAAAGTTTTCCTCGAAATTTAAACGATCGCTTTTTTCACTTCAAAAATGAAGACTTTTACTATGGTATGTATTGAATCAAAATGTTTCTCTCTATCCAATGCAACTTCTGAAACCAATTTTATGAGGTCTTCATATGCAAACTTTTGACATTTTGGCCAAAAACCTTATTTCATATTTTCTGTAATTGCTCAATAAGTTCAGTCAAAGCATCTATTTTGCTTGGTATCATTGGAAGCGCCTTGAAAAGTACTCCAAGAATGTACTAGGAAGCATCGGATGATCATCATAGTTTATATAGTCGAATCTCACAAAATAGATTGATCAAGTCGAAGAAAGAACAATCTGGCCAATCTTGAGCGAGAAAAAAAATAAACTGAGTTTGAATCAGTTTTGGCGGCGGCGCTGCTGCTGGCTGACCCAACTGCCTTTCTGTTGATGACAATGATGATTGCGATGCTGATTAAATGGGAACAATAAAGTTGAAAGGACAATTGATTAGCCCGAATACTTTTTTTTGGGAAGCTTTGTCTCATAAAGGTGTCTTTTTCAAAGACAATATCTCAAAAAAAAAAAGTCGCTGTAGAACTTTCACAAGTCCTGTATTTGCGCATGACCAGCTTTATGTCGCCACCCTAAGAGCATCAGCAGCAACGAAAGGCATGAAAATTCTACTATCAAAAAATGGAGATTGTGATGTACAAATACTGCATAAAACTTGAATTTTCTTTTACATTGTTTCAATAATAGGTTTCGTTTGATATTAGTATAAGCAAAAAGGGTGCTGAGGGAGATAACTCTCCTCCTCCTGGTTCTGATAGAATCTTTCTTTTACTATTAATTGATTGAATTGTTTAAAATCTACTTGATATACCAAAACTTTATTATAACTGATTTAAAGTGTATTCGGCGAAAGCTCGCAGGGCAACGCCGACAGCGAGCGTAGCGAGATAGATCGACTAGTGGTGAGGGTATTGTGTATGCCACCATCGTATCTATTCCCATATGCGATGATATATTTCATTCCTAATAATCATTTATTTACACGGCTCATTTCCATGCTACTCATGATTTATAAATTCCATCTTCATTTATTTAATCTATTATTCTCCCAATAATCTTAAACACGGCTATCATCATATGTATCGATAAAACGACGCCTTCTGATTACAGATTAATTTCACTGATTACTCTATTCTAGTATATCATACATAGCTGACATCTCAAGTATCCCTTTAAGAAACATTCGATTTCTTAATTCATTTAAATTTTATTAGTGCCCTCCAGAAGATTTATTACAACAGCGGAGAAGCATATTAGACGCTAAATGTCTCCCTATGTTTCTACATTTAATAGCGCAGTAGATCCACAATGAAATGAAGCACAATTTTTTCTATGACAATGCCACATACCACCCATCGATATCATCATAAACAGAAATAGATGTCTACTCTTTCGAGTAGTGCTAATGAGCACAGTTGACTGCTGTCGCTTTGTTGCCGACGGTCAAACTAAGTTAATACAGTTCGTTCTCATCAGAGTCTTTCTTAGCTTTTAAACAGGCTCATTCCTATCGATGGTCTCTTTAATAACGTATTTAAAGCAAGCGTACATAGTGCAAACAACAAAAGCAGGTAACCTTTAATACATCACGTGACTCAAAACTTGTAAGTGTTTATATATCTGTTTTAAAATTTCTAAAAATTGTCAGATGCTTATACGTAGGAATAGTATATGCAATCTGAGATCTGATCGAGATAGATATAGATATAGATATAGGAATTGTGCAGGAATGTATATAGCCTTTTAGTTAAATGGATAAAAAGGTATCTTTATTAATATTAGATTTGGTGGATATTGATTTTATCCAATATAGTTTGTATAATGTTTTGCGATATCCAGGTTAATCGCTGTTTAATGTTCCTGGTAGCTGGCGCTCTAGGTTTAAACCTGCGCTTCTTATTCTTGTTTGTGTTTAGCCTGTCAATGATATCCTGCAGATCTAAATCACTGTCAGAATACTTTTCAACCCTGACAAAATATGAAATCCCGGCTTTGGCTCAGGCAAAAATTTATGGTTGTTTATTGATTACAATGAATCACAATGTAAAAAGTATAGACTTATATGCATGCGATCTTTGGATCATTAGTTGCAAGTCCTGAGAAGCGACGTACAGCAAAAAAGCTTAAATTGATAGTTTAATCTCCACGCAGGAACAACATGCAGGGACGACATGCAAGTGTCCAAAAAAGGAATAAGTCCTAAACTAAAAATTAAACTGGTAAAAAAGAAGTACAGGAAGGAAAAAGGAGTAAAACAAGTGAGATAAAAGGGTAGAGAATAGGAAGCTATGGTGTATGAGACATGCAATTGAGGATACCTCGATGTTCAGACAGCAGCGCAGACAAAATAAGCCCACAAACCTCAGTGGCACAAAAAAAAGCAAGAAAAAAAGGAAAAAACGAGGCATTTGCATATAGCAAAATGAGTAGAGAGACAAGGACCAAACGAGAAAGAAGCAGAGAAGGAGGACAAATGATGAATTCGTAATAATAAGTCGATGATAATAATCAGTTGTCAACTGTATCTAAAACGAAAGCAAAGAGCTTCTTTATTACAGGGCATCTAGCTTGCTTAAATATGGTAGATCCCTGCTCAATGACTACTACGTTGAGATGGTATATAAATAGCAGGCCACTGGGACCTTATGGATTGTTGGTATAGCTTGTTGAGAGGCCACCTAAGTCGATATGTTTCATGTTGTTGTGCCAGAAGGGCTACAACTGTCTATAAAGATTAAGGTATTCTTGATGGGTAGATATGTCTGTGTTGTGCAACAACATGGACAAGCTATGATAAGTGAAGTGCATCTCAGCTATCTAAATACTGAGGTTCACCAGATGTGATAAGCGTTGTACAAGATAAATTGCTACCTTGGCATTCAGAACTTAGTATAAATAGAATAACTCTTGTCTTCATCAATAAATCATTAGTTTTTGTGTCTGATCTTATTCAAATAAGTCTTTTCTTGTTTTTATAATATTGAACATTTTTTATAAGCTACAAATAATAATCCTTTTATTCTTTGTGCTTAACACATGTAGTGTAGGTGGATCTCGATATCTTGACATTGGGGAGATTGAATGTATTGTAGTTCCTGAGGCACCTGTGCACACACAATTGACTGGACTTGTAAACATAGATGTGATGTGATACGATAAACATCATCTATGCTGCTACACTGTAAAAGGTGGCTTGAGGAGAAAGTGAATGTAGCCGCCTAAGATGCATGCTTGTATGCAACAACAAAGTGAATACAGACACTACCACAAAGGCAGCAGAAACAGAAACAATGAGAGTGGGGATGAGAGAGCAAAACAATTTCAACAACAAGGTGTCAATCAGCTATCAGAAGACTTTGACATTTCAAAATCCTTGGTAGTAGCAGAGAGAGTTGGAAAGACAGCATAAGCCAAGAGAGAGGCAGTTTCAGCATCATGATGCAAGAGGTAGCCAAGATAACTTAGACGTTGTTTCTTGGCTAAACGCTCTTGATCAGAGGATCGGGATGGTGGTTTAGCAGCAGCAGAGGAGGAGGAACAAGCAAGCATTTCTTCTTTCAAAATGGCATCAAATTGGGCTTGGTTGATGCGATCATACAAGAGAAGAGAACGGGCAACAGAAATACGGACAGAGCGACGGACAAAAGACAGCGAACGAAGACAGCGAAGGTTTTCGACCTCGAGGGCCTTTTGGATACGCAGATCAGGAGAGAGAGAAGCAAATTTGGGATCTTTGAGATTGACTGGATCACATGGATCAAAGTCAATCAACGGAGAGCAGCCACGACCATGTAGATGCATGGCTTTGGTAAGGGTGAGTACGTAGTCATTATGAACAAGAAAAGAAATCACATTCTGTACAGGATATTGAATATCCAGCACACGAGAGTTATTCAATCCTACGCCTTGTACAAGGCGACGCAGCTCAGAAAGACGACGGCGGACAGGAGTAGCAAAGTAAATAAATTGATAACCAGATGGTATATCACTTTGGGGAGCAAAAAGACGAGCAAGAGTAGCGGATGCCTTGGTGGCAGACGGAGGAGGTGGTGAAGCAGGTTTATTCTTGCGTTTCTTACCAGATTTCTTGGATGCAACGAGAGCGAAAGATGGTTGCGTTGTAACTTGAGATTGGGAGTAGCTGGGGGTAGACTTGGAGGCAAATGTTGTTGATGGTGGTGTTGGAGTGTCCGATGATACAACATCTATGGTGGTGGGAGCGACATTATTGGTGGTGGATTGAGCGTTGATAGCTGCCAATTGAGCCGCAAGGGCGTCTCTAGCAGCCTCTGATTCAGCCAGGGCTGTTTTCAACTGCGCAACTTTAGCATGGGCAGATTCTAATCTGCTCAAACGATGTCTGACCTCAACCATAAAGGTCGAAAACGCAGTTTGATCAGTGGGCGAAGCAGGAGGTGGGAGGGAAGTGAGACCAAAGTCAATTGAATAGGGGTCAACATCGATCGAGGATGTGAAATGAGATGCTTTGGGGAGGTCTTGAAGTTGTTGCATTTTCTTTGCTTTTAAATGTTGAGAGGTATCAGCAGCAAAGAAAGGTGGAGAGAGGGTTGAAATGGGCCTTTTTTGACCGGACGAAAGGGTGTCAGCAGGTGTAATCTTGTTAAAAGTGGCTTGCTCGGTTATGGTATTGATATAGCAAGTACTTGATGGGAGATGATGGGTTATAGGAATTTTCGATATAATTCGGGCTATGAAAGTATATAAAAAATCCTTTAGCGGAAATGTTGTGCCTAAATTTAGGTTTAAGCCAGATTTGAAGAAAGCGACTAAAAGGCGCCAGCGTATACTCGAAGAAGAAGGTTCTGGAAACTGATAGCAGGCATTGATCTGATTATCAGTTGCTATATCAAGTACTATATCTACTCAAAAAGTTCCATTGATTAAGTAATTATCGATCGTAGAGATAGTATAAATATAAGTTGTAAATGCATTCAATAAACAGCATCTTCGAACATAACCTCAATCTATTAGTTACACTCTAAGTTATTTCTTTACTCCTACCATTGGATTTATCTATTAAGACGACAGAAAGAAAGGTCCCGGCTTTAGCTCAGTTTAATATTGGTTTTTTTATTTATTTACAAATGTAGTCAACTGCGGAATCGATATGATCATAAAATTGCAAGACTAACAGTGATTCGGCGGGAAAAAGCATGTTTAAATTAAAAGTTGAGGGGAGCTGCTAACGGGAGGGGACCAGTAATGAAAACGGCATCAAAACCCACCAGAGAAGAGGATAAACAGAAGGAAGAATGGCAATGGCCGCGCCGCAAAACGGGGGAGACGAACAGGACTCAAGGTAGAAACCGGCCAGACGCACCGCAGCACACCTAAACGTGCAAGCACAAATACCGAGTAACATGCCAGGTTAGAAAGGCGGAAAATATGGATGCGAAGGTGGGATTCGAACCCACGACCTCTCGGCATACTCACTGCTTCCGCATGAAGCTCTAACCAAGTGAGCCATTCAAGTGATAAATATCAAGCTCTCTATAATGATTACCTTGGTAGTTGGTAATCAAGATATAAGTATTGTTGTGTGGAAAGGAAGACTGTAAGAACTATCCCAATAATTATGAGAGATGAATTTAAGGGTTCTTTAGGTTTGTTCGTACTAGATTGGCACTAGTAACTAAACTCCAGATTAGAATAAGAAGAAAAAAAATGGATGATGTTTATTAAGATGCAATTCAAAATACTATTTATATATGTCATTGTTCTATTGTTATTCTCCTGTCAGGCTCAATTCAGATCCGAATGTCAGTGCCCTGATCAAATGTAACCTCAAATTGGATTGCCTTCAATTTAACGTCAATTTCATGTACCCGCGTTCTTGAGTCGATCCTATCGTTTAAAATAGTAACACCCCAATTCCATTGTTGTAATTCCACTTGAATCTTGCATCGATTCGACATTAATTGGTTTGCATCTATCCTGAGTCAAAGTCCAGAGTCAAATCCACATTTCAAAATAGTAATGCTTGGCTATTAGCGCGCAATCTCATTTAGATCCCTGACTAATTCATCGATTCAACATTATCGGCTCCAAATACTGATTAGATTTCGGCTAAACTTGACAAGAAGCACCACGATCAAACGAATATGTAACAACAACAAAATAGAAGCGACACCAATTGAGTAAGCACCAACATTGATTAGCAATACACCAAATAGAGACCACATCGACTAGAATAACAGTATCAACGCACCATCAAGAGATAACATACAGTTTTACAACAATTATATGAGTGTGTCAATGCACCAGAACACCACACCAACGAGGAGTAACCCTTCAAGTAAGACATAGTAGATAAGTTGGAGAATTATACCTTGAATCCACCACATTGCGCCTTTCCCATATGCGGTATATTGCCTTTTTAGGAAATCGAGATAGAGCCAAGTAACCAAGAGAAAGATACACACGTATCACAATGTCGTCTTGATAGATAGATCCAATGGTAGGAGTTAACAAATAACTTAGAGTGTAACTATTAGATTGAGATTATGTTCGAAGATGCTGTTTATTGAATGCATTTACAACTTATATTTATACTATTTCTGCGATCGATAATTACTTAATCAATGGAACTTTCGAGTAGATATAGTACTTGATATAGCAACTGATAATCAGATCAATGCTTGCTATCAGTTTCCAGAACCTTCGAGTATACGCTGGCGCCTTTTAGTCGCTTTCTTCAAATTTGGTTTAAACCTAAATTTAGGCACGACAACAAGCATCCATCCGGCTTTAGCTCAGTTGGTAGAGCGGAAGACTGTAGTGAATCTGTCATCTTTAGGTCACCTGTTCGAATCAGGTAAGCCGGACATCATTTTTGCATTTTTTGCAAAATGCAGTGCATGTAGTGTCATAAATACAGATATAATGGATTTAGGTGAATGAGATAAAAGATGGCCTTTAATGTTTTGCCAAATGCTTTGATATATATGCTGTCAGGTACACATAGTCTTTGTGTGTAACCTTTTAATTTAGCATAAATATCAAATCTGTTTGCAAAACAATAAAGATAATCTTTTATCTCAATTATATTCTTTTGTATACATTTGCCAAGGTCAACTTGTTGTGCCAGAAGGGCTACAACTGTCTATAAAGATTAAGGTATTCTTAATGGGTAGATATGTCTGTGTTGTGCAACAACATGGACAAGCTATGATAACTGAAGTGCATCTCAGCTATCTAAATGATGAGGTTCACCAGATGTGATAAGCGTTGTACAAAATAAATTGCTACTTTGGCATTCAGAACTTAGTATAAATAGAATAACTCTTGTCTTCATCAATAAATCTTTAGTTTTTGTGTCTGATCTTATTCAAATAAGTCTTTTCTTGTTTTTATAATATCGAACATTTTTTATAAGCTACAAATAATAATCCTTTTATTCTTTGTGCTTAACAATAATAAATAATATATTCAGTTCTAATTGTATTTACTCTGTCTATATTTCGTTATTCTAAACATATAAGACTAATTTCACGGAAAAAAAGAATAAAAAAACAATAACGTCAATTTGATAAAGGCAGCAGGTTTATTATCAAACTAACAGATGTAAAGTAAACTGAAGTCTCTCTACTGGCCAGGTAGATGATTCTTCTTATATATTATAACAATGGATAAAAGTTCTATTAATTAGATTGACAAATAAGTCAACTCAGATCAACTAATGTCTAATCATGCTAAAAGACAACTCCAGCAAGCTAATCATGATTTAGCTCTGTCTGGATGAATAATTAGACTCTCATCCGAAGTACTCTGATCTATCCTTTCTATAAGGATAATTAATATCGATCTAGTAGCATGTATCCGATAGGTACAGTCTACTTAGTCTATATTAATAGTACATATCTGAGTGTATATCGCTAAGCATACATCTTTAGCATGTATCTATATCTAGATATATGGCATGTCTATAGCATATCGTATGCATGTCTATAGCATGTCTCATATATAGTACAAGTCTGTAGTACATAAGGTATCTGTAGCTAGTATCACAGATATAAGCATGTGTCTTATAGCGTGAATCATAAAGTGCGCATCTTGATTTATCAGAAATAGATTATTTATAAAAGAGTATGAAATTAATCAGGTAAAAAATATCGTTTATTACACTGGAAATAAAAGGGCTTATATACTATTCAAATTGAGGAATTTGATGTGAGGATAAGGTATTAGGTAGGTTGATTTGGGTGATATGATAGTAGATTGGATCTATTGTCCTGAACATGCCATGATACGGATCGTAACTGAATCCTGTTTCATGTAAAAGATTATGATCTGATGTGATCTCTGCTTGAACTGATTGTTTCTACGCATTTGGAGATCCGGTTTAGAAATGATACATCACATCAGAAGCAACAAGCTCATATTGCATTAATCTTGGTGCCTATCCAGATATGGTAAACATCCGTAGTCAATGTCGGAATACAAGTATAGGTCTATAACGCCACCCATGTCCGTGGTGCCATCTATAGCCTATATCTTATATAGTATGGATCTTATAGTACTAGCGTATCTGAAGTTCATATCTTCTTATAGTATAAATCGATATCGTACATCTAATCCAGTGCACACATAGTTTACATCTAAATCTGGTAACTGGATGAACTGTCGGAATGCAGATCATAGTGGATGTATTCCACACTTAGAATTAGAATAAATGCGTATATTACTTGCAAAATGAGTTCGGTACAATGCAGAACATTTCTAGATCACCAGACAGAAGTGTAATTTATTGAATCTTCTGGCAACACAACCCATTACGCCGTAGTTTTAGGTCGAATTCTGTTCAAACCTAGCCATTTTCAAGCTCGAATAACTTATGCCACAAAGCCTTCTGAGCGCTTGGAATAGGGCCACACGCCTCCTCTTGGCCACGCTTTACTTCCTGATGCTTTATCTCAATTTTTTTTGGGTCGTTGCAAATGCATGGAAATCATCATTTTTTCATGTGTATTAGCAAGGGAAATCTCTCAAAAATCAAACGTTCGCGCTTTTCACCCCAAAAATGAAGACTTTTTCTATGATACATATTTGATCAAATTGATCGTAAAGATGAAATGCAACACTAGAAACTGTTTATATGAGACTTTTGTATGCTAGAATTTGACATATTCACAGAAAACCTGTTTTCGTATTTTTGGAAACTTCTCATTATTTTCGGTCTAAAAGCTGAATGAAATTAGGATCATTCAATGCGGCTTTAGATATCCAAAAATGTATTAGGAAATTGGATGTGACAACGATAGTTTTCATTGTTAAATTCGATAAAAACGTTCAAAGGATGTCAAATCAAGTCAAGTTTGAATACGAAAATACCGCTGCACAATTTCAAATTAAATGGCCGCAATTACCGCTGCTATAATACACTACTGAAACTAAATCTACAGGCAGTGACGTCGGATAGGGTGCCCTCTCATTTTTCCATACCCTCATTTTTTTTCCCTTTTGCAAAACGCGTTTAGCATCAAACCATGGTC